AAGTCAATTTGCGAAATTCTAAGTTATAGCGCATTGTAAAAATTTACATTATTTTAACCCTATAATTTTGAACGGTAGAAATTGTCAATAGGGCCTATTTTTAACAATACCTTTTTGACCACAAACTTATTACAGCTTTCATAAATTTATCGCCTTATAATAAAGAAAGGGTCATAAAAACTATTCGTGTTCTTCAAAGGCTGCTAAATCTTTGTGGTTTGACGTACGAGTCAATTGAATTTGTGTAAAATTTCGCTTTACCGGAAGCGGATTTTGAGTTCTGAACGGGCAAAATGCGTTTTATCGAATTTTAACAAAAGAACACGTTATTTGGGAAAACTAACTACGGCATGTTTCATTACTCATTAAGGGTTATCGATGAGCCAAATATGAGCGAAATCAAATTTTCAACTTGTGCCGACCGTGGGTCGATATTTACGGAAAGCCACTCTTAAATCATGATGGTGTGATGATGAAGCTTTTTGTAATCCCACCGTGTCATCAGCTTGTGCCGCAAGTCGACTCAGTTCTGGTGCCACAAGGAAACATCTTGTCATGGCTACTGGTTGCTGTGTCCTCCCCGGACCTTCATCAACTTGTTGACGTGTTCTATAGCATTTTCCGGACCAATTGCACAGAATGGGCGCTCCTTGTCGGTCATACAAAAGTTTTCTTGCATGAATTCAAGGCAAATATCGGGATCATCGATCTTAAACCTGTGCATCTGCGCTGGATATGTGTAGTGGCACCATTCGTGCAAAACTTAGCCTGCCTTGAGCAAAGAAATACCGTGCCAAAGCCTTGAGGGACTCAAGGTGAAGATTCCAGTCTCCCCCTCTTGATGCGCATGTGAACAGCAGGATACACATCACAAACTTCATGTAGTCTTGTGCAAACTTGAATTGGTAGTAACATGAAGACTCCATGACCTTATCAAATCGCAAAAGCCTCTTTTGAAGCCAGTCGGTGTCCATTGCGGTTAAAAAGTCTTTGAGTTGTGTTTCGTCCCTTGCTCACTTTATCAACCTTCCTGGCAGATGATTTTCATCGCAAAGGATGCTAGTATTACATTTGTGTAATCGGCTTCGCTCTTCAAAAACGCCTCCACATGCAGATCACTTAGAGCTGAGTCTGTTATGCTGTGAGGACTGAGTACGCTTCATACGTTCCCCTTCAAGAATCTATCGCATTGTATTTGAGCCATATCCCCGCCGCTATCCATTCTTCGTAAAAGCAACTGCCCTCGATTGATGCCTCAAGAGTGCGTTAAGAGGTCATCGTGCATGATCATGTGCATCTCGCCGATTCAGAAGACCAGGTCGTCTAAGTGTGGGACTCCTAAACATAGTATGCACCCATTTAATTTTATTAGTGAACGTATTGTTTTAATGCGGCAAATTGATAATAATGAATAAATAAAACTCCATAATCTTGCGGTTTTTTCCAGATAAATCGAATACACAGTAGTAGGTCGTCAGGTAAATATGCCTTCGCAAACTAAAATCAAATAAGAGAGGAAGAATAACCTGAAAACAAATAAGGTGTTGAGTCTTAAACCACGGAGAGACCATCAAAACGCATGCCTTTTCTAGCTGGACTCAGACAGGATTATACCATATATTTTCTGGTGTTTAAAAACAGGCAGAGAACAGAAAGAGAACTTTAAAAAGCTGGAGAATTGGACTCGTAAATTCAAAGGGGATTCATTAAAAGATGTAGTAAATAACTGGAGAAAAGAAAAGATGTTTCTGAAATGAAAACCCGTGTATCTTGCTTTAAATATTTGGTCCATTCGTTCATTCCTTGAAACAGTCAAAGTGTTATGTAAACTGCTGTTGTAAATGCATTTGTTATATTTGATTCAAAAAGTGGCGAATCAAACTGAAGGCATTTTGTTGTCATTCATCAGCTATATAATGACGTCATATCTAATTTGCATAAGACAGGCCTAAATGGCTCTGAAAAAATTGCAGACAACTTTTTTTCGATTCAGCACCATTTAAACTGTAAGTTTCTGCAAAGAAACTTCAATGTTCATAAAATGCCCACGAGAACGATTTTTCGGACACATGGCCCTGGACTATATTAATCGTCGGCGTCTTGGACGATTGGTCAAAGTAATGAGTTGCTTTTACATTCTTACTACACTCTATTTCTAAATTTAATCAAATGTCGACGAGTAAAATATTAAAAAAATAATTGCACTCATGTATTGTCAAAAAATTAATTTCTGAACCTTATTATTGGGCAAAATTTTCACCAACGATATAATTTATATTACTGTGTTTACTGATATATTTATTTATTGTAGGAAGGGGATAACCTACTCTTTTTGTACGTTTTATCTTTAAGACCTGAGACACCCACTACATCGGTCGCGCACTACCTTTTTCCGACGAGTTTTCAAGACATTGGCCACATTGCTGAGCAGCTGATTGGACAAACTCCTTCGGGGTTTGAAGCCGAAATCATCGAGGTACAACAAAAAAGCGGTACGTGTCAGCAAAAACTACCGTCAAAAATGCAGATTAAGATTAGCCGTCAAAAAGTTTTCAGGTATTTCATTTCTTACTATTTCAGCTGTTCTTCACGGGATTCTGGCTTCTGAAGAACCTCTGAACTGGAACTAGCCAGTTCCCATGTTCTCAAAAACACTCTTTCTAGACATTACTGCTAACAATACCTTACAACCTACTTATACCCGAAACAAAGTTTCAAAGGTTTTTAAGTGAAAGGCCAAGGCAACCTCCAAAACACAACGGTTACTATCAATTCATACAGTAGTTAATATTTACTTTGACTTTTGGACTAGTTTCCACTTAATAACCGTCAACCATCAAAACCTCCAAAAATTTATCTGTCGACCTTCAAAATTGGAAAAAAAATTAACAGTCACCTTTCAAAGCTACCAGCAGTACCGGATCCAGACCTTGAGATAAGGGGGGAGGGCTGGTCTCAAAAAAAGAGATTTTTTTGGTCCTTCGGGCCTCAGGTTAATCTAAAAATAAGACCCCTGGGCCCCTCCTCCTGAATCCGCCACTGACCATCCCATTGAGACCCTCTAATAGGCCATTTCTGAATTGCCCCAAGCATCTGTTTCATAGCGAGAGTTTCTTCTACGCCATTATGAATATGGAACTTACTTTTAGAAGAGAGGTCTGCACTTGGCCTCAGTTCAAAAGTGAGAGTCCTTGGAACACGGAAATGACCCATTATACATGTATCAGAGTCCAACTTCTCGATTTTGTCAGACACCTTACAATTTAAGTAGCTTTTGCTTTGAGAGGAAAAATTTGTGCAGTTTGGATTCTGCCAATACTTTTAACAATATGACGTCATAATGGCGTTAAATTACGTCATTGTGTCAATTAAATTACGCCTAGATGTTGGAAATGACAAATGCATTATTCTGTGTGATTTTGGTGACCTTATCGTGAGGGGTGTTGAAGTTATAGAGGAGAGGGGTGGGCGGTCGCTGCAAGCTGAAAAAAGCCCGGTCTGAATAGAGTTAGGTACTGAGTTCGTTGAAAGCTTACCTCTCTATTATTCCTTTTTGCGTTAGTTTTGTTGCTTTAAATGTTTCTTTGTTTACTTTAGTACCATCTGCATAAATCTAGCCTCTAATTCCTTGGTAATATTATTTGCTGAAAGGGAATGATGTTTCTGGGGGTGGTATCATCCCTACCCTGGGTGCTTTACGCTTCAGAATCATTTACCGGTTTACGCCTCTACATCAACCTTAAAGCTAAAAGCATTAACACATATTGATTCTTTTGCTGTCTACAGGACAGTGTTCTTCGAACAATCCTTATGTTGATGCCTACATTTCATTTTCTACAAGCTACAAGTCTCCTACTGTTTACAGGAAAGCTGACACTCACTACGTTAATGGAGACAGCTACTTCTACTGTTCATATTCTAAGAGTTACAAGTGGGAATTCTATCTACTAGAATCGGTCAGTGTCTTATTATTTTTTTCTTTTAGTTATCCCTCTGCGTTCCGTAAACAATTAATAGAACAAAACACATTCTATTTATGACTTATTATCTTGTGGTACATTTATACAAAGAAATGCGTTACGAGTGACTTGATCTTTCTCAAACAAGTACACGCCTTTTACAGGTAACTCTTGAATATATATAGTAGAGCTCCCGCACGCAAAGTGTGCGCAGTAGAGCACCGTAGGTGATAAAATTCAATCTATGCATTCTGGTTGTGACAAAAATCATTCGTACGTACGTACATTCGCCCACCCATGTAGGAGTCCACGGTATACAATCTGTGCTTAACTTGATACTGCACATCCATCGTATGGTCGATTGACAGCTGTTAAGAAAGGTTATCCGCTGACCAGTATCACATGACTGTGCCAGGGGCTCATGTTTACAGTTCGTTGAAGTGATGTGTTTTTTAAGTTCTCCGCTGACCAGTTATTGGTTTTCAATTGATCGCCGGGTTAGATTCATTTTTTTCTAAGAGAAATTCAGTTTATCTCGTGTGTAACGAGAGTCGAATTACTTCAGGAAAAAAGAAACATTTCTTTAAAAATCTCACTGAAGCTTTGCTTTTGACCTTGGCTAAATCTGTATATTATAATGAGAAACGACTTCATTAAGTGGGAAGAGGATACAAGGTTGGGCGAGTAGTGAGAGCGCTCGTCAACCGCTCATGCGACCCGATTTGAATCAAGGAAACGACGCCATACGTTGGGTTTAAACTAAGGCCCTGTCTACACAAGAACCAAGAACTTGTGTGCTAAACTGTTCAAAACCTTATAGAAATGAGGAGAATCTTAAAGACGATACATTTACTTCCAGGACTTCAATAAAGCTTATGGAGAACTGGCGTAACTAATGAAGCTTGACTTCCCCGTAACATTACCCTCAAATGACACCATATTTACAAATTTTATCTTATTTATTTATTCATTCATTATATAACCTAAATTTTTGGCACATGTTTATTTTAGGACAATGTAACAATAGGAGCCAACACAACCATGAGTACGAGTGAATCATGGTATCTCTACGCACGGACTTTGCTATATGGCCTCTACTTTGTACAGTTCACAGCCAAGAGCCCAGACAATCCACGACAGATTGGCTACGACTACGGTTTCCTCGAGATCGTTGAAGGTCCTTTGTATGCCTATATATCTCAAGGTTCTTATGCTGTGTATATAGAAAAACGAAGCATGACGCTTGACGGTTCAGACTCCTACGACCCTGACTTTTATGAGACGCCAGGTAGGCCTGAGGATACTATTGAACGAAACTAACACACAAGAGAAGTACACGTTACCAAACACCGGGAAATGGCTAGTACCTTACTCATCTGCACATCCATTTCATTCGTTCAGTGGACTAAACTATTTTTGCCACCACATATATACGGCGGATCTGTCGTCAAAGGAGTGCTTTTGCACTCGCCTTGGCAGTAAAATGAGGGGGCAGCCTTCGCTAGGCAGACATCAATAATCAGGCACCCGTTATGTCTCATCTGGAGCCTATCTTGACCTTATCCAATACCACAACGTCGGGCTTGTTGTGTTTAATCTTGTTGTTAGTCTGTATTTGGAAGTCCCAAAGCAGCTTAGCTTTATGTTAGTGAAGTCATACACTGGTTGTGGCTCATGGTTGTAATATTTTTCATCCCTGTCATAATCCGTCTTTTCCTTTCACTTTTTCATCCTTCGGTTTTGTTTTCCCCTTTGGTTTTGCATTAGCTCCCGTCTTTTTTTCTTGCCCTTTGGGTTCAGCTTTTTCCTTTCCTTCGGAGGACTTGTCTAAAACGGGTACTTTTATTAACAGTTTCATTCATTTATTATTTCATTCTATTTCAACGCCGTAAATCCCCCCAACTCCCGAATCAATGTTGTTTGAAGTAAAAGAAGACTTTAGGGTCTAAAATCATGATTTTGGGGGAGAAGGGGGTAGGGGTACTCACGGGGAGGGGATAGGTATATCCACTATTCAAAAAGGGGCCATTTTATAGAAGTCTCTCAACACTTTTGTCCCTCATTGTAGGTCCTAGTGAATCACCTGCGTCAGCTTGTCGTGCCTCCAGCATTAATATTGCTTTTGAGAAAGATTCTTGCATTCCGATACGATATCCCTAATTGTTTCATCACTTCCTCCGCAAGTTCTACAATTTGCTGACACATTTTGCATGGCAATTATCCTTTTTATACTATTAGTTCTTAAAGCTTGGTCTTGTGCTGCCATAATCATGGTGTCTAATTCTGCAGTCTGCCCTTTTTAATTTCAGCCACTCCCACATCTTTTTATTTCTTACTTCCTTTGTGTTCCTCCAAAACTGCCCATGAAGTTGTTTCTCCAAAAAGCGCTTGTCACGAGCTGCTCCTACGGATACAATCCCTAGTCAGAGTGCTTTGTTTAAGGCACGCCGTTGTCTTTTTATGCCTTCCAAAAAGTCTTTATGTCCTATCTTATGATTTTCAACTGTGAGTTAGCGATATGACTAAGCTTTTTAACAGTAAAGATCCCTGATGTGCCCTGCACAGGTGAAGTTGTGAACTTATCGCCAAGAAAACCTAAAAACCATTTGACCTTTTTTGAAATGCATCGTCGCGAGAAGCTTCGATAATACAAACTTTTCTGAGAGAAATTTTAATTTGCATGCTAATAAAGTTATACCCATAAATCCATTAGGTCCCATCGTTCATGGTTTACACCTTTCAATCGACACCTTTTTTTCTTTTTTAATCAGGTGTATGCCGGAAGTCTCAGTCTTTTGCGTATGATCGATTGTAGGGGGTGCCCGCGGCGAACCACATTAGGTCAACCCTCCTAAACGGCTTTGTTTGTGTCTCCACGATTATGTAATACGAGTATTAAATAATTTCTTTTGCGTACCTTCTTGCTTCTTTACCAATTAGAGAATCTGTGTTGAAGGTTAGAATACTAAAAATTATATCACTACTTCCCCGCCTCATAATCAAATATCCCCTGTAATTTTTAATTGATAATGCAAAATACAGAACACTAGACTGCGTCTAGAAGTTTTGGATAAAAACTTTTGTTTTTGTTTTTGTTCTGTTTTGTTTTGTTGTTGTTGTTTTCCTTAATTGAGCCAGCCTCGAGTGGCTTGAGGATATCTGCGGGACTTGAAGTATCGTGCCTCTGTGTTAATAGGGCAATAAATTTTGTCAGTCAGTTGTTTGTCGTCGCTGTTTGTCTAATGGCAACAGTTTTTTCACAGGTAATTATGACAACATGAAGTTCACCTGGGTTTGCTGGAAAAGTGGCGACTCGTCCCCGGATTTGGACGATCTCGGTATTCTAAACGAGGTGTACCCCGACGGATCGAACCCCACAGCCCCAGACGGAAGTAAGGTGGGGAGATTTATTATCTAAAATATCTAGCCAATTTTTTTCTTTTTTTTTTTTTAAACGAACCTAACGAAATTTCCAGTCAGTTGGGTGGAAACGGGCCAAAAGGCAAGTTTTTTTTTCACTAGCGAATCGCCAAGAAAAGGAAAAAAAAAAAAGAAGAAAAAAGAGCGGGGAGGAACAAAGGAGGAGAAGACAAAAAACAGTTGTTGCACTCTTAGATTTATATAATAGCTACTTTCTGAAGTAATGGAACTTTCCTTATAAACAAGGAAGAAACTGAATTCCTCGTGAAAAATGGACCTGAGTCGATAAATTAAAAACCAATAACTGTTTTGCGGAAAACTTAAAAAAGAACACGTGACCTCGACGAATTACAAAGTACAAAAGGTTTTGAGGTTAAGAGTCGACATTTCTAAGAGTTTTGTTACTTGAAAAACCTTTATAAAAATGCTCAATCAAAGTTGTTGTTGTTTTTTTTTCATTAATCGATTTCTAATTAATTCTTATTCATTTTTCCCCACAAGATTTGTAACGATTATAGCAAATGATGTTAACTGCTGATACTTTTAAAACCTTTCGGCTACAAGACTTTATGAAAAAGTATCACCGTTTATCTTCAACTGTTAAACAATTTGAAAATGTCTGTAAAAACCTTTCATGATAGTCGATGGAAGTTTCCAATTTCATTCTGTTTCTGATAGCGCGTTTTCTTTTTTCGACCCTGCTGTTTCTCTTTTTTGTTAAAGGGCTCAACATTTCACATGTAAAGGAAATGGTGGTCTGTGTGTAAAGAAGTCATAATCATTAGCATTTTCATCAGCTAAGTCATATCACATTTTTATTGTCATCATTATATACTTCTATATACTCGTCACCATTATCGTAATCATTTTTCTCATAGTCTTCAACCTTTTGATCACCATCCTCAACTTCATCATCATCATCATCATCATCATCACCACCACCACCACCACCACCACCATCATCATCATCATCACCATCATCATCACCACCATCATCACCACCACCACCACCATCATCATCATCATCATCACCACCATCACCACCACCACCACCACCACCATCATCACCACCATCATCACCATCATCAGCACCACCACCACCACCACCACCACCACCATCATCATCTTCATCATCACCACCACCACCACCACCACCATCATCATCATCATCATCATCATCATTTGCCAAAGATGCCAAGAAATCAATATTTTTTTTTCAGGTTTTTAACCATCCTGGTGGAGGATGCTTTAATACGGGACCTGGAAAGATATCAGCCGGTAGCAGCATTTCCATAACATTTGACAATAGTCTTATGCTCCTGGGATACACATATTATATGGAACTGGTGGTACAAAAGGGACATCGGAAGGGCAATTACAGACAAAAAATTGCTGTTGCCAAAGCTCCACCAAAATTTAATATCAGGTAAGGCAGGTAATAAACAAACAATTTTTCTTTCGTAAACGGTTTTTGCAATTTTTAAGACACAGCAAATTTTTGAACTGTTTTTTAAAGGTGTTTTCATCATCAATAAAGAACTTAATGGAAACACAAATTACGGTTAAGGGTTCTCTAAACTGACATCTCCTGAGAGAATATTTTTAAGACCGATAAGGCTTCCAGCTTGAAAGGCCAAATCAGATGACCCTTTCCTCAAATTGATTGCTAAAATCTCAACTGCTTGCCATAAATCCCAATCTACAACAGATATATGACCATATATGTTCCTGAAAAGCCCCTTTGAATGTAAAACAACTAAGGTCAGAGCCGGGTAAAGGGTAAAGTTCTTTTTCCTTAAGCGGAAGGCGTGCTTATTTTCCCCCTCCCCCTTTTGATAATTGTTCCGTTTTAAGAGTATTTGAAAGTTGTTAAACCAACAGTGATAGGGTGGAACGCACAACGAAGATTTGAAGTCACACCGGGGAATTAAACTCAAGACTACTGGCGCAAACCCTGAGATAAGGGGGAGGGGGGGGGTCTCCAAAAAAACTGTTTTCGGCCCTTCAGGTCTCAGTTTGGTTTAAAAATAAGGGGCCCGGGCCCCCGGGCTCCCCAGCCCCCTCCCCTGGGTCTGCCACTGGCGAGTGATTACACGAAGTTACTACAAACTGTGCAAAAGCCGGTTTTTGCTTTCATACCCACCCTTCGGCCAGCTCAAGGAAATTTATGTGTCGAAAGCTATCTTCGAGGGGGTAGTCAATATTCTTAAGTGTTTATCGTGAAGTTATAAATCGACTAAAACATTAGAATTCTCGAAAAGTTGTACTTTTTAACAAATCAAAATTTAGCAAATAAGGTCACGTGACTTTGTAAGGCCACAAACTCCAAAAAAATGCTTTAAGCAAAAATGGCAACGGTTTGTAGTAGAGTCTATTTCACTTAATCGGCAAAAGAGAATTTAAAGTGCAAGGAACTCTAAAACTGTGCATGACAACATATGAATTTGTAAATACTTTTGAAAATAAACGGTTTTCGTCACTAGTACCCATTCCCCCATTATAACTGATTCATTTTACCGGATCTTTCCTTTAGAATATCTTTACATTACCAAGCACAGATTGGGGCAAATAATATTCCTATATGGCCTTAAATCTATGCGACCAGTAGAAAAACATGAAAGTGTGCTGTGCATGAGGAGGTCACGTGGCCTCATTTGCATTTTTGAGCTTGCCAAATTGTTTCAAGGTAACATTGTATATGTGATATCTGACAAAGTTTCTAGTTGATAAAACAAAAGTTTCGAAAGACAGACAACCCCTTCACTTTTTCACTCAACAACTTGGGGCCAGTGAGAGGGATGCATCAAAACCTCTTTTTTATGTTACAGCTGCTTTTCAAACTGTCAACCGAATGCCATCATAAGCCAGCGCATAGGCCTGGAAGCGTACTGTGTTGGACCAGACTGCTCAAGAACACTATACTTCAAATGGTTTATGTACGAGAGTGACAAGACATTCCCGGGACCGGAAGGTATGATAGAATACCATAATAGAGAAGAAAAGTGTGACGTCACGTTACCATGGTAGCAAAATTTCTGGATCTCAACACTCTCTCTTAACAGAAGCGGTCATTTGCTTTGTCGACGGATGCAATAGCCTGGAAAACAGACGTTTCGCCTTGCTCATCGCCGCTGGGGGACGTTTCGCGAGGAGGAACGTCTGGGACTCAGTGACAGAAATTCCATACTGATGACGTAAAATCTGTCCGGAATCCGGTCATAGGCGCTGATTGGACGACGGAGTAGTTACATTGTTTTAGCTATTGTTCACCAATGACAGACAAAAGACAAAATTAAAGGCTACGAAGGTCAAATGTAAACGCAGTGAATCTATAACAAAACAGTAAATATTGTGAAATATATTCTTCTCTACAAGAAGCAATTAAGTTTTGCTAGGGCTCGTTCGCAGATGAACACAACACTTTACCAAAATCCACCAAAATTGAACAAATTTGCATTTGGAACCCCATGACTACCGGATTTATTATGTAAACATTGATATACGTCATCAGTATGGAATTTCTGTCACTGAGTCGTAGACGTTCCTCCTCGCGAAACGTCCCCCAGCGGCGATGGACGAGGCGAAACGTTTGTTTTCGCAAGCTACGGATGCAAGGAAAGTGCGGGCTACTGTTTTGTTCCTGAGTGTAATGGTGCACAGTAAAGTCGTTTTTTTTGTGTGTGAGTGTGCGTGTGGTTGCTTTTTTGTTTGTTTTTATTTTGCCATATTTGCAGGACCAAGGTTTGTTGAGATTTACAAATTTTGCTACCATGGCAGCTTAACATATCGAAAAATTATTCTCTCTTTCGAGGAAAAATTAAAGAATAATTTGTCACCCACGATCTGGCAAATGAATATTTTATGTCTTATTGTTTGGATAATTATTACCTTCTATCCCCAATTTGGTCAGTTCAAGCTAGTAATGACGAATTGGCCGGGGGATTTGAGCCAATCAGGAGCGACGAAAAATGTTTGATGAATAATGATTAGCGTTATTGACATTCAGTTTTAATATTGATAACAGTTGAAATTCCCGTCAGTAGTCATCCAAAATGCAAAGCACTGGTGGTCGATTAGAGGAGGTGGTCGCACTCGAGGGTTTCTAACTATAGTTTATGACAAAGAAAACAAGTTTTGATAATAATGAGGTTTGACTGCAACTATTGTTATTATTTTTGTTTTCATCGTAGGAATTAGAAATGTTGATAAAGAAAGACTTGATTTTTTTCCTAACCAACAGATTACAACGCGACAAAAAACTTTTACAGTAACTTATTGACAACCTCCACCTCTTCATCGATGCTGCTACAGGAAAACTTTCTCCAAGAGAAAAAAAGCTATATGGTAAAATTTAGAGTGACTACTGAATACGACGCCAAAGAGTTCACATACTACTATTTCGGCACGAACACCCCACCTGAAGGGGGTACTTGTGAGATAGACAGAGAAACAGGAAAAGCCGCCCTTGATCAGTTTGATTTGGCTTGTACCAACTGGACAGATAAGGACGAGCCACTGGTATACCAAGTGAACATACCGTCGAAAAATGAAGGTAGCGGATACATCGTCTTGGCTGTGTTTAATACAAGTTCGACAAACTTACGTCTACCGGTTGGAGATGAGATGGATTTATATAACCTACATTTAGATGTGTATATCATTGATTTACTTGGTGCAAAGGCGAAAGTCAACCTTACAGTGATTGTAAGTATGTAGCACTGCCCTAACCTGCAGGCCTTGCGACGTGGGATCAATTTAGGTTTCTGGGAAACTGCCCACCTATCCCTCCCCTAACCCAACATTTTTCCCTCAGTGAGAAGTAAGTGTTAATGTTGACTTAGGGGAGGGGTAGGTGAGCAGTTTCCCAGAAAGCTAAATTGATAGGCTTGGAACAGACCACCCGGCCTGCGAGCAAAGCCTCTTTTTGTCTTCTTGCATGAGGAGGAGAAAAGGAGGCTCTGCGCATGCCTGCATGGCGTCGAGCCTTTGATGTCACCGCAGCCCCCACTTCTGAACTAGACAATCTTGTTTTCTCTCGTCAAACAGGTTTACCCGAGTGCTACCATCCGTTAATCTATAAACCGATGCTCATATCCGAACCCGCTGTACCAAACACACGGCTACTAGGCCTGAGCTCGAGACCGTATCCTAACAGCATGTCGCGCATGCTCAACAAAACTCTTTCTCAATTCAAGCAAAGTCTTTCTCGAATACGCCAAAATCGAGCAAGCGAAATCAAGGCTCTGCTGGAAGGCTTGGAACAGACACCACAACATTACAATGGGCGTCACGTTGTATCTTCGGTCGAGTACTTTATTAGACTAAGTGAGATGTAATTAAATTAATTTATTTTTTAGGCTTATTGTTGATGTTGTAATTCAATTCAACCTTTGCTGTACTGAAACTTAATGAACTTACAACCTCTCTAGTCTTCATAACCAAAGAAAGAATCTTGAATATTTTGGATTTGAGTGAAAATATTTCATAAATTCCATATTTGATGACGACTATGACGTTCTCTTACTTACACGCATCACTTTTTGCGAAGATGTCAGGTTCAGGTTTTGGACACTTTTCTATACGGCGCTAATGAATTTTATTCGAAAATGGTTTTTACTGTTTATTCTAGACTAGTAATATAAGAATTGCAGTATAAGTTTACTGTGCAGAGGGTCAACGAGGCATCGTTTTTTGAAGTGACAACTTCAAGAAGTTGCGAGGACGTCAGTGGGTTTCATAATGTTACGTTTGGCCCGGGTGGTAAGGCAATAATATACTGCTCAGTATATTATTACTGGTTTCAACCTTTGAAAGCTTTCTAGGCTTTAATTTCGGGAGTTTTTCTCCCGTTTGTCGGCCATTTTTTTAAGCGGGTGCGGGAACGTAAAGTAAAATTACGTCACGTTGTATACAAAGTTTGATTGGTCAGTTATCTCTTCTTCTCGTTCCAAATATGGTACTTTTCAAAATGAATAATCACGAGCATCGGACAAAGCAAACATAAGAGAGTTACACGTTTCAACCCCTTATGAGTTTCTGGTCTTATAGACTGTTTTCACTCACTGGCCAGCATCTATGCAAATTTAGTATGACAAAAGAAAGCGTTTGCATAAGAAAAGAGTTCACCTCCCACAGGACTGGTTTGGGACACCAACATGGCCACTGTTTCATTGTTTTGGGACACCAATATGGCCGCCCTGACGTCATGGGAAAGCACTCTATAATCCGACAGTATCGTCTTAAGATGAAAAGTTCTAGAATAAACAAACTCGACTGCGATTTCATGTTGACAAATTGTTTCACTTGTTTGCCCCCTGAGAAACCGCGTCACATATGGTCTATTGCTAATTAGCTTTCTGTTACGATATATCACTTCTGATTACGATCCAAGCAAAAGGAAATCCAAAGCTTCGAGTAATTCCCCTCTCTAGAAACTATAAGGGGCAATTGATACAAGCTTTTGGTGCACCGATTTCTATGATCGTTTGGGTGGACAAGTGTTAGTTATGACTGGTCGATGACATTCATCAGGGGCGGAACTAGGTGGAGGGTACAGGGGGTGTGCACGATCTAGGTGGAGGGTGCAGGGGGTGTGCACCCCCCCCCCCCCCCCCGCTGAGATGACCTGCGGTTTTCTAATACAACTGGTATTCTGCAAAAAAAAAACTATGCGGTTTATTGCTGTTGAAGTAGAGCAAGAGACGAGTGCACCCCCTCCTAAATGGATCCGCCCCTGTTCATGGCAACCTTCAACCCATCATAACTAACGCTTGTCAACCGAACTATCCCAGAAATGTTCCGCCGGAAACTTGTACCCATTCCCCTAATAGGAGTGTAGTCTCTATCGCAGCCATTTTTATTGTCGGCACGCAACGCTCCCAGGGACGTGACGACACTGAAAGAGACTATCTGGAGTGGGGAATGTGACTGAACAATGCCTTACAGGTATATCCACCATCAGTATCTGAACTGGATAAGGAGCTGGCGGAACTTGTTCGTGAAAATGGTGCTCTTAATGGTTATGTCGAAGCAAAGGATCAACAAAGAGCCGCCCAACTGAGCATTAGCGTGTTAAGTACCTTGGACTTTCTGCAGGAATCAAACAACACAGACGTAAGCAAACTAAGGTTTCAGAAATATCGGGCACCAATAATATATAACATGTATATATTTTTAGTTTTATTATGGCCTTCTTACATCTTTTCCGGCTAAGGGGGTCACCCTTCAAGCCAAGCAATTTGCCATGTCAAAGATTCGCCGACTGAGTTTGGTGAGAAAAATGTAGGGAAAGTGGGCTTACCCAGGATAGCTCGTTTAGGCAGCTGACCCTTCTAGGTGGGACAGTTTTTTTCCATATAAATGGGGCCTGAAATGAGAAATCAAGCATTCAATTTGAAAATGTCTGTTCAAACTCCTTAGACCAACTCCATGTAAATAGGGTAGTACTAGGCGCTTCAGTAATTTTTTTTTTGTTTGTTTTTGCTGAATTTTCAGGTACATTTTGCACTCTATGGCCAAGACAATTACGTTTTTGAAAGGGAATTTATGTATTTTTAAATGTTTCATAGACGTTTTATAAATTTTTCTCTTCGACGCTAAAGAAAAATTACAAAATGTGCCCCGATTTGAGATGGATTTTGTGTTGAATTTTGCCATGTGCTCAGTCGATTTCACTTGCGTTAACGGATCCACGATCCAGATAGTGTTTCCCGAATTGCTTTAAAGGATTAACTTTTTGGATTTTGAATAAAAAATTTCAAGAAACGGCTTCCCTGTCTATTTGTTTTGACTTTGTTCATTCATGAAATTAGCTCAAAACACGATCATGACCACATCCAATCTGAATTTAAGCTTAAAGTGACAAGAATGAGTTAAATCCTTCTCACATTACTTACACTCATCACTTTTTGCGAAGATGTCAGGTTCAGGTTTTGGACACTTTTCTATACGGCGCTAATGAATTTTATTCGAAAATGGTTTTTACTGTTTATTCTAGACTAGTAATATAAGAATTGCAGTATAGCTCGTTTAGGCGGCTGACCCTTCTAGGTGGGACAATTTTTTTCCATATAAATGGGGCCTGAAATGAGAAATCAAGCATTCAATTTGAAAATGTCTGTTCAAACTCCTTAGACCAACTCCATGTAAATAGGGTAGTACTGGGCACTTCAGTAATTTTTGGTTTTTTATTGTTTCTGTTTTGTTTTTTGTCTAGTTTTTGTTTTATTTCCAACTCATTACCATATTGCTTTTCAGATCCGACAAAATATTATCAACAGTATAACACAGTTAAAGATCAATGACACTGAAAGTGTAAATCAGATAGCCAGCGTCTTAGTGGAGGCAACTAAAGTAGAAGGGGAGATAACCCCTCAGTCTGGGGTAAGTGTACATGTGTGTGGAGAAATGAGCTTTTGGACAAGACAGGATAAAGGGGACAGAGAAGGCATCCTCCATACACACCCTATTCCATAGGTAATTCGTCTCGCGTTATTTTTAAGACCACAGATCCCAAGGTGGATTAGACAACAGCCAATCACATAGCGCGAATGTGTTCCGCGTACAGAGCCACGCGTCCTTCACGAATTGAGGCAGAAAAAAATGGCGGAAGACGCGGAGAGCAATATTGCTTATCGTTTTGTCGACGAAAACGACTAAAGAGAGATTTCTGCTAAAGCTGTGTCAGCGAAACGTAAATTAAAAAAAGAATCGCCCTCCCTCTCTTGTATAGAGCTAACAGTACAGAAGGGAAATCCTTAACACAGTGAATATTCTCTCAGAATCATTTATAATTTACAGTTTGAAGAGAACAATTTCTGGTTTGATATTTATTCGTTTGTTAGTCTTTTATTATTCAACAAAAATAACACTTGGCGTCCTATAATAACAATAATTTAATAACTTGTAGAGCGCTATTTACATTCACTGATAAACAGCGCTTAACAACCTTAAAAAAACTACAATAAAATTCAGATTTGTAAAACTAATTACATGTACATAAATATTACTTGCTACTTGCTTTATTGTACAAACGACCGGTTTCAATAAACCTGCGAAATTTCTCATTTTGTTAAAGCACTGAGGTTACGATAACTTCGAGTTAACTGATTTCACGGGTTGTCAAAGAGTCGAGCGATTCCCCTTTCCCAGGTGAACGCCGACTCATTTCCCTTCAATATTCAGAAATGCTGTCAATCTGTTTACGCGCTTTCATTGCCTTTCGCCCGACGTGTTTTGCATGGCGTTTAGTCATGCGAAACCTCCACGAAACATCCACGCAGCGCGCGAGGTAACTTTATTCCGATTCTAAAAATAACTCGAGACGAATTACCTATGGAATAGGGTGTGTATGGGGGATGCCTTCTCTGACCCCTTTATCCTCTCTTGGTACACCCCAATAGAACGGCAGCTAAATCCCTGTTGAAACATACGGCCATTTGAATGAAAACCTCATGTTCTTTGAGACTATCGTTACTACGGAGACCCCAAAAGTACGACAGCTGAATCTCCGGCAAAAAGTATTAACATTTCACTGAAAACTTATTTCAGACCCTCGCTGCTGCGGACAACCCGATAATACGAAAGCTTCTGAATACCCGTATCGAAACGTACAGACACCTAGCGGATTTTTCAACATTAACACAAGAATAACAATTTTATCATCATTCAATTTTATCATGTTATTTGAATTTACTATGTTTCCGTTGGTAATCAATCGAAATTGTTGTAAACGTAGACATCTATCACCCCTCTATTGCAATTAAAATACTCTGAAATACTTAAAAGTTTAGTTTCTTCACTTGAACACTTAGAGATGGGAATAATTTAAGTGGTTCTGTGATTGGATTTGAATCACATGATGACTTCCAACGAGCCGTAAATAATTTAGCTATCTAACTTGTTATATAATTACGACAAGAGTATAAACGATGGTTTATAGTATTATTTTTATCTGTTTGATTGCTATTTAGCAAGTCAATGCTGTGAGCTCTAGCTACACATATCTATGTAATGGGAAACCCTTATAGTTTAAAGTTGTTAAACAATAAAAATGCAGGCAACGTAAATTTTAGCCTTGATCTAGTTTACTTTTACCCAGTTTGATTTATGCTTAAAATTAAGAGGATTTCTTAAGTGGTTACAGAATGATAAGTTAACTAAGGGATAGTTTATTGTGATGTAATATCAGGTATATATCACGAATATTCACCTATTATTAGTTGTTCAGAATACCTTTACAAGTTCGATGCACAAAATATTCATCAAAATAAACCTTCTCCTCTTAAACAAATATGTTATGCTTTGGTACATTTTTGCGACTTCCACGACAACCCTTTTATTGTAAAAGAATGTTCGATAAGTTCCCATCTCAACTAATCCAGAATCCAAGTTGCACTGACAAGGAATCCGGAATCTGGTAACTGAAATCTGGAATCGACAGCCTGGAACACAGAATGCAAGACTGCCTTGGATTACCTTACATAGGGCGACACAATGATATAATCGTCCTTATCACACAGTTGTCACTTGACTTATTACAAAGAGCAAACTACAACGACCATTTCTTTCTAGTTGCAGTCCTTAGGATCATGCGAAAACATGTCGGCTATTTTGTCACAAGAAGAAAATAACACAGCAACCACAGACTTAGTGGAAAACGCTGGTAAGCAGATTGTTGCTGTGACTGGCAATGTACTTGGTGGGGCAGTCTATACCCACACAGAGAATGCTACTGCGGTGAGTAAAAAAAGCTTGCTTTATTGATGTGTCAATGTATTATTATTATTACCAAATTGATTCAGACACCGCTCTTTTGCGTACTTGATTCATCAGTTAGGTTCGGCACATGAGTGGAGCGGCGTCTGATCTGGGCCTTTTTAACATGGCAAAATGACTATTCGATCCCTGACTCCGATAACTCGAACCCTCGATAACTTGAACCGTGTTTTTCGTTTCTCCCAGAGTTCAAGTTACCGAGGTTCTGCTGTAAATTTAATTAATTCAAAATGGCGGATCCAAGATTTTATTATTTTTTGCTTTGAGGGGAAAAATTGATGGAATTTGGATTGTGTCAATCAAATTACGCCCAGAAGTTGGACACGATGAGTAAATCGTTCTGTGTAATTTTGGTAGCCGTATCCGCATGGGCGGTTTGAAGTTGGGTATATTCACTGTTTATAGTTGTTTCGGATAACACGCGACCAGCGATGTCAAAAAGTTTGTCTTTGGATTTTGGGTTTTTCTACGACCTCAATCAAATTAAACCTTTCGGCTCGGCGCTTTCTCGCCTTCACATCTTAGCGGACCTCTTAGGAAACAGAAGTTTACTTCAACAGGCCCAGAAGGTCATGAATTGTGATTGGTGGACTTCGATCCGTTTCGTGTGTTTCTGTATTTTAAGGTTCGTTGCTTTTGAACTCCAGAGTTCGGTCGCGTGTTTTTGAAAAGCGCAGTAAGTTTTTCCTTAGCTCTAAGTTTTTTTATCTTCTTATTGAAACATGGCAAATTTAGATTCCCAAGGTGAAATCGTTCTTATAGAACCTCCTAATCCAGAAGAAACACAGATATGGGAGGGTGAAAACGAATCGGTACGTTCCCGCCAACATATATTTTTGCAGCTTATACGGGGAGGCTCCTCCCTGTGGTCCAGCCACTTACCCTTTTATATACCATTTTTACGAAAAAAAAGTATCCCTTTCGTATACCTCTATTGACAAATAGTAGCCCTTCCACGTACCTTGTTTAGAACTTTGCATCCCCTTTAACTGCTGTAAATACATTGTCTCTAAAATTGAAATCAATCACAAAAATAGAACGTTTTATTGACTTTATAAATGATAAAATTCATCTGTTAGTCCTTTGGGCCCTTTTACAGACCCAAATGACAGATCTCCCTTCCCTTTTATATACTTCAACTAGTGAAATCCCTACCCTTTCATATACCTGAAGCATGAAAAAGGTACCCCTTCCGGGGAGGAGCCTCCCCGTACAGGCCATCATATGGAGTAACCCCCGGGGCTTTATTGGGCAAACAAGGATTGGATACTATGGTAAAGGTTTGATTGACTTCGAAGAAAAACCCAAAACCCAGGAACGTTTTTGACAACGCAGGTCGCGAGCAATCCGGAAAAGCTGTAAAAGTCTGAAAACAACTGTTACACTTTTTAAATACCCTGGGAAAAGTTTTATCCAATCGACCCCAGTTGTTAAAACATCTCCTTCTTCTCTTATTTCTACAGCTTGAGGACCTCGCCAAGAAGGCCTTAAACCTTTCCGAAACTATAGGAAGATACTTCCTCAGGCGTCTATTACCAGGAAGGAAACCGATGGAATTTCGAAGCAAACATCTCAGTATGCAGCTTGCCAAGCTTCTTGTGGGTGGCGAAGATAACAAGACTCGGGATATGGGCATCAATGGTGGGTCATTCCAATTACCGGATCTTCCCTTCTTGTCTGATTCGACTCATACATACCTTGACAGAAGTGTAAGTAAGCAGGCAGTACGTAGTAGAAGATGTTGTCATTGTTGTTGTTCTTTTCATTGTTTTAATTGGAATTTCGAATTTTTTGGCATTAATTAAAAGGAAACGGCCGCCAATGCTCGCAGCGCGCAATGCTTACTGAGAAAAGGAACTTGGTCTTTAAGAAACTAGTGACGCAGTGGTGAGAGTTAGGTACCTTTCTTCGTTCTTATCCTGAGAAGTCTTTCCCCAGTACTCAGGGGTTCCAGTTTTTCAGCTATCGCTGGTTATGTGGCGATTTATTTGTTTAATTCAATTTTTTTTTTGCGAAGCTGTTGGTGTTAGGCGAGTCACGCTCGCTTCTGTTTGAGTTAATTATTGTTGATTCACAGTGACTGTTTACACGACATTTACCAGATGGTAAATGCAGTTAATGGAACATTAAGCCCCAGGGGGGTAGGCTAAGGTAGCCTGCCCCAATGTATGCTCTGTTCGATCTTTAAAGCCTTATTTATGAATGAAAGCTCGCCAATTTTAAGGTACAAACAAAAGCTGTTCGTGGTTGGAATCTGACTAGTTTGTCGTATGTTTGTCATCACATTTTCTTAGCATCGCGCTGATTGGTCCCTGTTTTCAGGGCCCTATTCATAGCTAGACTTTAATCATGATAAGACTAGGTAGCTTATGGTACAACTGTATTCATTGGTCGAGATTTGAGACACTGTCTAGCTATAAAGTTCTGCTATTTCAGACCTGGTCATTATTCGTCTAGCTTGCACGAAAGCAAATAGTTACAGTAATTTTGCTCTGCACCCTCCCTCCCTATGGAGGAGTTCTGTTGTGTTAGGTATCAATAAAGTTTGGGGGGGTCACTCCTTGTGGTGCGGTTAAGTCTGCGTTGCGACTTCTCCCAAGCTTTTGGCATTGCTTGTGTCTTGCCATCTTATTCATTTGCCTTAATCTTGTCCGATCAAGCCCGTGCGGCGCTGGGGAGATAAGAAAGGCTCTGCCAATACCCTTGTCCTACCCCACGGTAGTGGGGCGATAAGTGAGGCTTGTGTTTTTACTGTGTGCATAACCTGAAGTCGCTAGAACCTGTCACAGGGCTGTGTTCCCCTTATTACGCCATCTTGTAGTAATTGTCTTATTTGCCTGCGTGCGCTATTTAATTGTGTTACCTTTTCATGCGTATCTTAAGCGGAATAGTGACATTAAAGTAATGTAATAGGAGAGCTTAGTGGGGAATTCGAGTTATTCAAGTTCGAGTTCGAGGTTCTACTGTATATTAAAACAGCAGTTAATATTTACTTAAAACCTTGAACTTAATTTCCACTTAATTATAATAATCATCAACCGTAAACAGGTCTTAAGATATGATCGTCAACCGTCAAACCTACTACCCCACTGAGACCCTCTGTTATGTGTGATGTACTTCACTTCTTCACTTACCTTGCTACTTGTTGTCTTATGTGGCTTACCTTATCACATGTTCTCCTTTTTTTCTTTCGTTTTTTCTTTTTCTTTCTTTTTTGGTTTTTTCGTAGATTCAATTTTTGGATGTGAATCCGTTTATATGGGCCAAAAATGGTACCTATAAGGCAGCGACCTCAGTAATTAGCTTATCATTCAAGGACGCATCTGGAAGTCCCATAACAGTAGAGAAAACTGAAAAGCAAATTGAAATCTATATTCCCACTGGCAGGGAAAACAATGATACCAACAAAGCCGCTGTGCACTTTGTTAACCCGGGAAATGACAGCATGATGTTTCATTCCTTTGAAATCAAACACAACGACACTGCTTTTGCCATTCGAATAGAACCAGCTAATGAAACAATGCTCGCTGTATATTTACGTCATGGGAAAAAACCAAACTTGACACATTTTGACTTTATGTTCATTATTCCGAATTTCACGTCTTGCGTACTTCCGGGACAAGAAAACTGCAGCATTGTGTCCGATTTTATGACATGCGTGGAAACGGAGGACGCGCCATACAAGGACGAAAACTACACAAGACCGTTTTTGCCTACAAGCTGTGGCCCAGCACCAGAGAATGAAACGGTAACAGCTCCATCTCCGGCTCCACCCGAACCCGGAAAAAAAGAGCAAACGTTTGAATGTCCTGACGTTTGCAAATATGATAACATTACGTACGATAATTGCACTTGTGATGAGCTCCCCGATGTGACATTTCTATTCAACTCCTCGTTAGATGAAAACAATGACATATGCAAGGCGTTCATCGACTTTTCTCTTTGCCCAAACGACACCTTAATTTGCAAGAACTCTGTGAATTTATTATCTTGCTACGTGTTGCATCTGGATCGTTTTAAGAAGTGCCGCAGTATCCTTAGGACCACACCCGAATTGTTTTATGGTATTTACGCGAAATGCCTTAAAGATCCTTTCAGGGTTTTTTTCAACAGTACTGTTGGGAAAGCAGGCAAGTGGTATGTGGGTATTGAATATTACATACCTCCAAACGATACTAATACTGAGAAAGAGAAGGACAAGAAAGATAGTTTGGACTTTGGGGAAGGTGAGCCTGATTGGGATGGGCTAGAGAAGTTTAAATTTTGGAGAAGACTCATAAAGAGAAATAGAGAGCACAATGCCAGGAAATTTTTGGAAGGTAACGTTTTAAGATGGGCAAAATGGGCAAGATGGAGAACATCTTTTCAAGGCGACGATGTGTACGACCAAAACTGTAGCTTTTGGTATTGGGTTCGAAAGTACGAATGTGGGAAATTTGTCGACAGATATCTAGGTTATTGGAGGCTATGGCACGACAAGAAAGACGATGGTGATGATGATGAAGAAGAAGATTCGGATCGTAAACGTAGATCACTTTCGTCAGATTCCGATGAAACCGCGGAGCGACTTTGTGTAGTGGTCGAAGAGAAGCCTCCTCCTTTCAAAATCGGAGAAACATTGCGCCTTGTTGAAGAACCGCCAGAGCTAGATGAGAACGTATCTGCACTCTATTCGTTCGATGTCAGCCTTTACACATGCCTCTTCTGGGATGAGACTAATGAAGAATGGAGCAATAGAGGTTGTACGGTACGATTTGTCCTTTACCGCCTTTTAGCTGTGAAAGTTTGTACTCCCTAAATCTGCAATGTGCATGAGCCACTAAGTTTATGTTTTCTTACAATTTTGGCATTTATATGATGGTTGCTGTTGTTCTTCTTTTTGAATCATCATTGCAACCCGTTAGGGTAGGGGCTACGATTAGGCTGCTCTCGCTCTTGTTATATTTTTCAACACTCGTGGAGGAATTTTGTTACTCCATGCAGCCATTTTATATATCCCCTATATCTTAGATAATTACAATTCATTATTTTTTAGAGAGCCAAGGGTCGAAGGCCTGGATTATCCTATATTTAATATGAGAAATATGTTTATTCAGTCGCTGACACAGGCGGCTGGGAAGAAAAAAATTGAGTAAAAATTCTGAGTGCTCCTAACAGGAAAGAAACCTGTGACCGTTCGGTTACTATATGTTTACAGGCTGGTCCAGAATCTAATGACAAAAAACTGCAATGTCTGTGCGATCATCTTACATCATTTGGTGGCGACTTACTGGTGACACCTAACACAATTGACTTTGCGGAAGTCGCCCTAGGATTTGCCAACCTGGGGAAGACTGGTAATGTAGGCGTCATTATAGCCGTGTTCGTGATCGTTCTTTTGTATGTTTTGAGCGTGATTGTTGCCAGGAGAGCAGACAGAAGAGACAAACAGCAGGTATTACGGAAGAAAGGCAAATTTTATCTTTGAAGTTCAATTAAAATAGTAATAATATTTATTGTTTGCTATTCATTTGTTTTGCTTTTTTATCCGTGGGGGCGGTGGGTACTTTACAGAATTTTATACGGAGCAGGCTCTTCCCCAAGTTCTTATTCCTTACCCTGATAATAAGGTTTAGATATAATGCGCACTCTGATAAGTTGAAAAAGCGTGCTTTATGAGATAATAACACGGCGCTTAAGCTGTCCTACCATCTGCCAATAGTCTGTGTTGAAAGTTAGAAAGTAATGCGTTGGAAATTTAATGGATTCTTTATCAGAAAACAAATAAAGAAGCCTTGACTGTCCTCTGTGGTCGTAAAGCTCTTAAGAAACGGCTAGAGCACTCGATCAACAAGTAGGGAGAGACACTCTACTTTCGTGCTCTAGCCGCTACTTGCGTGCCTTACAACAGAACCCAAGGCAGAGAATATTCAAGGCTTCTTTATTTGTTAAATATACCATTTATGAAACGTATTATTATGAGCTCATTGGTCCATAGTGCGAGTTGATATATACTAATCTAACTGAAGAATGAATTGATTTTTTTCTGGTGTCGTCGAAAGACCATTTTCTACATCAGCAATTCTACTTTCATAACCATGTGGTAGATTACAAAAAAACGTGAGAGTTAAACCTCTCAATCTTTTGTTGCAGCTGTCTATTGCAGTGCCCGTCCATACGAACAAAACTGGTGACCACACTTACGAGATTACAGTTTATACAGGGATGTTCGGAGACTCTGGTACAACAGCACACGTGTCTATGTACATTAGCGGTGAAAAGGGTGAGAGCGAAGTATTACCTCTTCAAGACAGGAGTGGCGCAAAACGCCCTTTTAGTCGTGGCAGTGTCAGCTCCTTTGTAGCAAGGTGAGCAATCGACTTGTTCTTTATCCACACAGGGTCTGGAAGGCTATTCGCGGGATCCGGGAATTAGGAAAAGTCAAAATTTTTCGAGAGGGGACTCGCCAAAACTCTTGGCGGAAGATGTTGTATTGGGAAAGAAAACGGTATCCGGGGTAAAGATGTCAGCGGTAAGGGTTGTGGGATTATCGTGGAAAAGAAGCAGGATTGCGGGTTCAGGCTCACCTTTCTAGACTCTATCTATAGCAGTTGGAGCTGGAATCCCAATGGGTGTTAGGCTTTGCTTAAACATCCAAGGTTAAATTTGATATCACAGTTTACGAACTGACGCAATCATGAGCTCACAAAGAGAGCAAAATCACCACAAACAAATTAGCCCAGTTTAGTTTGACTTTTTGGCGTCATTTTAGAAGTGATTCTCTTTCCTGATTTCTTGGTGCTTAAAAACACCCCCCGTTATTTCTTCAAATCAGATAATATATAGATTTAGCCAGGGCTAAAAGCGAGGCTCCCATTAATATATTTACAATTTAAATCAAACAATAAACTTGTGTTCCACAATTCAGTTAACTTTAGAGCACATTCATGTGACTTTTGAGGGAAAGGCTAAGTGATTTTAGAGAAAAATAATTTGCAAACAGCCCAATAGTGAACAAAATCTTACATCGAGTTGACAGCCTCATATGTACACCCAAAAAACAGCAATCATCTTCGATCACATTTAAGAGCCATACTAGCTCTTGACCACCGTAAGATTAATTAGGCCTGGAAATTATATCAGGCCGAATTTTATTGGGTTCGACAAGTTTACTTTACAAAATCTTGCCAACAAATCTGGGTGCGTGTAAACCAACCTTTTATACCATTTATACATCACATCTGAGATGAAACAGTACTATGAGGTACTGTTTTTATCATACAGACCTCGGACAGAAAGCCGTATTTCACAATTTTGCGACACAAATTGCAATCATTCAATATATTCAGGACGATCGAAGCACGCGTGGGCTTTTAGCTAAACCGTAAAAAAAATTTCCAAAATCACATATACGGCCAGCCGGTTCTCACTTTTGCAGTGCGGGCTGTAGCGAATGTTTGAACGAACATACTAGAGTTAAGCTCCAACATAATAAAAAAATTATTATGTTTATTTTTTTATTTAATTGTTTTATCGATGTGTAATCTTTAAAAGCGTTTGATACGCGCGGCATTTTGAGTACTCCTCACTGAACGACTGAAAACAAACGGAACAGCGATTAAAATTAAAAGAGAGACTACCAACAATCAATAAAAGAAATATAATTCGGTGAAACATATACAGACACAACATTTTTCGTCCACGAAAACAAGTATTAAATCCTGAGTCTTCAAGCTTAAAGCTTAAGTTTATGTTTTAAGCCGGCTTCCCGGTATTTACTTTTTTCAAAGATGAACTCGAGGCCAGGACAGGCAAGAAAATCGCTCAAAGCTTTCTTTTACAGCCAGAATTATAACTAAATGTTCTTTGGAACGTTTTCTTTCTATTTGCGGTGAAAAAATGTTTAAAGGCTTTTTAAAGTTCTGTATGCTTATATCAAACCTGATTCTTGGTCAAATCAAATTGTCTCAAATCTTACAAACGTGCGTAAACTAAATAGCCGCATAAACTACGCTCGACTTCATTAAATTAGATATAAAAAACAAACATCAATCACAATAATTACTGAGGCTTACCATTCGAGATGCAGCTCCTGAAAGGTATCAAGTAAGGCCAGTATCGCTTCAGACTTTTCAACCCTTACGCATCAAGCAAGGTGAAAAACGAAAACGATGCCATCCGAAATCGCATTTCCGACTTTGACAAGTGATGTGTTAACTTCTCAACCAAAAAACCAACAAGCCATGAATAACAGAAAGTAAAAAAATAATAATTTTATTTAAGCTCGTTAGCGTGAGGAGTGGTTGCCCAATCTCCCGAGCCCGGGGCTCATGTATTAAACGCTCGAGCATTCCGGATCGAGTTGTAATTTAGAAATGTTGGTTTTTGCGGAGAGGGGAAAACCGGAGTACCCGGAGAAAAACCTCTCGGAGCAGAGAAGAGAACCAACAACAAACTCAACCCACATATGACGTCGAGTCCGGGAATCGAACCCGGGCCACATTGGTGGAAGGCGAGTGCTCTCACCACTGCGCCATCCCTGCTCCCCCAGGAAGACTCCTCATAACAGAAGACTCCTCATAACAGCTGAATTTCATTTTGTGCATCCAGTGGGAAAAGACAGTTAAAAACATCACAAGTTGACACAAAACTCTGTCAGCTTCAGCTGTCAAAGTAAACAAGGTTCAAGATGATGCATAAATTTTCCGCATAAGCTCACCTGTCAAATTTGGACCAATCAGAGCATAAAAAATGGACGTAGAGCGTGACCAACGCGTGACCATGGTGAGCAAAGTCAAAAGCAACTGTCTTCCCTGCCTGTAATAGCTGGCCGAAATTTCGCGTCCGAGGTCAGTTTTAAATCAAAATGTTAATTGCGTGGCACAAAAACAAAACATCTTTCATATGAATTTAAAAAAATCAAACTTGAGTCTGCGATCATTTGAAAACTAGTAACTTGTCAGCGGATACCTTCAAAAAATACTTGACCTCGCTGGGTCAACACCTGTGCCCGCGATACGGTCATGTAATACTGGTCAGCGGATACCCTGTTTTGACAGCTGTCAATTGATCACAACATTGATGCCCAATGGATGTGTGCATTATCAGTTTTCCTGTGCTCTAAAACTAGCTAGAAAGTATAAGACTGAACATTGATCGCGACCTAGTAAAACAACTGGTCAGCGGACAGCTTCCATTAAATCACGTCACCTTGATGAGTTGACACATGAGCCTTCGATATGGCAATGTGATACTGGTCCGTGGCTATCCTGTTTTGACAGCTGTCAATTGACCATATTGTGAATGGCCAATATAAAGGATGTGCATTTGCCACGACACGCCTGAGTCACTCCTCCCTTCCTTTTGATAGTCTCCCCTACCCTACCCGTACAATCTGTAGACACGTACGTACGTACGTACGTACGCTCGATCAGTCACGTGACAACCCAACGAAAAGAGGTTGACCATACTCTATGAATATGGGGCTCTGTCCCACGCGCGCGAGCCCTGCTATAATTGACCAAATCTGGAAGAATTTTGCTAAATTTGTTTGTGTTTGCACACTTTACGGACTCTTGTGGACCTATAGAAATATCCTCAGGGCCCTTAATTTATCAAAACTGACCGGCCAGAACATTTTTGTCGTAAAGAGAATTTAGTTATTAATAAGGAATTTCCAGGCAGCTCAGTCTATTGACAAAGAGTATGCGTCGTATTGATTGGTTTCTGCAGAAATTCACGAAAGCCTTTTCGTTTTCAAAATAGCTGGTCCGGACGTCCAGCGTTTTGACTTTTAATTTACTTGGCACTATTCACAGACGCCTTTCGTGCACTGTAAATCAAATCCATTTGTTAAATTTAAACGACGTTAATTAGGGTACACACGTTCTCCACATCTAGTGTGGATAACAGTACTTATGCAATCCGTGGCATTGCTTTATTTACCAGTATTCTTTTTGTCCAGGTTACCGAACTCTCTGGGTCGATTGAACTATGTGAATGTGTGGCACGATAACTCGGGCTCAAGCCCCTCGTGGAATCTGCGACAAATTGTGATTCGCCACGTTCCAACGAATAAGAAGTCGTATTTTATCTGTAACCGTTGGTTAGCAGTGGAGAAGGACGATGGATTGGTTGAAAGGGCGATCTTCGTTGCCGACCAAAAGCAGATGACAGGATTTCAGAACCAATTTTATAATAGGGCTTCCAAGGACATAGGTAGTAACTGAAACTTAGTGACCTTTATCATTTTTTGATGAATTGTTAGCCCGCGTAGCAAGCATTTCTACTTGAGTTCGTCTATGGAGTTCCTTTGTCTTTTTTCGCTCTCGCAGTCCAATGTTCGCGCAAAAACTCGATCGGAAACCCTGGCGCTTTCTACGCAGACTAATTAACTGTCTCACAGAGTAACTGATTGTTTTACGTTGTTTGACTGATCGGTTGACTGAATGATTGACTAGTGACTAACTTTTAAGACTAAGTCATTGTCTAATTACTGTCTGATGAACCGACTAATTGTCGACTGGTTGCGTCTTTCTATTCATGTTACTGAATTGAACTGAGTCCGTGGAGTGAAGTTTGGTCTTAAATCAGGCGCCTTCGTTTAAAATCGTACGAGCGCACGGCGCGAGTTAGATTTGAAATCACAAGTATAACGGAAACTGAAATCCATTCGATTCAATGATCACTTTATCGCATCTGTTTTTAAATTACATAATTCAGTAGCCCATAAATAAGATTTTAGTGGCTAGTATTAATATTTTATCGATCCAACAGTCAGTTAATTGTAAAACAAAAAAAGGGGGGGGAACCCGAAACGTTTCTAAATCACGTTTTGAGTATGCAGAACAGAAATATTGCGATTAAGAGAAGAAATGAGGGAATTAATAGCATACATTATTTGATATAAAACAGATGTGATTTAAAGCATAGAAGTATGATTCGTGAAAAAAATCACGCTGCTGAGAGTCACTCAGACCGCAGAGATCTCAATTGATTTTAACGTGAATGTAATATATTGATAAATTGGCTGGCTGAATATTGGACTTACCAGTAGAATGATCGACTAATTGTCAAAACTGACGACAGAATAACCACACAACCGACAATTTGATTAAGGATAAACGACTGTTAAGCGGCGACCAAATGGCGGATCGGAACGCACCAATGACACTTAGGCTCTTCAAAGCCAATAACATTCCTGCTTAACTGACAGACGACCAGTAACACCCCGACTCAATTGGCCAATCAGGTCAACATGAGTTTAATACTATCAACTGACGTGAAACTTTACCCTACGAGCAGAGATTTCTCTCTTGCATAACTTTTAGCCTTTAACGAAGTCGTTCGCGTCGCTTGTCAGCCGCGTAATTGGTTTGTTTTATTCGCCCCAGGGCGTAAACGCTAAAAGCCATGCAAGACAGAAACCTCTGCTCGTAGGGTAGGTTTTCTAAACGTCAGTCACTATCAATAATAGTCCTATTCAGGTTTAACTCACCCGAGCTACTTATGTAACTTATTATTGCTATTCTTACGCGACCACAGGTGATGGCCATTTATGGTTTTCAGTGTATACGCGGCCGCCACACAGCTCTTTTACTCGGGTTCAAAGGTTGACCTGCTGCATCTCTCTGCTCTTTTCTTCTATGGTGGCTAACGCTATGTTTTACGAATTGGGCGATGCTGAGGAAAGTCTTCGAATCAAATTTGGACCTATCGACTTCACATGGCAGCAGTTGATGATTGGAATTCAAAGCAGCATTGTCGTTGTCCCCTTTAACTTGATGACTATCACCATTTTTCGTTTCACTGGACCGAGAAAGCCCTCTGAAAGAGAACAAAAAGCTGGACCCAAAGGGCAAGAAAAAAAGGCGGGAGGTAATGCAAAACCAAAAGGGTTTACGGTTCTTATTCGTCTTCCTTCTCTCAGTAGCTACTTATGGTAGCCGAGGCGGAGACAGGTTTTACCTCTCCAAGAATGTACAAGATATTTTTAACACAAAACTTGGCAAGGTAAGAAACCCTTTAACAGGCTACAAAGGAAGCTTCTGCACGCTTTTTCGTCTGTCAGCTGTACAAGTCTGATGGCCTTATCTCCCACGAGTCTTCTCTAACTCAGTGGCATAGTCTCTGGATTCAGGAGAACCTAAAGGGTCAAAGACCAGTCTCTTGTTGAAAGAACCGACATCCCCTGAGAAAACTGGCTGAACAAAAGAAAATACTGTCGACATTTTTCATTAAATTCCAGAACATGTTCGACATCTCTTAATCACAGAAACGTAACAAAAAATGAAAAATCAAATCAGCACTGCACCTCTGGCAAGCCACTCACTTACTGTTAAACTCAGCAGTTTCAAAAGGTATAGCCAATATAATCATGGACGTCGAGCAGTACTTCTAATTTCACTATTACTTTTGTACCCTCTTTATAACGTACTGCTATTAGCGATCTTAGAGCTTACCCTTTACACAAACCATCCAGTGAAAAATCTCCTACTGTCTATCGGAAGCAATTGTGGAGACTAAGAAATTTCAAACAAGAGTATGTGTTTATTAAAACACGAACAAAGTAGAATGGAGTGAAAATACCTGATTTCCAATTGCACAGCATAATATCGGTTTATAAATGGAGCTATTCTTGTGAAAGCATTTAACCATTTTAAAGTAAATGCTTTCCTAAAGTGCGGGTTTTTTAATTTTTGAACTTTTTCTGATAAACGATTTTGTCACTTACCCTTATTGTAATTGATATTGTTAGGTCAAGGACGTGTACACGTTTTGGTGGTGGGCTGAAAATTATATGCTTCCTAGCCTGTATGCCACAGAATGGTACAATGGACAAGCATTTGAAGAAGATGACTTCTTTTCCAACAAAAAAATGTTTATTGTTGGTCTCCCACGCCTGCGCCAGGCAAGAATCAAGCAAGGTTAGTAACAGATTATTTCTATCACATGAAAGTCCCAAAAAACTTTCTCGTCCCCATTTTGCTTTAAGTTCTCAAATCCCGGATATCAAATGAGGTAAATGCAGAATCTCAAAAGACCTATCGGTGACCCTCGATGCCACCACGCCTCCTCATTTATATGAAGGTAATAGACAACTCTTCTTGTCAACAGAACCCTGTGTTGCTTGGAACGCGTACCCTGAGTTTACACGGTGGTTTCCAAGCTGTTACCATGGCTATTCCTATGACAGACAAAACGACCAGTCTGCAGACGAACAACTGGACTGGCTTGATGTCTCACCAGCTTATGTCGTTGGTTATACGACCAGCAATCTTGACAGCACTCAACAGACCAGTAACAACGATAGTATCAGTAGTAACAGAACTAGTACCACACTTGCGCCAGATCAGGATGTAATAGGAAGCTTAAGAAACGACGATAGCAAAGGCAACGCGAATGGTAAAAAGCAACAGGTTTAGGCCCTGTCCACACGTGCTGGGCGTTTTTGGACAAAAACGCAGGTTTCCGAAAACGATCCTTAGAGTGGAGTTTTTTTTAAAACTGCTGGCTTCTTGTTTTCGTATGAGTGGACGAAAACGGAGGTTTACGAAAACCGTGATTTCATACATCATACAGCGCATGCACCTGTAAGGAATGCTATCGTATTTTCAACGTTTCAGCGTTTTACCATGATCGGGCGAAAATGTTTCAAAAATAAGCTGCGTGTGGACGCTTTATGTTTCGAAAACGGAGAGAAAATCTCCGTTAAAAAAAAATATATGTGTGGACGAGGCCTTAGGCTAATTAAGTTCACACGTCGCCGGACAATTTTTCGACCGGTGGAAAATTCGTGCGGTTTGGTGTTTCGTTCACACGAAACCACCTCCACCCTTTAAACCCTAAGATCAAAATTTGAGTTTTCATTTCTTGCCCCTATTCATTTCCTACAGACGTAGTAGGGAGAAGTTGATAAAATATCAAGCAAATTCATCTTGTGTGATCATGTCCTTAACTCTCATGACCACTCTGTTTTACAAAGCATTAGGAGAAATTTGATGCTGATCGCTTGTAGGGCTTAAAGAGTTAACCGTGCAAAAATTTAGACGCCAAGCTATTCAGAGTTCCGTGTGAACAGAGCGAAAATATTGAACGGTTCCGTGTGAACGAGGTGTCCGTCAAATTTTTTAGCCGGTCGAGAATTCGTCCGGTGCCGTTTTGAACGTAGCCTTAAGGTGATGTTACACGAGGCGATTCGCAACGACGATTTTTAGCGCAGCACAGCGTTGTAATGTTGGAACAATGTTGAAACTATTCCAAACAATGTCGCAACAATGTTGCAACGCTGTGTTGCGCTAAAAATCGTTGTTGCAAATCGTTCCATGTACATCACTTTTAGATTAGCAAAACACCGCGCTTTTTGTACATTTCTTTAAAGTAGAAAGACCTAATTTCACTTTTTATGGAGGACGTGAACACAATGCTATGATTTTCTTTTCTTTCTTTTCAAAACTTAGATATAGTCCTTTAGAATGCAACACCAGGAAAATTCGCCTAGATTTTAACACATTGAACGAGATGGAATAAAAGGGAAATATATTGAAATAATGCGAATCTACTTCTTAAGTGACGTTTTCGGTTACTTAAGCTCTCTGTTTGATCAAGCCTTGCAAAGAAAACAAAATATCTATAACAGAGCCATCGAATTTCCATTTTTTTTTTGACAATATAATTTGATTACTTTATCATATGTTCCTGAACATGCTTATTTCTCTTGAAAGCGGTAAATACCTTTACTCGCCCGCGAGGGCCGATTTTGTTAACTGAAAATCGTTAAGAAAGTTGCAGTCGAACTCCACAGAAGCGGACACCCTAAGCAATAATATGATGAGATTTAGGCCTTGTCTACACTACAGGGGCACCCAACGACGATTTTCGGAAAAATATCTGTTCGGAAGACGATTTGAGATCTAGAATTTTCGGAACATTTGTCGTAAAATTTCTTGCTTGCCTGCCTCTCCTAGGATTTTCGAACATCTAAAAAAAAGTAAAATTGCCCATTTTCAACGGATTTTTACCCTAAAAAGGTCACCTAGAATTTTCGGAAGCCTTTTTTCTGGCTGAAATTTCGAACGGGTAAGTTTTGATCCCTATAATTTTCGGATCACTAGACTTTCAGCTAGGAAATCCGAACAGATGAAAAATTTATAGGGGATAAAAATATGCCCATATCCAACGTTTAAATACTAAAACACTTTTAACAGTGCTATGTTTAAGTGGTTTTGAACAATATTCTCGTTGGGTGCCCCTGACACTGTACCAGATACCCGGGGGGGGGGTACTCCCTAATATGGGCTATATAGGTATGTGCGGCCCCAAAGGGTAGAGTTTTTCAGCCGTTTTGGTCATAAATTGGGTATCGATTTTGGCTATTTTGCCGCCATTTTGGTCATAAATAGGGTAACGGTTTTTGCACTGTAGTCTTCAATGCACTTTTTTAGAAGAAGCTACTTCCTTATCATGTCCCCTCCTCCCATCCGCGCTTTGCCTTCCTCTCCACCGGCTGCTTTGTAGGTCATAGATAGGGTAGGGAAAATCGCAGATTTTGGTCATAAATAGGGTAAGGGTTTTGGGAAGCGGGTACCCCCCCCCCGGGACCAGATAGCTTTTGCACCGGTGCGAAAACAATACCGAATAGGGCTTGAGTTCACACATAAGAACTGATTTTGGCGCGATTTCTGTAACGGATCGAGACTGCGCCGCGCCGATCTCTAAAGTGAAGAGTCGGATAGAAGTTCGCGGCTTTTCGTGTCGACATGAACAGCTATCCGGCATATTATAAGCTATCCGGTATTGCCTTAGTAGTCGCTTACAAAACATGGTCGCGAATGTAATGGCCTAGAATTGCGGTAATTTAAATAAATGAAATGTAGTGGCGTAAAGGGAATTTACTCATGACGTTATGACTGCCATATTGGTGTCCCAAAATAATAAAACGGCGGCCTTGTTGTTGTTCCAAAAACCAGTCCTGTGGGAGTAGAACCTTCTGGACTTCTTTTTATGTAAAAAATTTTTTTGTTACAATTTGCGCAGCTGCTGGCCGCGCGAGTGAAAACGCCTTAATCTTATTTTCCTCTATTTTATTTAGGAAATTCCGAAAACGTTGCAGGCTCAGAATTTAGAATCCTCTGTACCCATACACTGGAGTACCACGACGCTTTATCTCTTGGCACACTCCCCATTGTCACGGAACGCAACACGTACACTGGGGGCGGTCTTCTTGCGGAACTAGGGTACGATATAGAAACAGCTCAAAAAGTTCTTGCCAACCTTAAGGCCGATATCTGGATCAACAGACTGACAAGATTGATTTCGTTGGAGTTCGTTGCCTTCGAACCTGGCTCCAATCTCTTTGCGTATGGTCGATACAACTTTGAATGTCTCCCAACTGGAGGGATTTGGACATCTTACCGCATTGATCCTATTTCGTTCGTCGGAAGCATCAACTCGAGTTTCAGTTCCATATTCATCGTTTGTTATGTGCTGATTATTATTATTCTCTTATACTCGATTTATCGGGAATTCAAAGAAATGCGGCAGTTGAAAAGCAAGTACTTCAAAGACATCTGGAACTACATAGAGTGGGCCTTCATCTCCTTTACCATTACTACGATTGTACTGTTCTTTTTCAAATCAGAATACACCAGGTATTACTTAAGTATCTTGATATGTAAATATAAATAATGTTTTGCAGTCATAGGTAGTAGAGGAGTATGTTTATGAAAGCTGGCAAACACGAAAGTTGAAAACAAAGGTGCTTTAGTTTGTTGGAAGCTCCCTGACCCTGCACAATCCTTTGTTTTGAGTTCAAAAATTTGGACTGGATAAATTAATGCGATGTTTTTGTTGGTCAGTAAGTTAAAAATGATAAGAATGCAATTGAACGAAGTGCACGGTCAGGTTAAAAAAGGTAACAAAAAGCATATGACAATGGAATCTAACGGGTTTCATAATCATTACACTTTAATAACTATGATGCAATGGACGGCTTAGAGAGACTATTGGGTTTTCACATTTTTAGTGTTTAGTATCAAGGGATGTTTTTACAAGTGGCGCCGTATTTGGACAAAATACGTTGGGTCAAAATATGAGGCGAGTAAACATATCCCACGATAGTACATTCATAACTGTTTAACAAGATATTTATTTTTTCCACTTAGATTGGGCGGTCTACAGTACAACTTCATAAATTTGCACACTTACTTGTTTCGAGAATTCGTGACATGAAACAGACGTCACTCCTGTACAAGTCCAGTTTTGCCTGCCTTTTCGGCGTTTTTGTTGTTTGGTTAAGTCTTTACTCCGTCCCATTTGCTAGCAAAACACAGATGGAATAATAAATAGTTTATAAAGCTTATAATGATGGCCTTGCGGTTTTCGCGTAATACCGCCATCCGAGAAGAAAGAAAAAGGTTGCAAAGGAAAGAATCATCCGCCAAATTAAGGAAATTTAGAAATAAAAAACAGAGAAGGAAAATGAACGGATTTTGTCTTACACAGGGTTAGCGCTTTGGCTACACTCCCGGTACACCCAAACCTCCCCTTTTAATGCTAACCCCTACTCCCCTCCCCTTGAGGGGAAAGGTTACCTCCTGCCGATTGTAATATGAGCAATAGACCATTTGCAAATTCCTTTAAACAATGTCGCAAGGCTTGGGTTGAGAAAATACGTTGATTTGTTTATGATCTGTTTATCCTACCCTTGCAAGCCTCGCGACTCTCCTCATAAGGGAGCTTTAGCAACGAAAACGGCGACGGTAGCGAGAAGGTCAAAAAGCAATAGGTTTGATTAGCATAATAACAACCTTGCACGTGCAGCACACTGCATATCCTACCCTTGCAAGCCTCGTCCATCTCCTCATAAGGGAGCTTTAGCGACGACGACGGCGACGGTAGCGAGAAGGTCAAAAAAGCAATAGGTTTGATTAGCATAACATCAACCTTACACGTGCAGCACACTTTTTTGTACATGTCTTTGCCGTCACTGCACGACTACGGCGTGAAAATCCCTAATTTAACGTTTTATGGAGGACGTAACAAGCGAAAACGAATATTTTTCGCTTTCAAAACTTGAGTGTGGTCCCAAGAACTCCAGGGAAATTCGCCTACATTTGACATTTTCAGCGAACTGGAAGAAGCGCGACAAAGTTTGAAAAAACCCGAATTCATTTTAAAACTGACGTTTTCGCTGCCGTCGCCGTCGTCCATGCTATAACTCCCTATTGTTATCTTACTGAAACGGAATGCGGGAAAAATCTCTTCAACGTTAATTTGGCAAACGGAAATAATCACGCGACTTAACGTCGTTCTCGGTTAGAGGTAAATGGATCTAAATGTCCCAATTATATCATAATCATCATAGCTTATAATCATCATCATCATCATCATCACTATCACCACCACCATCACCATCACCATCAACATCATCATCGTTGTCGTCATGGTCATCGTCATCATCATCATCATTATTATTAATATTATTATTATTATTGATATTATTATTATTATTATTTTCAATAGGAGGCTGGTTGAGAAAGTGCAGGCCAACCCTTACGCCCGAATGAGCTTCGATTACGTGGCTTTGTGGACAGACACAGAGAGTGTGTTTCTTGCGCTGGTCATCTTCCTGGCGACAACGAAATTCTTGCGCATCTTAAAGTTTAATAAGCACATCAGCATAGTAACCAAGAGCATGGCAATTTCCAAAGGACCACTACTTTCCTATTCCGTTTGCTTTGTGGTGGCTCTCTTGGGATTTGCTACGTTTGGTAACATCACCTTTGGCTCCTCAGCGTACATGTTTTCCACATTTCCAAGATCAATTGTTAATTCGTTCGAAATGATCCTTGGTAAAGGTGAGAAAAATCTTCGATTCAACACTGGACGAAAAATTTACTTTTGATCCTCACTAGCGACTCTACCATGTACGCGTGCATAACAGGGACTTTAAGATCCATCAACGCGACCGCTACGAGAACGTCAAAGAAAGCCAATAGGTTTAAAAAGCAAAACACCAACTTTGCACGTGCATCACACTTTTTTGTACATTTCTTTGCCGTTTTTGCACGACTATGACGTGAAAATGCCTAATTTTTGCGTTTTATGGAGAATGTAAACAATTAACGACGAAATTTTATTTCTCTTTCTGAACATGGATATGGTCCCTTGGAATTCAACTTCTTGAGAGTTCGCCTACATTTGACGAAGTAAATGGGCAGGAATAATCGCAATAGAGACTGAAAGAACGCAAATTCATTTTTAAGCGACGTTCTCGATGCTGTTGCGTCGTTGGATCTTAAAGTCCCTGTTCCCAAATAGCGGTACAACCATGTGTAAGCATAACATGGTCTTTACTGGCGACGCAAGCGTGAACAAAAACATGAAGAACATAAGAAGCGAAAGGCCTAGACATGAGCATAACCCTAAACACAGAAATTATCGATGTAAAAACTTTGCATTCTTCTTATGCTTATGCTTATATGTTAAGGCCGTCTTCATTAGCGCATGTCCTTAAACTGGTTATGCATACTTAGTAGGCTTGTGCTTGCGTCGCACTTTTGAAAATAAATAAGGCCGGTTGGAATGACTTAACTCCATCAGTGTAAATTCTACCGGAATAAACCCATGACGAAATAATTAGCTATGTCTTTCATCTGCTTTTCTTGTAATATATCAAACATGAGATGCAGTGTTTCATCACCAGATGAAACACCAAGAAGAGAGTTGAAAATACGACGCGCAGCGGAGTATTTTTGACGAACTTCGAGGTGTTTCATCTGGTGATGAAACACTGTGTCGAATGTTTGATATTTCTTCTCAAACAAAATCATTTTTGAAGGAGAAATTAACGACGCAAAAATGAGCAGTTTTTCATCTGATATCCAAACACTCATTAAACATTAATTTCCTTTGAATTTTCTTTATGAATTATTAATGAGTTTGAGAAGTTATGGTCCTTCCCTTTTAGGTACCAACTATGACGAGCTGGAATCCATCAACCGCTTCCTCGGGCCATTCTTTTTCTTCACGTATTTTCTCGTTACGACGCTCATCTTGATGAATTTCTTTGTGGCCATACTCAATGACTCTTTCACCGACGCTAGAGAAATTCTTGAAGCGGAGTCCACGGGGGAAAATATGTCGGACTTCATTGAAGAATACGCCAAAGACAAGCTGAAGGAAATATCAGACGAACTACGAGCAATGATTGGCGGAAGAGAGACGAATAACGCTGCCAGTGATGACAAGCGCAAGAAAAACAAAAATTGGGAAAGAGATTTCTTTTTGTACTAGCCTCGGAGCTGTGCAACCCCTTACTGAGAAAAAAGTAGGAACTGGAGCCGAAATACATTCCGCAATTGCTTCTGGGATAGTTACTAGGGTAGCGCCGGTCAGCTATCGGCCATTTTTTTTCCTCGTCTCTAGTAATAGTTCCAGGGATCTTTGCGAAAGTAACTCGTCCCAATTTCCTTTCCGTTTTACAATTTTACACACGGCAGAGCACCAAATCAAGAAAGAGCACAGTTTTATCAGTAAACTTCTGAAAACAAGTCAATATTCTTTAATGAACAGCAGAGTCCCGTTCTCGAAAGACCGAGTTAGCGCTATTCCAGGAAGACAATTGTCTTTGCGTTCTTTTAGATTGTTTAGTGGATCATTTTCGGTTGACAAAACAGTATTGCGAAGTAAAGCTAGAAAACGTGTTTATTATAGCTGAAGCTACATGTTCCCAGAAAGATGGCCTTGCTTTAAATTTGGCTTTATCCGAGTTAATCATCTTTCAAGGAACCGGGCCAAGGGGTTTTCAAGCTTTAACCAGGTTGCCACTATTTTAAATTATTTCCATGAAGTTTAAATTTTTAAGAGTTTGTGTCGAACGTTTTTGCTGGAGCAAAGCTTGTTGAGTCATTTAATCATTTAAAAACAATTGGATCAATTCTGGACTTGAAACCACAGGACAAAACCAAATTTAGGGTAATGTTTGCACTGTTTCGCATTCTAAAGCAAGTGTGCGGAGTATAAAAGTTGCCCCCTTTTCTTCAATAACGATTGGATTTATTGCGGCACATTCAAAAGTACGTGTATTTTCAAAACCTGCACAATGTTCCAGAGGTGTCACTGGAGTAGTCACCTCGATGGAGACGTTTCAAAGAAAAAAGAATGATTTTATTATGTAATAAGAAAAAGTGTCTGTCTTAGAATTTTCCTTCGATTGAAATTTAACAATAAGAAAGCTATAACCAAGTGGCTCAGTAACTTTAAAGGTGTCTCATTAATCAATAATTAAATTTGCACGGTCGTTTTTAACTTGGGATATTTCAAAAACAAGAGATACGGAAGTTCTTTTTCAAGTGTACCCCTTGCTTTGCATTCCACCACATCAGTAAACAAGTTAGTTCAACGCCATTCACATATTTTTGAATTGAACTGTAACCATCTTTTCAATAAAGAAGACGCACCTTACTAGTGTTGGTTAATCTCTTTAAGTTTGTTTCTATTCTCATCGCCACGCTCAGCCGAATTTAAAATACTTCTGTCACAAGTATGAACAAACAAAACAGCACAATGATATATGGACGGAGCTGCCAGCAATCGAGTTTATTATACGAATAAGAGTTACAACAAAACCACCAAAATAAGGGATATATGCGAGAAATAAAGTTACAGTGTACCAACAAACGCTACATGTACAGAGCAAAAATTAACAAAGTAAACGGAGTCAGCATATCACCAAGAGCGATGCAAAAGTACACGTAGAAATCAATTGTAGCCATAAAATATATAAACCTCAAAAAGCGCCCACGAGTAAACTGGTCGGCGTCAATTGGTGTGAGATTCATAGGGAGTGGCTTTGAAAGGGTCTAATGATCCCAACGAGAACGAAACTAAACAATGTAAACAACAAATAAAAGAAGTACATTATTACGTTACGCTCGCAGCATACCTATTTTACTCAGATACAAGTTTAAATCTCGCCAGAGGTTAGGAGGACATTTTGCTTTGCTTTCGTGTAGTTCAACGACACAGCTGACCATGGTAACGCTGGCTCAATCATGTGCGCTACTTGATTCGCTTTTATTACTTTATTTATTGCGAGAGCTACGAGTAACTGGATAGGTTTGTATGGTTTTTCTCATTAAATTGCCACGTTGTCATTAACAGGAGTTGCTGGACTTTTTCCCAAGCAGCAGGGCTTTACAAACGCTGTGACTGGAAAAACAATGGGTATTTGCTGTCCGAGTGACTCTCTTTTCTATTTTGTGCTTCTTTTTTACTTGTGTTTTTGTTTTGGGTTTTGTGATTCTGTTTAATACTTTGCGTTTCTTTCTTTCTTTCGTTCCTTCTTGCTTGCTTTTCTTCTTTTTTCTTTTTGGTTTTGTGATTCTGGTTTGGTTTGTGTTTCAGTTCAGTCTGTTTTGTATTTCCGTTTTTGACTTGGCGATTCTGTTTTGGAAAATGTTTCTGTTTTGAGTTTTGTGGTTCTATTTCCACTTTTGTGTTGTGTTCTCCCTTTCGGCCACTGTATTAATGTCTTAGCAAAAGTAGCAGAATTCGTGCGACTATTTGATTTCTATTGTTATGAAAGTCTTAATATTAATTGCAGATATTTTGGTATTGTTCACTTTAGAGCACACTCACTTTGGCCGTTTTCTTTTTGGGCTCTTCTTCATCCACTTCTTAGGCGCCTTATGTGAACCCGTTAATAGAAAGAAGACGATTGTTTTCACTGTCAAGATTCTCTGATTAAAGGGCCATCATTGCCTAGTCCCTGTACGGCGTCTTCCCAGGCCTTCTCGGTCAATGCATTTCGATGACGTATCCGAGACGTGACCGAAACGCATAGGCCCTGCGGAATAATGAGGCCTAGGGACTAGGCAAGGGCCTTCATAATGGGAAAGAGAACTCATTCGAGGTTGAAAAGGCATGGGGGAGGAGAGGGGGCGTAACACGTACCCCTGGGGACGAGTGTTGTTTTGGAAGCTGCAAATTGAAGGAAACACCTGAACAGATGGTAAATACGCCTTAGACAAAAGGACAGCGATGAAAACAGCTGAATACTAGGTGTCTCATATTGGTACATATGCTCAAGGCTATAAGTTAAGGCTAGGTTATTTGTGTAAAAACACTCAGTGGGAAGGACTAGGATTTAATCGCTCTTCACGAAGATGATCTTGTTGGCTTTGCTTTGTGGATTGCTCTTTGTCCCTGGTGTTCAAGGTAATTTATGCTCTGCTCACCACACAGTTTAGCCAAATTCAGTTGACCAGGACTGACTGACCACCAAAGAGAGTGAAGCATAAAATTATAGTAGCCCCTTTGAAAATAAGGTGAAGGAACATAAACGGCAAATACAAGAAGATTAAAACCGATTGCAACTGCCCTCTTAAAACCAGAAGGCCTGTTCTTTCTTATTCTCAAGATCTTTCGTTAGATTTATAGCTGCTAAATTTTACTTTGTTAGATTTATAGCTGCTAAATTTTAGTTTCCAAATTTGTCTCTTGCACTTTTGCGAAATTAAATGTTCTAGAAAATATGTTTTCACAGTGAACGATGAGGCTTATTAATACTTGCTAACTATTAAATTCCAGATCCTGCCCTTTTAACGTTGTTTCTGAGTTCGTGAGAAGATCTGAATATATTGTATGTTCTGTTATATTTTACAATTTTCTATGTAAGTCAGAGAAACCCTAAATCGTAACCATTCAAAAGAAAGGTTATAAGTGATTTATCGATTAGAATCAAGAGTTTTAACGTATTAACCATGTACATGATGAAAACGCTAGGTTCAAAAAGTCTACTTTTGAATGTCTTTGTGGCCATTTTACTTAGTCACATTTGGACAAAAATATGCATGGAAAAATTTTGGAAGAACGCATCTGTTCTTTCGAGGAAGGATGTTGGAGTGTCGTAAATACTCTACGTCCTAGAAAAAAAAATCGTATAAATAGCGTATCATCTCAATTATTTTCGTTGCCATGGGATTGAGTTGCAAAGCTTTGTCTATGCTCTTTTCACACGTGGAAGTATATGTTAACTGTTTCCTTATGTTTTTGTTTTCAAGCGGAATGTGGCAAACGTCCTATCACCACTCGTGTGGTTGGCGGAACGAACGCAGTACCTAACTCATGGCCATGGCAGATATCATTGCGAGTGACTATACGAGGAAAGCTCTATCACATTTGCGGAGGCTCGCTCATTTCACCGACTCACGTGGTTACTGCGGCTCATTGTGTTGCAAACAACGCCACACCGAGTCGCTACAAAGTTGTCGTAGGTTAGAATCAAGGATTTACGCCGGCTGAGTTCTCGCGGAAGAATAGAGAAGCCTGCTAGCAAGCTATTCAAGGCGCTCTGGCAGCGGGACTGCCCTCTGCTGGAATAGATGGAAGGGTATATCCTGCTGATAAATGGTGTAGTACTGTTGATGCCGGACGAGGGGAGGGGGAGGGAGTAATGCACTTTCTCATTTAGCCTAAACTTGCACGTGCTCGTTAAGAGAATATGGTTTTCGGGATCTTGTTAAGCCTTAAAAAGGCAGTGGATTTTCCTATAAAGAGTCTTGAACAGGATGTCTTTCTGGACTGGGGGTGGGGAAGTAGAGGAAAGAAATCTAGTTTTTTTTTTTTTCGTTTTGATCTAGTATAAAAATAAATGAACATTGATACAAAACATTAGGAAATCTGCTCGAGCTTTTCAGGAGGTACGGATTCCTTGAGTATATACAGTCGTTTCTTGACAGTTTGAGTACAGATAATGTCAGTTTCAGGTTGAAGTAGGCTCTCACACCCAAGTGATGATAGCCGCTTATGCTGTCGAACTTCACGAATCGGGCTTTGTTTTTCTTAGAAGCTTCTGAAAAACAGGAGCAAGGGTGGATTTCCACCGTCACGTTTTATAAAATAGAGGCAATGTATGAAAGGTCGCGCGTAAACGTTAAAGTCGAGCGAGGTTCAAAGCCATTAGTGATTTGTCTTATTTTTACTTGGCCCTTTGTGATCACACAAACTCACAAATAATCAACATAACGCTATAGGTGTACTGACCGCGCTTGTGTATCTTTAAAGGTGAACATGACCAGACAAAAAACGAAGGGAGCGAACAAGTGATCGATGTGGCAGCGGTTTGCTATCATGAGGACTTCGCCCTGCATCATCTGCGCCATGATGTTGCAGTACTAACATTAGAAAAACCAGTGACATTGAGTGAAAAAGTAAGCACTGTGTGTTTGCCTCGGAGTGGACAGCAAGTGGCTACGGGAACAAAGTGTTATATAACTGGTAAGTCCGTTAGAAGCAATAATGATATTAAGCCTAACTCAAACGGGAATATGTTGGTTCAACTCAGTTCGTCGGAAATTATCAGTTGGATGCGTGGCAATCTTGTTCCCAGCTAGAGTCCGCGTTACCGGCCCTTGTCTATCAGAACCCGCTGCCCGTTCCGCTGCACTATGGACACTATAATGTAACTCGGACTCTGTAAGTGAGTTTGGTCGGATGGAACACGTGTAATCCCGTTTAAACACCTCTCTTGGGGGTCTTGTTAGATAATGTTTCCTCTAAATGAATTGGAAGTCAGACTTTCATTTAACATTTCCTTTGTTTTCGAGAGCAAATGAACATGTCGCCATATGTTGGCCAAGGTTTGATCAGCTTCGCAACATGTCCGATGCGTGTATACGCAAACATTGTTCGTTAGTATGATAAAAAAAGCTATAAGTTAACCTCTCCTTCCATACGACTATGTTTATTTTTCGAAGTAAGATATAGTAACATCAAGGTATTTCGATGAATCGACGCACTGACGTCATCTATACAATCCACAGGCTGGGGAAGACTTATCGGCGGCGGGAGTCCGGCGACCATTCTCCAACAGGCTGCCATGCCTGTGGTAGATCACCAGACCTGTGCAAATGCTAACAAAAACTTAGCAACCGTAGATCAGGAGAGTATGGTGTGCGCAGGATACGCTACAGCAGGCCATGCGATTAGCGGCTGCCAGGGTGACAGCGGAGGACCATTTGTTTGCGAAGAAAATGGACGTTTCGTTCTGCGTGGGGCCGTGAGCTGGGGGCACCCTAACTGCGAAGCAGAGAAAACCTACACTGTGTTCGCTCGTGTTAGTTCTTATGTAGATTGGATCACGCACCAAATGGCAATTGGAGGTTAAGGGAGAATGCATTTACTTCTTATGTTAAGCAAATAAGCCAGACTTTCTCTGGTTTATATCGGAGCTTCACGCGCGAACGAGTGAGTGGAGCCCTATAGCTAAGGAAATTTTGTTATCTATCTATTCAAGAAATTATGGAAGTCACTTGACCTTTCGTCCGCAACACAGGGCAACCAATGTAAAAAGTCACACTTTCTAGCTAGGTGGGAGGATGGTTAATTTTCCATGGTTGGAGCCTAAAACCTGATATTGCTCATCAATGTTGTGATCGATAGACTGCTATCAAAAGCGGGTACGTATCCGCTGAGCAGTATCACATGACTGTATCGCGGGCTTAGGGGTCGAGTTATCGAGGCTACGCGTTTTTAGTTAACCGCTGACAAGTCACTAGTTTTCAAGGTCGAAAATTTGATTTTTAATTAACCCCAGACAAACTACTAACCCATCACGCAAACGTCTAGGACCATTCTCCACCGTGGGTGTCTTGCTGCGCCCGTGATATTCCCCACACGGGGGAGGGGAGAGTCGTGGGAGCATCGAAACACCCACGGCTGGAGACGTAGTCTGGCAAACGTGAGCGTTGACAGGGAATAAAGAGATGCTGGTGTAATTAAGAGTGAGCGTTGCCGAGTGGCCAGTGCGACGGCATCGAAATCTGAAAGTCCCTATTTCTAGTCTTCTGGTATGACTTCTATAAACTGATTTGTTTTTATATAATCTTGAGTTCAACACTTCGGCCATTCTATTCTCAGCTGTTTACCTGATTCATAAGTTTTAAGCCGAATTAGGCAAGTGCAGGAGCCCACGTCATGGGTTCCAGACAAGTGGACTTCTACCATAAACAAAGCATCTACAATTGCATAAGCTGATCAATTAATAACACTCACAGGTTAATTAAGTTTTACCATCATCATCGTCGTCATCATCATTGTTATCACCATCATTATAACACTTATTATTCCTTTTTCTTTTATTTTCTTTCCTTTTTTTTTTCGTTAAAGCTTGTTACCAGCTGTGATTTCTTTTTTTCTCAGGTCACGGTAAAGGATGTGCTCCGACACCCGCACCACCAACCAAACGACGTACGTTTCAGTCACACATTACAATTCACAGTTTAATGTCAGAATGTCTATCAAAACCAAGAGCCGTCGGCTTCTTCTGATCAAAACGTAATAGAGTCTTGTTTAGCGCCGGAACACACTTAAATGACACAATCAGAACTCGAGAAATTTGTCTACCTTCTCGAGGGTTTAGACGTTTTTCTTTCACAGACTCCTATCCAGTCGCTATTTATGTGTTCTTTGGGTGAGAGGAGTGAGAGAAAATTGGGGTTGAGGCGAGCGGGGATTCATGAGAAGGGACAAAAGGAAAATAGCGTACGAATCTGCTCTTTTCAACTTAACTGTCCTAACTCTCGCCCCAATCTTCTTTCTTTTCGTCGCGTGGCCACTTGTTCGTTACAATAAGGCCTAATGGTCCTGGCGACAAGTATGAGGTGCTCTGGGAATTTAGTGATGTGAGGCCTCACAAGTTTAAAAGTCCAAAACGAGTCTTTTTGGAGAAGATTTAAGGCGATTGGTGTTACGCGTTGTCCTATAACAAGTAAACTTTGGGTTACAGGAAGTGGGGACCAATTTGATATAGGAACCGCACGTAGGGTCAATGCATTTCCGTCGTGATGTCACTTGGACCAGGTGACCTGAAGCGCATAGGCCGCGCAATATAATGAGGCCTGGTGACTAGACAAATGCGAACTACAAATTGAAATGAAGTTAACTCCCTGAATGTTATCTTTGTAGTTATGCGCCTATTTTATTGTATTCACTCAGAAAGTTCTTTTTCTCGTTTATTTTTAGCCTGCTTTGATCGATGGGGAAAGGCAACATGTGAACGATACAAAGGCTCTTGTGGGGTCCACACTGTCAGGATTAGCTGCCGCAAAACTTGCAACTTTAAATGCTAAGTAAAGATGAAGCCTATATCCAGGGCCTGTAAAGCAGTTAGCTTGATGAAATAAATCTCATTGAAAAGGCAAGAACCCGTGTATAACAACTTGCTTTTTTTTTCAACTTGAAAGTTTAATTGAGGTCCTATACATTCACTATATAAGACAGAACTAGACTGCAATACAGTCGTTTTTTTTGTTTTTTTTTTTTCATAATCGTAACATTCTCAGAATAGCGTTAGAGTCTCACGCGCGCAGACACGCGCGTAAAGTGCGAAAGCCTCACACGCCCAAGGGGCGTGTGAGGCGAGAGAAAACTGGATAGCACAAGTGGTTTCCCTGATACTTATCCGCTGGATAGTGATTAATCCGGTGGATAGCACTATCCAACGTTTGAACAACCCGGGCCTGGACAAGACCTGGCCTGCAAATAAAACCGTCTCTCCTCGCTTGTCGCCGCAAGGGATGTTTCGCAGGACAGACTGCGAGACCGGATCCGTCCCCATATTCCGCCTAGGGTCGGAGAAAATACAGGATAAGATTGTTGGAAACTCCTCACCTACTCACCCCTCCCCTAACTTGACGTTTTGTCTTAAGCAAAAAGTCAGCGTTAAAAACGTTGGGTTAGGGAAGGGATGGGCGGGCAGTATCAAAGAATCGTATACTGATCCTCAGACATCCCCTAAGATATTGACAAGGTGTAACAGACTCACGGAGATATTTAAGGGTTGTCCATTATACCCGCACTGTAAAGGTAACCTTCGAACGGGGAGACCCTGCCGCGTGGTCCAGCCGCTTACCCTTTTATAATTTTACACCTACTTAATTAGAATAAATCTCTAAAGCAGGAAGTCTACTTGCAATTCTAGAATTACGTTGAATAAATAAATAGGCACCTCTTTTCAAAAAGAATTTAACTAAGGGCCCGTTAGATAGATTTTCTAACCCTTTCAAATACTTCAATTCTTCAATTTCTGAATACCCTACCCATTCACCCGGGAGGGGGTGGGGGGTACTCCCTTACAAGAGGCTAATGGCGATGTGCCGCTGGATGGCGTGACATTTTCACGACTGGATTGACTATAATGGGGTCGCATTTTCAATAGAGTTACTAGAATGGGTCGCAAATTTTCGGATTTTTGGGGTAAGTAGGGATTCAAAAATTCTCAGTCAAAAGGATCAGGAAGTTGTTGTTTATTAAGTTTAACAATAAGCTGGCATTGACCTCATTACATTCCGTTCTTGAAACCACAACTTAAATATTAACCTGTTACTCAATAGCACAAAACCACTGGCCCAGAACAAAGTCCACCGAAACATCAATACTACGGCATTTACTTTTCTACTGGATTGTTATCGTCCATGGAAGATGAGTTTTGGATGACCTTTTTAAAGGATTGACATGGAAGATGAATAAATAGAAAGTGACCATTTGGGATCAGGAAAATTACATTTTCCAAAAAGTGACTAAGATGGGGTCTATAATTGGCCACAAAATAGACTAAAATGGGGTAGGGGCTATGAAAGGCCAGCGGCACATACCTAGTAAACATTAACCCACGTACTCACATACCTGAAGTCTCACGGGTGGGACGTTTTGCGAAAGTTTTCTCTGGTGAAACTTCCCAGCGGCGGCAAGCAGTAAGAGGCTCTAGTCTTGTGTATCCTCTACGGCAATTGCCCAGGGGGTACTCCTGGGAAATCTTGGTAGGGGTGTGCCAGCTTGTTTTCCAAATCCTGACCCTATTTCAGACCACAAAATGTCCTCTTCCATACCCGTTTTCAGACCTGAGACGCCAACAAAACGATTTCTTAATTAAAATCCATTTGGAATTCGTATACTAGAATTATTGCATATATTTCTTTGTCATTCATTTGGAATTGAAACGACAAATACATTCATACACTCTCGTAGTTCCCTCGAAAACCACACCCGATTCCAGACCAAAGTGTGCAAAGTCTATACCCGTTTTCAGACCAATACGGCGCAGAAACCATACCCTCTAGGGGCTGCACATAACTATATGGCTTATAAAAGAGACAACCCCCCCCCCCCCTGGGGGCAATGGCACATGAAAGGCGTGTGTTTACGTACAGTACAGCCCAGCCGTCAAAATCTGTTCAAAAGACAAAGAACAGTTGACTTCCGATACTTAAAATTGTGTGTATCTATAATTAGCCTAAAATATCAATAGTATGGCGAGCGGAGCAGACGAATAGTCACCGCAGTGATTCGTAGTTATAAACTAACACTGCGAGTACAATAACAAGCACTTGAAGTTTAGGAGTTTTAAGTTCAAGTACTTGTTGTTTTCAACAAAGCTAACCGAGGTTGCGACATTTGCCTTGGATATCTTTATTCGAAATACTTTCTATATGTAAATATGTAGTATGTAAACTGATCCTGAATAACAATTTTGTTTGCTTGTGAATGGAGCGACAACTGATGCCCCATCGACAAATTGCAACAATAGTTTACAGTTTACAATTGGTTTCGTGACCAAAGTAAGCCTTTGGGTTTCGTTAAGGCATTCTAGTCTACATGTTCGCGATAAAAAAATAAAAAATAAAAAAATAATTAAATACAAAAATACAAATAAATAAAAGACAGAAATAACGGTTTGCTTTTGGTATAAAAGGTCGAGAACGGCGGTGAATGGCTTGACCGTCAGAAACACTTGTTCGAATAAGTTTCCGGTCATAAATTAAAATTGTCTAACTGTTTTGGCGGTCTAAGAGCACTGAAACACGGGACGGAATAACATTTGAAAAGCAACTAAACGCGCCGCAGTTCTATGTGATGTTTCGACATTGAGGCCCGTCCACATAAATTCGAATAATTTTGAAACCGCTTCTTCCTTTTTTAGCGCGAAGGGGCCGGGAATGAATCATTTGCCCACCGGTTGCGGGTTGAAGGAAAGCCGATTCGTGTAAAAATAAATACAGCGCGCGCGGTGTCATTACATCCGGATTTAGGTGAACGGGGCCTGAATTGCTGGAATGATTTCCGCTGTCGATTTAGATGGAAAGTTAATTACATCATTTCCAGTAGGGCTCCTCAATGTCCTTAATATAAATATTTTGCTGTCCTTAGATTGAGCGACTGTGATCCTTGTTTTAAACGAGGCTTTTAAGTGAGCAGTAATTCCCTATCGCGCTGCTCGAGCCGGGCTGAAACGAACAATGTGGCAATACACGCAGTTTGGTTAAAATTGGACGGCTTGGGAAAAATATGAGGCGCCGCTATTTGAATAAACACTTTTCAGCAGAATTTCTTATGGATATATGGGAATTTATTTTGAACTTTCGGCTATGCTGACACTCAACCGGATAGCTTCTTTGCCGGCACGAAAACAATACCGGATAAGGTTTCTGTTCACACACAACAACGGGTTATTTCGGTGTGGTTTCTGTAACAGAGCGAAGCTGCCCGTCGCCGATCTTCTTGAGTGGATAATAACATATCGGATAGGTGTTTATAGTATACCGGATAGACGAAAAATATTCGGTATTGGGTTTGAACGTGACAGAAATGCATAAAATTGTGTGACTGAAACCCATGCATGATTTGCTTTATTGTTTGGATGCATGACGAATTTACATTGTGCGGGGGTCTGTTTAAATTGTGCTGATTTTTGCGTGCTGTCATCCAAGGCTCGTCACCCTGCATCACGCAAGATGTTAAAAGCACTGAAACAGGTTTTTTAGGAGACATAACGAGTGAAAACTTTGTTCAATCCCATTTTTCCCGAAAAGAAAAATTACTTTTTGAAGATAAATCTTTTTGCGCCGACAAAAATACTCATTTCTTTGCTTTTGAGCTTTACTTTGCGTGACTCCAACCCAGTCTTCCCCAATTTTTGTCGGCTTTGCGTGCTATGTTCGCGTGACAAGGTGCAACCGCTGACCAGGGTTCCAGTTAGAGCGACCAGGAATGTAAAGAAGTGAGAGATGGTGAGCGGACAACGAGAGATGTTGACCTTTCGCCGTTAAAAATAATCCTGTGTTTTGGTCGTGAAATTCGCCGCTTTTGCAAAAGTTGAAGACCATCAGACCAGGGTTTGTCATGGGAGAATTCGGAGAATCGCGAAAGGGGTACTTTTTGAATCGATTTGACTGTTCCTAACACGAAGTTTCAATGAAGTGATTCTTTTCGCGGGCGACACAATGGATAGGTGTTAGCACGCACATGCTATTTGGTGTGAAAAGTGATAATTATTTTGATATTTGTATTTTCTTTCCCAGACAAAACTTGGAAACCATCATCTCAAAGCTTTCCAAGGAACAACCGAACGGTAGACGCAATAGTTTCATGCTGGTAAGTGCATTTTCTTATAAACTTCGGACGCTTCGATTCGATTCGCATCACACTGCCTGGTCGATCTTGCGTGTTTTCAAGTGACACGCTTGTTTGGTATGCATGACTAGTGTGGGGCACTTTATTGTCAAATTGTGTGAGTTTTAGCCCTGTAAACTTGTTGGAAAGCCCTCATCAAGCAGATCGACAAGCCTGGCAGATATTTACGTAACTTTGAGGCGAACTTTTGTGGTTTTTATGGTTTCGTGTCTTCGCTAGTCAAACTATGATTGAAGCCCTTTGTAGTTCACGATAAGCAGGCTTGCATGTAAATGTGTGAAATGAATCGCGTATTTGGAATACCTCCTATTGGTAAACTGCCTTTGAAGCTAACTCCAGATTGTCGGAAGGCTTTACACTTGAAAAACTGTTTTTCCAAGTAATGCAATTACCGTGAGAACGTACCAAAATCGCCGTTTAGTCCTGCGAAGTGATAAAAATCGACGGCGGGTTCGGGCGCGGAGTTTGACCTGATGAGCTCATTTGTACAGTACATGAATTGGTTGTTCCAGAGTTTCTCAGAGGCCCATGCGCTTGATTCGGGCTACAAACAAAAAGGGCCGCTTTCATTCGGATGCAAATCTGCAAAGGAGTCTTTTGTGATCCTTGAATTTGAATGATGCTTCAATGAACTGGTACAAGCAAATAACTCAATATGTTTTCATTTGCCCTGCGCCGCGGATGAAATCGAATAGTAGTGTCACTTTGGCATATTCATAACATCGTATTGTTTCTTACGCCGAGTGCGTTAGAAGGCTCTTTTTAGAATATAAACATTATCCGTTTTTTTTTGCACACGTGCTTTCGGCAACGGGCATGTGGTGTAATTTGTCTAGATGGTTTCGGCGTTGAAATTTCCTCGCTGCGAAGGGCTAGGTGTTGTTTACCACCGACCCTCAAAATTGATTGTAACACTGATCTAGGCGACATGCAAAGATGATTAACCCAAGAATTTCAAAGGCCAGGGAGCTTAATTCGCACTGTCAAAACATGCGTATATTGACCTACAAAAACAAAGCCGAAATACTGATGGGGTGAGTGACTTAATTGTGGCAAATTTACTACATCTATGAGGCTTTAAGTCGACTTCATATTTCCAAGTGCTCTGGTCAAAACGGCAGAGGTATACCAAGCAGAAAATATGATATTATTCTTCTTAAAAATCTCTTTATTCAGTACTATTTACTTTTTATTTCACTTTTGGGTCCATAGTTTCCTTGCTTGTTACATTAACTCAGAGTAGGGAGACCAACCTTTTCAGCAAACCAGTTGTTTGTTGTCTATAGATTGGTTACTTTTACAACACACTTTTAAGTGTCTCTCCTTACAAAACGCATTTTTTACCTCCGAAGTTTTCACTCCGTTTTTAACTAATTAGGATCTGTATCTGGGGGCGTACCCAGCCCATAGACCTGTAGGCTTGGGCCTACAAATTTTTGGTTTGATCACTCTACTGCTGGTAATAAATAATGTGTGGTTGGGTAAGCTAAAATGCGTAACAGCTTATGTTATTGGTGAGGTCAGTGCGTACTAGTCATGAGTGCAATTTTCAGTATAAGTGAAAAATATTAATGAAAGTCAGCCAGGCCTACAACTAGTCGAAAAAACGGGCTGGCTACGCCCCTAGTATCAGCCCTACCCATAAATTTGTGCCACCTTTCAATGAGTGTTGAACCAACACCTTTGGGCCTCCTCCAGGTACATATAGTATTCTCTACTGTTTTAACTGCAAATTCTATCAAAAAAATTTTTAATGCAAGCGGTTATTCTTAGAAATTACAACAGAATTGGTTAAATCTTTCTCTTAAAGTTCAAAGATAGGAAATTTCACTCATTCACTTTCAGAAGTGAAACTGTTAACAATAATATTGACAAGCAAAATGTCTATTTTTTTTTTTTCTGAGGAACTACCAAGTGTGTCTTTTGAGTGTCATTTTAATGTCGCGGGTGTTCATTCGAGGCTGGTCGCTAATTAACTTTTTCTGCCTTTAGGATGGGCGCTTATTCGAGGTGGGCGCTAATTCGAGGTTGGGCACTTATGTGAATAAATACGATATTATCATTATTGTTATTAATCAAAGCCGTTCTGATGTTTATCAGCTGTTTTTGTATATTTATGTGATTAAACGCCCAACCCTAGGATAAGTGCTCACCTTGAATACCAAATAAACTTAAATAAACACTTCCCTCAAAAAAGCTCTGCCTCCCCAGTAAAATCAAAATTGAAAGACATTAATTCTGTTAATTTAATATGGAAAATGATGACACTGTAGTTAAAACAAATCTTTTTTACATCCAACTTTTAAATAAACACTGCTTTCAAATAAGCACTGCCCTCGAATAAGCAGTGCATTTGAGGTGTGAAAAATTTTAAAAAGCTTGTTGGAGTTAATACGGTAGCTGCCCGCCCTACTATAGGTAGGAAACTTGATACGCAACCAGCCTTGAATAAGAAAAATGATCTTACTACTGACAATGACATGGACAATGATTAAGTACCACTAGAAGACTTCCCCAAAGACCAATTTTTTTTGTTAAGTATTTTAAAGAAACTTTAATTGAAAGGCTAAAATTCTGCTATGGTACATCTCCACGTTTTGTGACAATTTATTGTTTTGTTGCAAAACAAACTTGTTACTTGCTGAAAATGGTGGAAATTTATTAAGCTCAGCCTCGAATGGCACCCACCTAAAATAAGCGCCCACTCTCAAAGCCCAGAAATTTAGTAAGCAACCAGGGTGCTTAATCAAATAAATACAGTATGCAAACAAATCCCATATTGGCCTATGCATTTCTGTTACTATCTTTGATAGTTTGTCTCTAGAAAGTCCTGGTAACTTTTCTGGCCTGAAGCCATTACTGTTAAAATCAAATTTTAAAAGGATACTTTAGTTAGTGTGGTTCAGCTGGCTAGCAAACCAGTCCATTTCATTTTGTTAATTGATACAGTAAAAAACTGTGTGTAAGAAGCATGTGATTACAGAATCTGCTGGCAGAAATTTGCCATTTTAATTACCAAGCACATAAGAACCTGTTTAGCCAAGCAATATCAAGCAGGTTCTTTTATACATGCTACAGTTAACTATTTAGCGATGGGGTCTTACTTTGAGATTAAAAATTTACATTACAAGAAAATACTGAGGATATATTCAGATACATTGTAACATTTCATAATCAGTCTTGTCAGGCTTATCATGATACAGTTGTGAGTAAATACTGTACATTTAGTTTATTCATTTTTTCTCTTGATTAACATAATATACAATTACTATATTATTTCTTTTTACTGTAGTTTTGTCATATGAGAGGGATTATATTTAGAAACACATTTACTGCACACAGTAAATGTCTTACCACCTGACCAACTCATGTCCTGTTAATTGTATTGACACAAATTAGTTTCATGTCAGGTTTATAGTAAGAAATATTTTAGGCAGTTTTTATCTGGCTTCTCATTTGAGAAACTGTCAACTTGAATCTGATGTTTGTCAAAATCTCTCTATTACCTTCTCTATTACATGTATGTAAACGAAAACAGCTTTTCAGCTTTGGTAGTACTAAGACTTTTGAGAAACTGCCCTCATGCACTCGATATTTTTGTTCTTTTTTCATGTTTCTTTTATATATATATATATAATTTGCACAGGCTCTCTTGCCAGGAGAAGGTGTCTAGGTTTAGCATGCTTCCAATCCCCTGTAACGGAACCTCCCTTGCGGTTTCACACTGGAAATTAAGGATGGTACTTATTGATGGGTACCGATCCAGCCGTCTCAACCAAAACAAGCCATTTTCCGGACCGGTTCCAACTTTACTGTCTTCTTCAGCGGAATTTTACAGTGTTAGCTTGTCCGGTCGCTTAAGCGCCATTGGACTTATTCCATTAACTGTGTCACAACTTTTTATATACCATAAATTGACAATTACGTGTATAATACTTTCATGACAATGGCAGTAAAGTGGGTGGATAGAAATAATAGTGCCATTTAACCATCAGCTGCTATTACCCTCGAAGCAACTGATGCTTTAAGCTCTTTCTTTTTTTGAAACAGGTGACGAAAAAAATAGCAAGAGATAGTCACATTTATTTTACTACTTTGTTCATTGGATTAATTTTCTGAGCAATTTATCTGAATTCTTAGAATGTTTTCATTTTCAAAAGCACCCCACTTGCACTTTACGTACCAATATGACATGTATCTTTTGGTGTCAAGAGCTGTGAACTCTTCAGGTTATGGCAGAAGCGGGTAACATATATTCTAATTATTGTTGAATCACTGGGATGAGTTAAGGGCAACCTCAATAAGGCTCTGAATGACCACAGCTACAGCCTGCAAAAGACAGCTGTTCTGGCCTCCGCACATATCTTGCAACGATTTTTAATTTGCTAAGCTTAGAGAACTGGCTGTACTCCACCTAGTGGATTTCCTGCAGTACAACAATAACCTGCATGTACTATGAAACTAGAACATAATAATCATAAAACACTTGGGGATGAGCCAGGGTTGTCAAAAGTAGCCACCTGCCGGCGAAAATCGCTCCCCTACTTGGTTAGTATCGGCCGGCTACTCTGCTTGGCATTCTTTACAGATGGTGTTTTTTAAATAAAATATCCCTGGACTGCCCGCTCACTTTGACAATTCAGCTGTCTACTTCAAAACTTTCTGACAACCCTGGATGAACATTGCTCTTTTCAAACAAACAATAATGGTTTGGGGGCATCTTTCTGCCAACTGTTGCTACTTAATTTGCACATGAACATTTGGATAATACGTGTATGTTGAGATAATAATTATAGTAATGAAAAATGTTTATCAAGTCAGTGCTTTAAGAAAAATTAAAGAGAGCCCAGTGCTCTGAACCTGTGAAATCCAGGGTGCCCAGCATATAATTCATGAGAAGAAAGTAAGATTTTCAGTTTCCTGGGGCAAAAGATAGGTGCCTGATGCCACCAGGCACAGCTAGAGCACAGTCTTGTTTAACCCTTTAAGCCCCAATATCCACATACAAATTCTCCAAACTGATCTCCATACATCTCCTTTAACAATTAGTTGAGAGAATTTGATAAAAGATCAAAGCATTTTTTCTTTGGTGATCATTTTATTAATCCTCATAACTTTATCTCTTGACTGTGTATGGATATTGTTAGGAGAAAATTGTTGTTGGTCACTATTGGCACTTAAAGGGTTAAGGAACGTCAAGCACCAAATTCTTTGAAACATTGCAATTTTTAATTTCAAAAGCAAATTCTAAATATTTCTGCTAAAATAAATGCAATCTTTTTCTGGTCTGATTAATGAAAGCCACTCCATCTGTGCACCATACATGTATTAATAAGTGGAATACACTGAGTATTTTGACTGTAAGTCTCAAAAAGTGAAACCTCTAAACCAAAAGTGTCATCTGACTTGACTGTTTTCAGCAAAGATGGGTCCACCAAAAAGGTAATAACATTAGGCTATAGCTCTTTAGAGTTGCAACCCAGAAAAGGGATGCAATATTTTGCCCTAACAAGCAAGCTGAGGTAATATTTTATATTTTGATGACTATAGGGACTCACAGCAGATTTCAAGATATTCTGGCAGAATTTGAAAGTAAAGGACTAGCAGCAACAAAGATATTGCGTGAAAGATCTCAAAGGACACGCCTGATTGAAAAATGTGAGTTGTTGCCCGTCTTCCTTGACACAATTTTATGTTAACTCAGAATGTCAGGAACAAAAAAGGTGTAAAATAAATAAAACAGGATCTCTGATTTTTATTTTTTAGCCTCTTCGGAAATGTTGGGTGCCTTCATTAATTCCAGCACTCCTAGGATAAAAATCTCACGCTTATATCTCAGAAAAAGTTGGCAGGTATACAAAGAACAGGCTTTTTTAGCCTCTTGGGTTACAACATGCACAGTTAACCTTTTTTGCTGAGTACACTGTATAAATAATTTGTAGTTATAATTGTTATGCATTTTAAGTCGACAATGGCTTCAAGCAAATTTCTAGGTTTAATTACATGTATGTGGTGGCTGGTCACTTTCTTCTTGTTAGTTTCAGTTATTTTTGTTGGCATTAATCATTGTGATTTTCAAGGTTAAGGACACAAGTAGTAGAATTGAACACCTCAGCGACTTCAGCTAGCTTACTAAACAAATGATTTTTGGATGTATAAAAATTTAAGCACAATTTAAGGCTGGTACAGGAACATTAATAAAGATAATAGTTTAAATTCTTTGATCAAAGTAATTAATTATTGTCAGCAGGATTTACTGATCTGTTGAAAAAATACTTAAAAAGTACCAAATCATAATACTGACCTCATTACAAAGCCCTAATGTCACCTTTAAAATGCAAAATAAGTTTTGTGCCACAATTCATTTTTTTTAAATTCCCCGACAAAAACTCTAATATATTATTACAGATCCTGATTACCGTAAAGGGGAAATTCTTACTAACTGTGAAATGTTGTGCACAAATTTCTGTATTCATGCATATGTTCTCAAATTAAAGTTCTCACTTAATACAGTATCAAGTTAAATGAACAAACTTTGATACAGTATATTGTAAATTAATATTATTTTTTTCCCGTAATTTTAGCCATCAAAGAAATGGGTTAATGAATTTATTCAGCAAATTTTAAGCTCAAAATTTTGTTTAGACACTTTTATGTACAACCCTTTTCAGGATGCAAAGTAATGAAATTGTATATACACCATTTAACAATCAAGTCCTTGTTAGTGAAAACCATGCCCTGTTGAGCAACACATACACTGTACCAACTTATGACATTTAAAGTAATGCACACACCCCTCCTTCCTCCTCTAGGTTTCCATTACACTTGTCAAGTCATGCACAAAGTACTTATTTGCTACAATTTTTTTTGCTTTCTCCATTTCCAGATCTCAGGGATAGATCACTCAAATGTTATGTTTCATCTTGGCTCTGGAGGAGGTTTGTTGATCACTTGCTTTTTTTATCCTTTAGGCACTGTGAATTACATGCAACCTGCAAGCAGTGGTTTCTAGTTTCTGGCATGGCTTTTAGCATTTGTAAAGTCATTCCAGGGGGTACTACTGGGAATTCTTGGTGGGGGTTCTCTGAATCCTGACCAGGTATTTCAGACCAAAAAATGTCATTTCCACACCCGTTTAAGACCTTACGTAAGCAGAAAATGTGTCATGTTTACTTAGATTGCCAACAAAAAAGATTTCTTAAATCCATTTCAAATTTGCACATTAGTCAGTCCTTTCTCATTCACTTGGAATTGAAATGATAAATATGTTCATGCACTGCTGTAGTTCCCTTGAAAACCACACTGGTTCTAGACCAAAGTAGGCTAAGTCTATACTCGTTTTCGGACCAAAATGGCACAAAAACATACCCTTTAGGGCAGCACATATTTATATGGGTTACATAAGGGAGTAGCTCCTTGGGAGTCATTCATGAGGCAAGTCAGTTACGTATTAGTTAGTTCATTTTCATGCCATGCAAACAACTTTACAAATACTAAGAGCCATGCCAGATAAAAACCTCTGCTCGCAGCGCACTGTGAATTGAAGTTGCATCAAAATTCACATATTTACTAGTAAACAGATAATTTGCACTGATATCAGTTTACACTATAAAATAACCCCCCTCCATGCTCAATGAAGGGTTTTTTGGCTTGGCCTACCCCTACCCCTCACCACCACCCCCACTCCCCCATCGCTGTTGAAATGATTCCGGGTTGGGTTAACACTTCCCTTACAAAATAAAAATCAAATTGAAAAAAAAATCTTACTGACAATTCCATAATCCTACATAGCTGGCAGCTTCTATTTCAGACCATAAAGATTGAGAACTATGAGAGAGGACCTGCCTGTGTGTGCAGAACACACACTAACACACAAAAGGATATTTACATAATTTCCCCTAACTATCCTTGCTACACATTTTTCTTGGGCAAATGTTGTCCGGAAATTTGCTTTCCATTTGTTTGGTTTTTTTTCTGTTTGTTTGTTTGTTTGTTTTTAATTTCTCAAAAATCTGGAAATTTTGGTCTAATGGAAAGTGCCCCTACATTTGCTTCCTGGCTGAACTGTGAATGGTCTCTTAGTTTTAGGATAAGTTTTTAACACTTGAGTGGCAAGTATGATATGTGAGTGTCAAAGAGTGATGAGAGAAGTGACTGTGAGGCTGGGTGCCATTAATTACATGCAATTTATATGGGTCGTCAGAAATTTGTCTCTTGTATGTTTTTCTCGATCAACTAACTACATTGAAGAGAAGGGAACAGCCGCTCATAAATCTAGCTAGAGAAAACAGCCGCCATTTCCCAGAGAAACGTATTATTTTATTATTTATTATTTTTAGTTCAGAGTAAACACGACTTTCGCCAAGAATCTGTGGGCTTCTATCTGCCCGAATATTTTATTAAAGAAATAGCAAAAACTGAGCTATTTCAGCCAGCTGGTCAATATTTAGGGGTCAAACGTTCTGCAGACCAACTTGCTTTTAAATTTAAAATAATTGATAAAGGGTTTTAACTCACCTTTGTTTAAATGTGGCTACAACTCTGGAAAGAACCTATCAGGGGAAAATGGCGGATTTGAGTTTGCCGCCGGAAGAACACGGAGGGGATGACGGGAAGGTTACTTCCGCTGTGCACACTATTAGAAAAGACAGTTATGGGGTCGGGGGCTGGTGGGGGGCATGTATTTTAAAAATTGCCCGTCCCCGCCAGTCCGCCCCTTACCCATGGGTAAACTACAAGTGAAGTAACCTTTACCATCCAGAAAATTTGTTTGAAGTACTAAATGAAGTCCATGAAACCTACTCCGTAGTTACTTCTCCTTAAAGTGCTTACACAGACTTTCAAGATAAGGTTAGAACAGGCCCCAGTGGTGGGGGATACTTCCCGGTATCCAGTCACTTCGTTCCATGGTCAGATCTTTCCAAGCCAGATCGTTCTGCTTAATAGTTTTAACAATATAGTCAGAACTTTTCCCGTCGCGAGTCTTAAAGCCACGAGCACAAATAAGGACGTTATTACTCATTAGTATACCTCGTTTTTTTGTAGCCAAGAAGCCAAAAAAGCGCGCCTCGCATCGAGCCTGTTGCACTGAAACTGTGGAACGATCTAACTTTTTAAAGTTAGATTGTTCGATGGCTTGGAACAATCTGGCCATGGAACAGACCGTGAACTGATACTCCTCAGTTGGTATGGAGTGAGTCCCGATAGCCTGCGAAGCAAGCGTTTACCATTAACTTATTATACGAAAATTGGAGCGAGAGAGTCGATGGAGGCAACAATCAAAACCCAGAAAAATCTCTGGACCAAAAATTAACTCCCAGGACACTACATCTTTTGTACATGCCGAATTTCCGCCTCAGAATTCACTAAAGCAAAAGGGAATTCCAGTGACAATAAGGCCAAGCGCGCAATAAACACGACGGATGCAAAATCACTAGATGATACACAGCCGTGCTTGCCGAAAAACAGCCGCGAAAGCCTGAAACTTAGCCTGCGAACAGCAGACGCATTTCCGGTCGTCGCTTCTCGAGGGAGAGAAGCGACGACCGGAAACGCGTCTGCTGTTCGCAGGCTACCTGAAACTGGAATGATAGGTGGTTTTTTAACACGAATTTCCGTTCGAACATTCCGACCCCACCCAGTGTGAGATCCAAGGGCGACAACTGACAGGTCACGTGCTCTCTTTACGCGTTTTATTTGTTGCCGACTCGCAAACCAGTCATTCGTTCGTTTGCTCCGGTCGCTTTACTTTGCACGCAAGAGCTCTAAACACATTGAGATGGGAAGGGAATCAGCCTCCAACATACGCTACGTTCTCAAGTATGCTTTTTACGGTACGTTGGTTTTAATTAAGAGACTACTGTGCTGAAAACTGATCGAGAGTGCTTAGGAGCTTTCAATTCCTGGTAAGAGTCTCCTTCCTGGCGCACTCTTGATGTTGCTTGAGATGGTATCAGCTAGTCTGCTCAGTTAGACTGGCTATAATTCGGACCAAATCCTTATATGTCGGATGCTGCTGCAATTCTGTTCGTTTGTTTTATAATTGAAATTGTTTCTCTGTACCTTTCGGACCAAGTTCATGGATGTCTGAATTTCCGGCGTGGTCATTGTCAACCATAATACGATAGCGGTGTCAAAAAATAATTTCCGTCTCCTTCCAAAGGAGGAATCCATTTCACCGGCACATGTTGTCGAGGCTGTCAATTACTCGATACTGTAACCTTCGATCATGCGTTCTTTTCATTTTTTTTCATTTTCTTTTTCGTGAGCGAACACCACTTAAATTTCTTAAACGACCGCGACCCCTGAAAATTGGTAGACGAAGAAGAAACCGGCAAGAAGAAACAGTTTGACATATTCTTTTGTTTTCTGTTTCCGGTCAGCGACCACCCGGCATGATCACGTCGGCCCGAAAACTATGCCTGAGTGACCAGGGCTTATCAGTCAATGTGATATAGCCTAGTTGTTCTACTTTTTCTCGACAAACAAAGGAAAAGACGATCTGAATCCTTGATATAACACTGTCGAGTTCTCTATTTAGCACGGGGCAGAAAATTTTTGCGACAGTTTATTTTTGCGCATTGCATTTTTTTTTCTTTTTTTTTTGCGTTTTGCGAGAACTAATTTTTGCGATTAGGACAGATTGGTTTTTCTTGCTGAGAATTAATTTTTTCGATTTTCAGAAAGTACCCAGTACCCAGCATTGATAATATTTTCGTTTTTACGTACGTGCAATAGAAATACATATTTCCAAAAAATACTACGGTATGCGTACCCTATGTCAACAATGAGAAGTTATGTTTTGCTGGTCTGCCGTCTACGTAGTTTCCTTTGAATTGGCAAACGACCTACCAAATGGCTCATAATTAATCAGAGATTTGCTCAATACCGGACTTGTCTCTGTATTTAACGGGAACTCTAACCTGGGGTATTCACCTGACCTGTATTTGTCAAGCAACCAGGCTCCGCTGATTTTCGCTCTCGCTCGAAAAGAACCCTTGATCGTAGTTCGTCCCGTCTCTGCCGTGTGTCTCTTCCACACGTCTCTGGCGTGCTGGTCAGCGTAGCAGCTGCCATTTATTTTTGTTCAAATTAAAGCCCGCGCGAGGGAACATGCGAAGGGGAGAGGATGCCTCTTCTCCTTTTCTCCCCTCGCACGTCCTCGAGTCTTCTTCCTTCGCGCTAAAAAAACAAACCGGCGCCTGCTACGCAGGGGCTGTTCTTATATTTAGATTTTGGAGAGCTGGTCTTTCTGTGGCTGATTACTGTTTCGGCCATTTGTAACATTTTAATAGCCCGCGAAACATCATCAGCTGATGTTGCCGTGACTGTTCGAGTTTTAAGCTGAACTGCCAGCGGAGGCTTCTTTTCGCTTTCTCGATTTTGGTGAACTCCTAAAAGGCTCCGCATTACTGAAGTAAGATCCCTGTTGAGCATTCTCTGCATTTTTCTTACCCAGGCTTAATAGTCGTGCCCTTGGTACAGTGGGCTCAGTTTTGACCATCGGTTTATCAATAAACAGGTGCTGGCACTAAAAAAAATTGGTTGGAAGAGAAAAGAAGAAAACAAGATTGACTAGTCCTAAAGTTCAGGCTGTGCGATTCGGGTAGAACTTCCTTTTTTCCTTCTCGATCAAGAAGACAAAAAAAAGGAGGCTTTGTTATCCCAGCTGGTGACGCACGGCTGTTTGACAAAACTGATTTTTTCAAGCGTGTTTTCTAAATCTTCTTATGTGGAAACGCTTCCTTACGTCCTTGCTACGCAGGCTAAAACTTTTACCGCCAGTTCTGTGTTGTTTAAAATTCTTTGTCGCTTTTTAATATGTCGTTTAGGTGCTAAGGCTTTGTCTGGGCCTAATTAACATAATAAAAAGCCTTTGTTAATATACCTTGTTCGATATGTCAAATTCCTGAAATGTTGGTTTTTTCGTGTTTTATCGTACTATGGTAACTAGTTTTAATAGCGAGAACAACACTAAAGAAAAAACAATGAAACCATAAGAGATGGCCTGTAGTTCCTATTTTTCATATCCATCTTTATCTTTGTTAATGACGATTTTTCAGCAAACCTTCATCAAAGACATTTGCATTCAGCTGTCAAACTGAATTTTTAATTTCGTCATCACACTTCTCTGAGAGTCTTTTTCTGAAATATGAAACACGTAGTTGCTTTTTAGATACAGCAATTACCGGGGAAAAAGAAAGTAATCTAGTAAACTTTTAGGCAGAAATGCCGTTTTCCGTGATCTTCGCTACTTGGTTTCGTCTTGGATGGGAGCTTTATTATTACGAATTGAAATATGCCATATGCAAAACCTATTGTCCAGTGACCAAACTCAATTGTTGGGCGATCTTGTGAATCTATCTGTTTGTGCACGCAAGTCCTGAAAGAAGTACAAGGGTAAAAAGCTTATATGGTTCCAATGCACTGCTATTATCTCGAAAATCTTGCCTCAGGTAGGCGCTGTTAAGTTATGTCTCTTAAGTTATGTCTCTAGATCATGATGTAAAATCGCTGTTACACTTTTTGGCCTGCGAGATTTTTCCGGCTTCCTGGTATTAATTCGTGTGGTTTCCTGGCGTCCTCGATGTTTGTTTGGTGTCCATCGATCGATTATATCATCCAACGCACCAAACCAGTTCTCAGTTTTGTTGTTATTCCTATGACAATTCGCTAATACTGTAATGCCATTTTCCAGCTAAATTTTCTGAAAATGATCGTTTGTTGTCCTTATTTTCGAGTGTATTAGCATATCATAATTTGAATTTATCGGCAGTTTGTCTGTAGCCCAGGCTACCAAACAAATAAGTAAAATTTCGTTGCCCGCCATCAAGAGTGAATTTTTGAGTTTACAGAAATAGTTTTTTCAACTTTTAATTCTCATACCATATGAATGATTTTGTCCGGATTCAGCTTTGCAACTCGTCGACCTAGTCCGCAAACTCAACGATCAACACTGCCACATTTTCATTTTGTACTCGAGTTGTGTAGTGATTATAAATGACAGGAAAAAGAAAGATGTATTATTTGTGACTAGCCAGTGAGATTATACTCTGAGATTAGGACTTGATATTCTGCTTCGGACATTTTTAAAACGAAGTATTAGTCACAAACTTATTTACTACAATTCCCTGCACTCAATTTCTATAATAATTATAGCTTCAAGAATAAATTATGATCTCGATCTTTTATTCATACGTGGTGCTTGAATTTTATACGTCGACTAGTTGACCCAACGTATAGACCGGGTGCATTTCTGTTCATACCTGTGGCTTTAACGTATTAATAATTATGGGAACATTTTTGATTCGCCGGCAAATTAAAACCAGCAGATTATATATAAGAGAATTAGTCAGGGGCACCCAAGAGGACATAGTTCAAAACCACTTAACATAGCATTGTTGAACGTATTTTAGTATTCAAACGGTAGATATAGGCATATTTTTATCCCCCAAAAACTTTTCATCTGTTCGGATTTCCTAGCTGAAAGTCTAGTGATCCGAAAATTATATGGATAAAAACTTACCTTCCAGCCAGGAAAAGGCTCCCTAAAATTCTAAGTGGCCTTTTTAGGGTCAAGATCCGCTAAAAGTGGGTAATTATACCATTTTGTAGATGTTCGAAAATCCTAGGAGAGGCGGGCAAGCAAGAAATTTTACAACAAATGCTCCGAAAATTCTAGATCTCAAATCGTCTTCCGAACAGATATTTTCCCGAAAATTGCCGTTGGGTGCCCCTGATTAGTCCGGATCAACGTTTGAATGCGCCCATTAAATAACGGTCAGGCCAGACATGTATTCCCTCGCGACTGTGGTTCACGCAAAGCGTCCTGGTGTTATATACGCGTGTAGATAGGTCTGTGGCAGGCTCGTTCCCAGTTGTTTATAAGGGTAGAATGATAGAATGCGACTATTCTTACCTTATAGTGATCATGTCTTGGTCATTACTTTGACCTAAGGGTCCAGGGTCTTTCAATAAAATTTCGAACTGTAATCTTTCAGCGACACCCAACGACCAACGACCGTTTTCTCTAAAATATCTGTTCGAAGAATCAAATATTGCCTCGAATTTTCTATAGCTTGAGAATCGCTAAAAATTTCTCGATGGCTGTTCTTTTTGTACGATTTTCGAAGCTTATCTAGTATATATATTCCCTACGACTTACTGAAGTTTAACCACGTTTCACTTGCAGTTTAAACGGCTATATTTCGATTTTGAAGAAAAAGAAAACGTAATATTATTGAATTTGAAAAACTGATGGAAAGAGGAATCAATAAAATCAAAACCCTGGTAAAGCTTCAAATTGCATCTTAAATTTTCGGGAAAATAATACTAACGTCCTTGTAATTTCGAAAAGATTTAAGTTTTGCTAGGATGACCGAGCAGATACAAACTTTAAAGCGCAGCTTAGATTGCATTCAATGATCTAAACGTACTCTGGACAGCCTAAAAAGTGTTCACAATGTATTCAGGAGGAAATCGTCGTTGGGTACCCCTAACCTGTTAAAAGAAATATAGTGAGAAGCGCTTTTCCTGTGAAGATTTAACTACCTCAGTGGGCATGGGCGCTAATATAAAAGTGACGGGAATGCCTGTCGTCTCGGCGCTTTTGGGGTGATTTTTAATTACAGATTTTGGTCTCACTTCCAGTTAGGGTGTTTGGGATGGAAAGCTACTGTATTTGCCCATTCAGGTATCGCTTAGTACTGTGCATAGGGAAATTTACAACTGCCCTGACACTGACAACACAGAAATGTCCCTAAAGGGCTCAGTTTAACCTTGAGGCACACCCACATTGGTCTCCCTTTGGGGTTTAATTTGAATTTTCCGAGGAGCATCCGCTTCACATTTATATGGCATCCAGAGTGGCCCCCCCCCCCCCCCCCTGTTCCAAGGGTGGAAATCCTCGGGCGCGTGAGGGGTCCTTTTGCGCTCTGGTTCCTGAGTATTGATCTCAGCTTTTTCCCACCTCTTAGGAAATGAGTCTGATGGAGAGGATGCTGAACCTGACCTCTTCCAATGTGGCAAATGCAAGCAAATGTTCATCAGTTTACAGAAATACTTAAAACACAAAGCTGCCAAGGATTGTGTTCAACTTCAAGCACAAAGGGTTGTCACCCCTGTTACTAACGGAGAGGTAAATTAGTAGAACCTTACTAGGTTATTTTAAGGGGAGGAAAAATCGTGCCAAGTATGTAAAATAGCGGAGACTTTTCCTCCCTACTATCATTAGAGCATCGAAAATTCCCCTAGACCACCTCCATAGCCTTGGCTTATTCCAGGCATTCAGACAGTGGGAAGGGTCCCGGAATGAAGAGCGCAGAAAAAACAAACAAAACAAAAACGCGGAAGAAAGGAACGGTGAGGGAGAAAGTGACGTCTTTAGCCTGCGTAGCAGGGGCTTGGAAGTAGTGGGCACAAGAAAAAACGGGCGCGCCAGAAGGAGACACGCGAGGGGAGGAGCTCCCTCATCCCTCGCGTGTCTCTCTCGCGCGCCCGTTCTCTCTTTCACCCACTACTTCCAAGCGCCTGTTACGTAGGCTATGCTTTTTTCTTGTTCACTTTTGTTTGCGCCGTCTCCACTACCTGATGATCGCCTGGAGAAGGCTACCGTAGCCTAGCAATACACTACTCTAAAAACTTTGCCGAGTGAGAAGACTGGGTACCCATATTTAGTACTGAGATTACTAAGATAGTTTGTGATTGGACAATGGTTGTCATTGGAAACCAACGACCTTTCAAAACAATTAGTGACCTAAGTGAATCCAGCATTCCCAGCGTAAAAATTCCACTTGTTTCCAGTTTCCACTCAGAGTTCTGGAGCGGCAGATTTGCTAAAGAAAGGAAATGAAATTACAGTCAACTCTCGCCTTGCGGACATCCTGCTATAACGGACACCCCGATAATACGGGCAGCCGCTAATTCCCCTGCAAAAAAAGAGATGTTTGACTGAAATAAACTCCCGCAATTACGGACTTCCGCTAATGAGGACACTAACTCAAGGTCCTTACAGTGTCCGCTATAAATGGAGTTGCCTTTATTTTAGTTAGTTGGCAATTGAAGCCAGTTTCTGAAACAGCTTGGTTTTTTCTCCAGAGCCTGGACAGTCCTGATGACCAAAACTCTGCCCATAGCCCAACTAAAAGGTACGTTTTAACACGGTTGCTATTGCCTTCATCCAAGACGAGCTTTGGAATAATAATTTGGAAGAATATTTGGAGGGTCTCAGTCCTGCCTTGTTTTTTTGCCTCATGGTTTATTTTTCCAATTTCAGCCTCTTTCCCAGACTGTTCACAGTCTCCTATTTTTAAACTAGGAAGTTTCACGTTGTAGTCGTGCAGCAGCCGCAAGGAAATGTACAAAAAAGCGTGATGCACGTGCAGAGTTATTATTTGCCTTATCAAACTTATTACTATTTGCCGTTCTCGTTGCTGTCGCCGTAGTCGTTGGTTATGCTCCCGAGAGTTTTTTCATGACAGAATTTTTTTTTTCGTTTCTGCAGGAAGCACGACAGGAAGGGAGTAGCAAGAAGAGTATCAAACTTCTCATCTGAAGGTGAATCTGTGAGTCCAGACATCCCCGTGGTCGTTCCAGAACAAACGTACACTGTACCTCCTTCGGGTCCGTTTCCTGTCCACATAGAAGCTCCACCCACGTCCAACTACCATGACTTCTCCAATCCTGTAGTTAGCATCTCGGTCGCTGAAGCCCTCCGCTCGCACAGTCCTGTTGTGGTTCAACCGACACCAAACTTCCAGATGTGGAATGGCACAGTAAACGAGCAACCGGCCGAAAATGCGCTTGCTAACCAGTCCACTATGGCCACTACCAGTGTGTATGCACCGCTGCCTCAGTCTACCCCTGTGGTAAACCCAGTTCCTATAACGACTCTTCCTCTTCACCACCCTAGTCAGTCATCCCAAGGCCCCAATCTTAACCCGCCACCTATGGAACCCCCGCAGTGGACTGGGCCGAGGTTACGAGGGATGCCTGCGGAAATTCAGCCTTTGTCTGCTCCACCCCCACCCCCACCTCCAATTCATATGACAAGGAGTAAGAATGCCCTGGGACAGCACCCACCACCCCTGGTAGTACATCTTAAGGACCGAGGTGTGTAACCATGGATACTATCTAGATGCCAGTTATTATAAAGTTTAAGCAACGACGTTTTTGAGCGACGCACGTCAACCGGAAGTGGACTTTTCGCACTCTTCAGCCGTGAATTTGAACAAATTCTTGGGAAAAACCTTTCTTTAAGAGTAAAGACACTTAGGAATACAAATTTGGTAGCGTCACGATACATTAAAAGAGAAAAACGCTCACTTCCGGTTGATGTTCGTCGCTCAAAAACGTTGCGGCTTAAACTCAAAGAAGCTATGTCACGAGGTGTAGCAAAATTCAAACCGTGGGAACCGCCACAAAACCGAGTGAAACAGAACCAACCGGTCAAAAAATGAAATAAAATAGAAGTGTGAATAACACGTCCTATACAAAAAGAGACACGGATGGACAAACTTGAAGAAGATGGAAACGGATTGCAATTGTGCCTTTTGAAAATTTGTTTGCCTAACAGTTTAAGAGACAAGTTTGTTTGACACAGTGCTATAGACCTCTTTTATAATGAAGGCCTATTAATATTTTCTTTACGCGTATGATAATAGACTTTTTTAGCTTGTATGTTTTTGTTTTCCCATTTCAGGCCACGTGAATTGGGAAAACAAAACATACAATCTAAAAAGGCTCATTAACCTTTCTGACCTCGTTTGAAAGTAAGAATTCCTTTGTATAACTATTGCACATGCTAACGAGGTCAGAAAGGCTAATTATCATACATATAAAAGAATATGTTAAAAGGCCGCCATTATGAAAGAGGTCTATGATTTTGTTATTCAAAAGTAATTCATCAAGTTCCATAGCAAATAAGGGCGCGTAATTGACACTATTAACAAAATGATGACACCCTTTGGCACAGCACCTCAGCCCCTATATAAAACGGCGACGTATCAGGTTGTTTGGAGTTCTTCAATAGTCCATTTTCGTAGTAAAAAATACCGCTGAATGCAAACACTAGTGACAGACTGATAAAGGGTTAGCCTCGTCCCAAAGTTAAATATTTACAAATACTGGAAGAAAGTTGCCCGAAATTAAAAAAAATAATAAACAGTAGAAAGAGTGGATCAAGTTAGGTTTCTAGGAAACTGCCCACCTACCCCTGCCCTAACCCAACATTTTGCCCCAAACGTAAAGTAATCTTTAATGTTGGCTTAGGGGAGGGGTAGGTGGGCAGTTTTCCCGTCTCTCGCGCTTTTCCTGCTTGGCTAAAAGGAACGAAAACGACGGCTACGCTGGCTAAATCAGGGATGCCGAGAGATGAATTCAGGAATTGGTCAGGTGAGGACTCAAACGCACCACTTGGCCACGGTGCATCCTTAGTTTGAAGGAGGCGAAGCTAACGGCTAACGTCACTTCCCACTAAAGTAATTATTATGAACTGAGGCAACGTCTTTATCACAGCGTAATATTAGTCTGGTCATTGGACCTGCCGGGGCTCAAACCCGCGACCTCCGCTTAACAGACCTATCGGCACTCTACTAACCTGAGAAAACAGTCGACATTTCGCGACGCCCCCACTGGTTTCCCAGTGAGGAACGAGCGCAGAAATTCCGTACGGATGACGCTTCACCACTCAGATCTAAGTAGTGCCTCTTATTGGTTGAAGCAAGTTTTCCACCAGTCAGAACAGCTACCCAGGTCTAGGCTGTGCCGGCTCGATCTTATCTCAGGCTAGTACTCTACTATCGAGCTTATTCCACTGGCCTTCACTATGTTAACCGATGTTGTTTATGCTTTCTAAATTAACCGCATTCAGGTCGCCCTGTGAGAGCAAAGGAGACCGGTCTGACGGAAGAAGAGCTAACTGACGAGATTGTCACCTCTTCGGGCCAAAAGATTTATCGCTGTAAAAAGTGTGATAAAGAATTTTCCTTCTCCAGCCGGCTGAAACGTCATCTTTTGGTCCACACGGGAGCGAGACCCTTTGAGTGTCACGTGTGCTCCCGCCGTTTCACACAGGCCGTAGACTTGAAACGTCATATGCTACGTCATAGCGGCCAAAAGCCACACGTGTGTCACTTCTGTGGCAAGCAGTACACTAGAGGAGATCGGCTAAAAGTACATCTTTTGTCGCACACTCAGGAAGACAACTCCGAGAAACCTTACAGCTGTTCACGATGTAGCGCGTCCTTCTTTGAAGCGGAACAACTGAGACTACACGTATGTGAACTCCAAGACGGCGGCCAACATATTATGGCAAAAGGTAAAAATGGTATTGAATTTTAGAGACAGCAGAGAAGAATATAGGCTCTATCACCAGCCGTTGTTCGGAAAATGAGCCCGCGCTCCTTCCTAGAACGGGAGGACCGAAAGAGCGGTCGGAATCGAGGGATGTTACTAAAACAAGAAACGGGGAGCGGGAGATCAGTACGGGGAAAGGAAAAATGAAAAATGGGAAGAATCGAAAGCAGAGAGTTGGAAATGAAGTTACTGATAGGGTTTGGGTGCCAGTTAAACTTTGTTCCTCTTTTCTTCTTCCCGTTGCCTTGCTCGCTCCCCGTTCCTCGTTCCTCGTTCCTTGTTTTAGTAGCATCCGGAAATCGAGCCTAAAAAGAATATAGTATTTGGCAGAAAAATTCCAGAGTCATACCACTCACCAGAGACGTCACTACACTCGTCACAGTCAATTGCATTAGGCATTTTTCTCGCTAATGTTGAAATCCGGGTAGATACGCGTTTCCTAGAAATAATATTGTTTGGTGTTCTTTTTGTAGGCGATGCGACCGAAGGCGCCGAGCGATCTGAGCGGCAAGGCAAAACCTACACTTGTGATGAGTGTAATGCGATCTTCACCAAGTACACTTCGCTTAAGTCTCACCTTCTGAAACACTCTGGCGAGAAGAAGTACAAATGCGACCATTGCACTAAAACGTTTTTCAGCTCTAGCAGTCTTAAAATACACGTTCGAGTTCACACCGGGGATCGCCCGTTCAAATGCAAGGAATGCCCGAGAAAGTTTAGCGACCCGTCGAATTTTAACAAGCACAAACGCTGGCATGCTAAGCAAAAAGCGTCGAACGCGGGGTCGACCACGCTGTCCAGCATCTCCGAAAACAGCTCTTCGCCCGAGAACAAGGAAAAGGAAGTGACAGAAGCAGAACAGAGCAGCTCAGGGGTGGCTGAAGATGAAGCTGTGATTGGAGAAGGCAATGAAGCGGAAGTGGAGCAACCGGATGTAGAAGGAGGTGCGAAGGATGACTTGAAGGAAGATTTGTTTCCAGAAGCGGGTCAAGACATGGAGGTAGAAGAGTCAGGCGGGTTCAAGTCACCGGAAGCCTTGCTCAATATGGAAGGCACAGTTAAACAAGAGGTAGAAACTGATTAGAAGGTTAGGTTAGGGACTTAGTATCGTAGAATTCCGACAGAATGGGTCCCAGCTACCATTACAATCTTCCATTTAAGCAGACCCCAACGTTCGCGTTACCTTTTCGAGCCGCTATTATTTGCAACACATTTATCCAAAGATAGCTAATTTAAATTTGGAAAGGGAAAAAAAGAGTTTGCCTGAGCACAGGCTCGGTAGTTGGGAATAAGGCAAAAACAAGAACAAAAATAGAAAAAAACAACGGTATGAAACAAGAACAAAAAATCGGCGAGCGAAGGGAGCCGAGCGATGGACCGGCCGGGAGGGGGAAAGGGCGGCGCCCTTATCCCCCTCCTCAGACTCCCCCTTTTTTTTTCCTACCTTTTCCCCCACAGTAGAGCCTGGTCCCAGGCTAAATCGCTGAAGCTTTCATACAGTTTCATGTAATATCATCATCTGTTTTTGCCGGACCATCTCTCCGCATGACGTAGGAGAAACGCGAATTTTACAGGGGTAAGATGCCCTGGTAAAGGTTGCACCCTGTTTGAGGTTGATGTAACCGTTGCTCTCAGAATTCTACGAAACGTTTTTCGGCATTTTGTTAACTTAGCTTATGTAGCACTATATTTGTTAAGATGACCGCCTTGAGGGCTGGTTTAAATTTTTGTAAAATGTGGGGAGGACATATTATATGGCGCAATTGCTTGATGTTAGCCGAGCAGCTTGTCTACGGTAGACGAAGCCGGGTAAAATACATTATATTCAAAGATTTATACAACATTAAAATGTGGTTTTTAAAAGAAAAAATTAGTTTAGATAGTGCTGTAATTATTACCGAGTAGATGCGTAGCTTTTGAATTGCAATGGTGTTTACGCATATTTAGTGTATATTTTTGAGGGTTTTCAAACGACATTATTTCCAAATTTTAGAGGTTGACCGTGTATAAGCTTACGCTTTGTTTCTTTGATAGTTTAATTCTATGCATATCCATAGCTAGAGTTTTTTTTCTTTTATTTTTACGAGGAAATGACGGAATGCCATTTCTGTCTTTTCGTTTTCATTTCATTCATTTGATCACGTGTAAGTCGATCATTTATCCCTAACATCTCGTGTTTTCCTAGTTTAAGACGGAAAGAATAAGAATACATATAGTGTCTTGTATTATACATTTTCATTACTTCGCATCATATATCATAAATAACTGAGCTTTAGTTACTGTAATTAGTCTACTCTTCGTGCAGTAAGCTTTGTTCTTATGTTTCAATAATTATGTCAAATCTATACAAATTGGCCAGTAATGGAGTGATTATTGTCGTAGTATCATTTCGTTATTTTCACGCTTAAGACCAAGATCACAGCTTTTTTTCGCGTCTACAAACTCTAATCCCCTGACAATTGAGTAGGATTTCCAGCAATTTAGGATTGGAATGGATTAAAGAACCTTGGAAGAGAGAGCATGGACGGATCCGGGTAATTTTTAATGGAGGGGTCAAAACTTTTGTTCATTGTTGGAACTTAGTGTTTCACAGCCAATCATAATGCAACCTTCTCTACCGCTACTTATTATTTTCTACTATAGTAAGATACACATGCGATACTTCAGTGGTAAAAAAATGAGTTGTATAGAAAATAGTCATTAAGATACCAAAACGTTTTAGTATCTTATTGACTATTTCCTGTACAATTAATTTTAACATTTTCGTCTTCGGCCTGTGGGTGTGTAAGGAGGTTAAATAAGGAGTCTGGAGCCCCCAGACACTCTCCGCTGGTTCCACCAAATGATGACGTCATTGAACAGGACAAGTTTTGGTTGAGAGAGAAGGAGAGAAGGTGATTGGACCCAAGTTTGTATTCTCGCTCTTCAGCGAGTGGATGAAATAATCTGGGTTCTACATTGAATGCCTCTTGAACTTTCTCCAGCAAAACGCACACAAGAGTAAAAACCCGCGCCTACTCTCACGGCTCGGGTTTTCTCGCTCCTCTTCCCTGGCACTATGTAGCAACTATTATACAGCTATTTCGAGAAAGGTTGTCGGAAAAAGTGCGCGCGACAATCCCGAAAGGTATTGTGGGTGGTTTTTAGTTCACTGTTTTTCAAAGAAATTTCAAAGAATGGCAAGAGAGGCCATGGACGTATGTTTGCGAGTGCTAAAGGAAAGCAATAAAAGTAGGTTCGACAGCTACAGTGTCAGGAACAGTGTGTTGATCATATCCCATACTACCTTTCGGGACTGTCGCGTGCACAGTTTTTCCGACAACCTTTCTAGAAATAGCTGTATATGAGCTCGTATGTGTAGATTCAAACTTTATTTTAAAATCAACTTAACGACACAACGTGTTTGACTAATGAACTTTTGCATACCTCATATATTCATGCGATTTAATACTGTATTTATTACAAAGATGATGTACATGACTTGATTCTCTCGCTATAAATTCTAACTGTCTTCCCCTTTACATAAGTAACAGATCTCTAGATAGATTTTCAATCTGCAAATTCTGTAAAGAGAAACTGTGAAAGGAGAGCTTCTATATTAAAGTGTTGTTTAACTTGGCAAGTTTGCGTTTAATCTGTCCACTGGTGATCAGGTTAGTGTTTTGCACTTCAAGTAACGCATAATTCGTCACAGTTCGTTACAGATAATATAAACCTTTTCTCTACAATTTTTTTTTTTTTGATATCACAAACAACTGCGGAATGAGGAGTAAAAATGAGAATAACGGAATGAGAAACACAACGAAACAAGTTAAGTATTAAAGCAGACTCTCTCTCTAAAGAATATTTAAATAAACATAAAATCACTAACTCAATATTTATCTTCTGGGATCGATGGACAGCCACTCTGAACCCCTGCGGGATACTCACCCTTAATCAACGCGGGTTCACTCGAGTGTCCCGTCCCAATAAACTGTCCCTAAATCTCTTCAAAAAATTGACTGCCTTACAAATAACTTTTATCTCCTTGTAAAACAATGATTTCACGTTACTTTCAATATCGTATTGCTAGTTTGCACGTGACGTCACGGCGGGCATCTGGGAATGAAAAACTGTTTTCACGTAAACTCTTCAAAAAATTGTTTATTGTATTATCACCAATATGGACGCCCTGACACGTGCTTGCTAACCAAGAATAGAAAATTTCAGGAGCCCTGGTCACTAAAGGCCTGTTTACATGAAGGTGGGGTACCCCAGGTAAGTGAGGTAACATGTGGCGGGTTACCCCACCTAACATGTAAACGTGATCACATTAAAACGAGAGATTGTATGGACAGGCGGGTTACCCCACCTGAGCGGGTTACCTCACCTACCTGGGGTCCCCCACCTCTATGTAAACAGGCCCTAATAAGGCATAAAGGTCGAAACACACTAGGCGATGAGTTGCAGCAACACGTCGCGGAGACAGATCACTCTTTGTGTGCAGGTCGGGCGGGTAGTTGTACCAACAAGTTGCGGCGACGCATCGCAGGGACAAGTGGCTTCGTGTGTACAGGAGATTTTTTGGTGAAAAATTTTCTCTGCAACAGAATTTTGTCGCCGCAACAAGTCGCACAAATTCTGTCTGATTTGAATTTTTTGCGACATGTTGCAGCGACAAAGATTTTCGCAAAAATCATCCAGTACACACGTGTCACCGCGGCATGTTATTGCAAATTGTCACCTTGTGTGTTCCGACCTAAACTGGCGATTAAGATGACGATTGACCTTGATAAGAGTACATCATCACACAGTCTTTGTTCTTAATCAGCATCTCATATCCTTGGTTTACTTTTGTCATTGGTTTCAGTTTTCTTCAATGCACCCTTTCTAAAATCGCAGATAGAGCTCAACAACGCACCTCGTTCTGCTGTTTTAGGCCGCGTAGACGTTTTCTGCGCAGGCGCCTTAGACGGAGAGGGAGGAGGGGGAGGCTGAGCTGGGGCCTGGGGAGGAGGTGGCACAGACGCTGGAAAAGAGAAGGACAAAATGTGTTAATTCCTTGCCAGAAAAGTATTTTCTGGACAAGCACATAACGGACTTTTTGTCTGACATTTTTCATTGTTATAAACAGGCGCATCGCGCGTAGATTTGGTTTTTTCATTGACTGGCGTGACTAAGGCTTAACACACACCCAACAAACATCGTGAACAGGATTTGATTAGATCGGTTTATCGAAGTGAAATTAGACAAACAAACACAAACATACTGTGTGAACGTTCACTGACAGAGACCGACCCATTATGACTGTTGTCCTTTCACCATTTTCATATAGATCATAATGCACTATGTTTATCCCCCAAAAGTTTGCGAAACCATTGTTTCCAATTTCCCCAGGGTATTACAGTCAAGAGAAATTCAAAACAATGCTTATTGAAAATTTTGTGGAGCAAACAAGATACCCGAGATGTGCAAATGGCGAATAAGCCAGGTGCTCAAATCAATTTCCGCAAACATGCGCGCAGGCGCATTAGAGTCCCAAGCAGTGAGGCTTTATGGCCAAAAATGAAGGCTGGACACAGGAAGCCCAGGTAAAAAGCGTTACTTACACAGAATCGACAGGAAGAAGCCCACTTACCATTAGTTGCAGGCCGGGAAGGTGGAGGAGAAGATGGACGAGCTACAAAAATACGACAGATCAAAACAGTTAAAAAAAAAAAATAACTAAAGGATTTCCATGTTTGCGTTGATATGAAATTGCCAGCCACGGGGATTGCCAAGCGGGCGACCGCAGAAGCAAGAGTTAAAAGAACGTTTGCTTATTAAGAGACACGCGAGATCAAGTCTCCGCGAAAATCTTTAACAATTTATAAATTATCAAACAAAGTCAAACTCGAAGCTGTTTCTCGATTCTAGTCCCGAATTCAACTCCCCGTCCACGTCCGTGAACAGCCAACTGGCTTGATTTCGACCACCTGGATTTCTTTACCTTTTGATGCATATTTTTAAAAACTGTAACGGGTCAGGAGCCGATTACTTTAATCGGCTCCTGATTCGGTTGACTTATTTGCGTGGTCCTATCTCTGTTTTCTCGTTTTTGTTTTATAAACTGGCGAGGGTGAAGAAAGGTTATACTTATAAGAAAAGCGAAAGCCCTGTGATTACACATAAATGTCAATTCTTGAGAGATTCAAGCGTGCATATCGTGTTTTATAGGTTGCTCACCTGCGGTCTGTGACGCATCTGATATGGAAGATTCCTTCTGTAACTATAAGGAAAGAAAAAGGAAAATATTTATGAGCGACACTTTAAAATCAGGGTAAAAAATGAGAAGGGAATGAAAGGAAGAAGGAAAAAAGAATGGAAAAAGGAAGAAAGTGCTCCCACTGAGTCTACTCAGGAGGTCTACTTCCTTGCGGAACAAACGGGTAGCAAGTGAGCCTGAGTAGGCGTTTATGGAGGAAATGGGAAAGAGAAGCGAGAAGCGAAAAGGAGAAAAATAATCTCCTTTCTCCTCGGATCCCAAAGGAAGGCCCCGGCGATACTCAGGCTAGCAGCAAGTAAGAATGTTCGGAAAAGATTAGGTCCAGCTTTTACCTTCTTTAGGGACTTCTTTCTTTTTTTCTTTTCCTCTTCCGACATGTGATGAGCATGCGCTTTAGATGCTCTACGAAACTGCCGTAACTGATGAAAATAAAAACAGTCAAAAGTGAGGTAGAAGTACTCCATCAGATGAACTAAAACGGCTACTTTTTAAAGAATAATTTATGTGATAGAGGCATAGGTCTTGTGGCAAAGTAGTTAGGAGGTTTAAAGAACATGTGTTTATTTGAATGTCAAATGGATCTTGGTGTACATCAGGATCAGCAATATATAATATATAGATTTAGCCAGAGCTAAAAGCAAAGCTCTCGGTAACATTTATAGTTTGTTCAAACAAAGCGGGGAAGGCAACGCAGGAGAACGGTAAAAAACAACAATAGGTCTAATTAGCAAAAAAGCAACTTTGCAAGTGCAGCACACTTTTTTTGTCATTTCTTTGCCGTTGTTTTGCGCGACTACAACGTGAATCTCCCAGAAACTTCTAAGTTATACGTTTTTGGGAGGAAATGTTGTACGTGTTCTCGTTCACTTTTTTTCACTGCCGCCCATTTTCACCTTGCATTGGTGGCCGCTAGCGTTTCTCATTTTGCCACCGCCGCTACAAAATTTTCTCGTTGTTCTTCCAACAAAAAAATGTCTCCTTTGTCCTTTTTTTTTTTTTTATCTCTCGCTCTAGATCTCTGTCGCCCTTTTTTCTCGTTAAGCTTCGCGGGCCTGCCGCCTACTTTCTCTTTTCTCTGACTTTCTCTTGCTCTATATTCCAAATTTGTGGACATGACAATTAATTTCAGCTTAATACTTTAGACAACACGGATACAGAAACAATTTCCGCTTTCCGTTTCCGTCGTTATTGACTCTTTAGTTGTCTCTGCTTTACAAGACGCGGGTGGCTATGCGATTTCCCGCCAAAACAACCTTGAATTGCATTTGGGTTGCCATACCTGAAGTCTGCGAGACCATCCGGTTTTTGCGGCTTTAGTTTCACCCGCCGCGAAGGGGAGAGAAGCGACGACCGGAAATACGTCTACGGTTCGCGCGCGCTTCGCTAATAAAACTATAAATTAACGCAAGGCTGATCGGACAGCTACCTTGGTAATTTAGAATCAGTCATAAAGTGTTAAAAGTTTGATCCAACTTACAAGCTTCTGATCTTCCTTCAGCTTCGTTTCTGCACGTTCTTTGGCTGCTTTGATAGCTTCTTTTAATTTACTTGGGATCTACGATAAACAAGCAACAATAGGGCCATTTATGCGAGGAAAAATAAGACGCGAACTTTCCGTATAAACGGCACATTTCGTCTAAAATAAGACACGGCTTAGCTAAGACGCCTCTTATTTTAGAACAGCCCTTAACACTGTTCTTAGATAAGACGCGTCTTAGCTAAGACGAGAAAAACTAACTATGGTATAAATGACCTTCGCGTCTTACATAAGACGCGAACGCATAGTACGTATGCGTTAATTTTTGGCGCGCCACGTTGGATTGCCGTTGCTACGGGCAACATTCACATGAAAACGAGTCAAGAACAGAAATAAGACGCGAACCATTTATACGAGCTGCTGTCGTCTTAGATAAGACATGCTCGTATAAATGGTACAGTTCGCGTCTTAGTTGAGACGCGTCCTATTTTTCCTCGTATAAATGGCCCTATTAAGGCTTGGAGAGACGTATCATGTGCACGTTCTATGATTGTGTGTGCAAGTGCTAAATGATATGTAGGAGACTGTCAAACCATCTCGCCCAAAATGTTTCGTTAAGTCGCCCGAAATGTCGAGTTATGTCGCCCGAAATGTTATGGTGCTCAGAAACATCCTAACATCTTTATCGCGCTTGTTTCGTCTCATCATCTCTTAAAGACGAGATATATCACATTCACCCTTCATTAAAATTTTTGGCGACATGACTCAGCATTTCAGGCGACAAAACTTCGGGCGAGATGACTTCGGATGACTTGACCGGTAACCTTAATGAACGCGAGAGGTTGGGCAAGTTAAGGGGTGTGGTGAGGGTGGGGAGGATGAGGGAGGGGATCCTAATTTCATTTGATTTTCTAATACTAAATAGGCCATAGCTATCAATTAACCCTTCTGAATTATATTCAGTTTCATACCCTGTGAGTTGAGTGCTTGTTCCGATACAGAGCTTTAAAATGATTTATTTGCAAATATGAATACAACGACAAGAAGACCTAAGTCCTATAGTCAAGATGAAGGATTATACCTTTAGTTGAGGCTTGTCAGTAGAGGAGAGGTCTATGGCTGTAAAGAACCTGCCAAAGGAGAATAAAAATAATTCAGTAAATTAACTTAATGAATAAATAATTAAATGGCAGAGGGCTATCATTAAGGGCCGGTGGCTGGGAATCTTTCCCGATTACTATGAACGCGACTTCCGGCTACTTCCACAGGAATATATCACAAAAATACCTGACGAAACAAAAGAACAAAAGAAATCTCTGGCTGTTTGATTCCCTGCTCACTTGTTGTTTTTTTTCCCGTGACAACCTAGTGGGTTTACGGTCACGTCGCCCAAAAGTAGGTTGAGTTTGATCGTCCGGGTAAACGTAGTCCTGAATAGGACTGTTGTTGTTGACAGTGACTGACGTTTCGACAACCTGTGCGGTAGTCATCTTCAGAGTCATTTGAAGTGGGTTGTATCACGTCAGTTGATGGTATTATACTCTGGTTATTGATCTGATTGGTCAATTAAGTCGCGATGTTATTGGTCGTCTGTCAGTTAAGCCGTGATGTTATTGGCTATGAAGACTCGTAATCAGTAATTGGTGCGTTTCGATCCGTCTAACGTCACAGTTAAAGAGTCGTCTATTGATTGTTAGTTAAATTGTCAGCTCTCCAGTCGTTCTCTCATAGTTAGTATTGCTTGATCTCGTCAATAAGTCGTTTGTACGGCGCTGGTAACTGTTGGCTACGATTCAGTCGCGTTTGTTCTAAGTTAGTAAACCAGCTTTCTAAAGTAAGACGTTGATAGTAGTCTGTAGAATACGTTATACATGTCGCAGAGCCCCAGTCAATTTGATGTTTCGTTTGTAAATGGTGCTCAGCAATGGAGCTCCACGGCTAAGGAAATGTGGTAATCTACCCATCCGAGAAAATTTGGTAATCACGTGACCGTACACCGACCGTCCGTCCGCACCACAGGCATACCAATGTAAAATAACTAAATCAACAGGTAAGGCAACCCAAATGCAACTCAAGGTTTTATTTGGAAGGAAATCACATGGCCGCCCGGACTTATAGAAAGAAAACAACAAAGTCGTGTCTTTTTCGGCGTTATTTTTTACGTTTACACTAACGCGGATAACAAAGAAAGAGCTAGAGCGAGACGAATTTCGTGGGAAGAAAAACATGGAAATTCAAAGCGGCGGTGAGAAAATGGGAAATGCTAGCGGCCAGCAAGGTGAAAATGAGAGGCAGTGAAAAATAAAAGCGAACATGAACACAGGGAACAAAATATTGGGTAAGCACATACGACAATTCCTCCATAAAAATAATGTGTAACTAGGAAGTTTGAAGTTTTAGTCGTAGAACAGCGTTGTAGTCGTGCAAAACAACGGCAACGGAAAGACAAAAAAGCGTGCTTCACGTGTAAATTTATTTCTTGCTAATTAGAAGAAAAAGTGTGCTGCACGTGCAATTTTTTTTTTTTTTTTTTTGCTAATTAGATCTATTAGTCTTGAAGCCATTTTCATTGTCGTCGCCATTTAGCATTACACGATTTATTTTTTTTTTGTTTACACGTATTATTGACCAGAGCTTCGCTTTTAGCCCTGGCTAAATCTATATATTAGGTAATTATTTTGTTACAGTGTATTCTAAACATGCAATAAGTATACATACGGATTAGCGAGAAGATCTGCTACTGAAGGAAGACCTGTTTTGTTACATGCCTCGTCACTTAGAATCGACAACAAAATTGATCCTAGAAGACAATATTAAAAATAATTTTAAAAGGAAGTTGAGTTTGTACTTATCTTTGTATTTTGCATTATTTGAGTTTCCTTTCATTTTTTGCTGGACATGATTACATGAACCAGTCTCAGGTGATGGGGCAAAGCTGTGCTATTACAGCTCACGGTGGTCCGCGGTGCCTAACTTTTGCTCCCAGGCGACTCAAAAATCGTATTTTTTTTTGGATACATATCATATGTAGCACACTGTGGCTTTACAGGTTCAGAGCTCTGGGCTTCCTTCAATTTTTCTTACAGCACAGCCTCAGCCAACCTTCTATTTAAGTTCAAAAACATTTCAGGGGCTTCTAACTTTGCAGGGTTTCTACCCGTCTATGACAACATTTTTGGCAGCTTTTTTCCTGGCCTCATCCAGCCCCCAGAAAGAGTTTTCCAGGACTAAAATGGCCATTGGAGTATTCTACTCACAGGTTTTTTAAAAAAATTCAATGCTCCAATGTCTAGGTTTCGAGGACCTCCGATTTTGCAGAATTTCCATCCTGGAAAAATGTCAAAAACAAAAACAAAAACAAACAAACCAAAAAAACCCCAGGGCTTTGCGAGATTTTGGGAGGCGTGTGTGACCGAGTGGTGAACACCTCGAATCCCCGGATCTGGAGATCCGGGGTTCAAGCCTCGCCCGCCGCGTTGTTTCCTTGACTACAAACTTTACTCCACTTTGTTTCTCTTCACCCAGGTGTACAAATGGGTACCGGTAACATACTGCTGGGAGAGGGGGGTGGGGGTAACCCTGCGTTAGACTAGCATCCTGTCCCGGGGGGAGTAGCAATACTCCTGGGCATGCTTCATGCTAAAGAAACCGGGATAACCTCTGGCCGTTTGGGCCTTTGGCTCGTGTGCGCCTTCACCTTTTTACTCCTACCTTTGTGAGATTTCCATTTTGCATATACAGTACTTACTGAGTTGAGATGGACAGTGTGCGGGGAGATCTTTTAGTGTACTGGTACGTAATGGCTCTCCACTAAACATTTCATACAACACATGAGCAAAACAGTAAACATCCTCGGCCTCCTTTTCCTGAAATGCAAATAATGAAAGACTTGTACCAGATTTTATTACACAAGTCCTTCCACAGTGCCAGGACCACAGTTTAACCACTCGTTTCAAAGCAACATAGTCTGACCAGTGATCACTCTACAGAGACACAGTTGCACAGCACTATACCTGTATTTTTTTCAGTGGAACATAGCGATGCCTATGAATGGATGGAACACCTAACAAACCGCTTTCAATTTCTAGTAATCTGAAATAGCAAAAACAGGAGGATATTGCGTTAATGCTTAAATGCTCTCAACACTGAACAGATTGTGATGTTGTACAAGGTATAGTGTAGTGTTCATGTTATAATCTCAAAACTGGTAGGCTTTATAAGGAACAGAAAAATCTTACGGTGTATACTATCTAGTACACTGTGCTTAGAACATAATATGAAGAATAAAGGCACAAAGAGATGCACAGGTTGGCATACCTACACACATTTCCATCTATAACAAGATTTCCTGAGTGTAAATGACCTGGGACGCAAAAAAAGAATGGAGTCAATTTTTAATACAACTTTTTTTATGACTGTAATTTACAAGTGTAGCCATTGTTTTAGAGTCTGAAAAACAATAGCTTCACTTGTAAATTACACTGGTAAAATAGATATTAAATTGATCCCTATTTTGAATCAAATAAGCTGGGGCAAACTGTGCATGGCTAAAAACCATGCCACAGTTGTCCCCAGCTAATTAAATCATTATTCACATGATTGCTAGCCTGAGAAAACAGCCAAAATTCATTTTTTTTGACACCACGACTGGTTTCCCTGTGTAAAGGTGTCTGAGGGACAAGCGCAGATTATTACTTAATGATGAAGAGTCACAACCCTGATCTGGAAGGTAGTCCTTACGAACTTATAAGTTAAAGACAAATTTCAACCAGTCAGTTCTAGCACTACCCAGATCTGAGTAGTAATGCATCATCAGTACGAAATTTCTTTGCTCATTCCTCGGTCATCATTTTGCAGGGAAACCAGTGGTGCCATCGGGAAATGCCCACTAGGCTGATTCCTCAGGCTACATGATTGCAATATAAGAATATTATTATCAGACACTAATCAGCTTCAGTAAATAAGGGATAATGACAGAAAATATAAGAGGCCTTCCAAGGGGTAAAAGCGACATGCGACACGGCCCTGAAAACTGGCGACATGGGAATTTTTAAAAAGCGAGAAGTGACATGCCTACGCTGCTAAAATGCGACAGCGACATACTAAACAGTGAAAAACGACGGTGACGTTGGAAAGTTGTGCATTTTATCAATAAAAGTGACTCAGAATACAGGAAATTGCATTTCTGAGGGTTCAGATTTTCCAAATTTTCCATGAGGAGCCTACCCTTAAAGAAGAAGAAGAAGCGTTCATCCTTCGCCGCTCACAAAGTTTTGCCAACTGACCACCATGAAAATCCTGTTATAGCCCTGTTGCGAAAAACAGTTTCTCGCAAAACAAAAATTACTGGTACAGTTATGTACACTTCAAAAAAACGACAGCGACATTTGCAGCTGTAGATTGGCGACAACGGTCTCCCTAAAGCAAGGGATAATGACAGGAAATATAATACCGTGTAACTATGTGAAAAACCTCCAGAAAGTAAGGAGATTTTTGAAGTACTCACCATAGGGAATTCCTTTATCATGTAGAAACTTTACTGCCTGGAAAGAGAAAGAAGCAGAATATTAAATTTGCAAAAAATGACAAGCACAACAATATTAAAGTGAAGAAACTAATACTAGAAGTACACTGAAGTGCTTACATAGGATTGCAGAAATATTACAATGCGACTTAAATAACTGATATGGGCTAACACTAAAATGAAACTTAACTAACATACACTGTATTACCAAAAGCAAAACAGTTGTTTGTCAAGCCAATAACCAGCTTGTGCAAGACAAAAGCCTAACATAGCACTAATAATTCTATGGACGAAATCTAATGTCCCCATTCTATTCAGTTGAACTTCAAGACATCTCTCATTCAGTAAATAGAGACTTATTCATGGTCTGAGTGACTATAAACACTACATTTTTAAAGGGGATATATGTCACAATGAGTTTGCCGCTTCTAGGTCAAAGCTGAGTTGCAATAATGATAACCAAGTATTTTCAGTAACACTTTGTCCTACGAGGAAGTCTAAAAAAAATGATATCACAATGATTCTATCAAATGGAAAATAAAGCATGATCGGTTAATGATCAACTCTCAATGGCACAGGGTTTGAACTTGAAAAAAATATGGCCCAGTTCTTTTCAAGCTGCAACTCATTTCCACTTTAGCAATGGAAAGCCAAAAACATAATGTTTTACAGTTGAGAAAAAGCAGTAGTCAAACGAATAATAATTGTAGTGAGCCATTAACATTTCAGGGTTTTCTTTGATCTCAATGTGTTCATAGGGTTTTAAAGTAATAACAAATAAATTATTAGAATTATTATAGCTCCTGTAGCCTCTAAGTGGACATCTACATGTATCCACAAAATAACTAATTTTTGGTTCCACTTTTATACGTGTAGTCCTGGCTTACAAAAGTATTGCTTAGTATCAATATTATTAGTGACCATCTTTTGCAAATTTGCATTTATGGAGATCAATGCTAGCAACATGGCACAGTGACTGTATTTTGTACCTCAATTTCACCATGGGTTTAAACTTTATTCTTTTTTGTTTTGTAATTACACCATACCCCAAAACAAAGGAAAATGCAAATCAAACTATGAGTAATTTACTGAACCACAATTTAAATTAGTGTGAAAAAAGGAAAAAATAAATAAATGATGATGATGATGATGATGATGATGATAATTAATAATACTTTAGCTTACCTCTAAGATTTGCCTTCCAAACAGCTGAATATTTTGCTCATGTAAAATACTTCTAGCCTTTGGATTTCCATATTTCTTAAGTTGACTCATTCTTGGGTTTGCCTAAATCAGTCAGTCAATCAGTCAATCAATCAATCAATCAATCAATCAATCAATCAGTCAGTCAATCAATCAATGGCAAATTTGAAACAGACCTGTCACTAAGATTTCAAATCGATGGATGGTTTATTATCCATGCAATACTCACCACATTAGTTGGGACAGAATTGGTATTTTCTGCCCCATCAATGTTGGTTTTTGGGAGTGGGCATGTCAGAAGCAAAAAAATCAACACTGGAATGGAAGGGGCGGATGGAAGGAGCACAACTTTTTGTCGGAATATGGGTACAGCACGGGGTGTCCCAACTTAATGTGGTGAGGATTGTAGGGTTCATGCTAATTGTAGTGGGGAAAATCACCGAGCCCTGGGCCCTTAGTGATAGCCCCATAGATACAACATACAAGTGATTACAGTTCAATAATATGTAAATGTTACATGTGTAGCTGAATCTGAATTGTGTAATTAAAGTTATAGAAAAAAAAAATCAACAAAATTTCAACTTTGTAACAACTTAATTGTTTTCTCCTGATTTTAGTACATACTGTTTAAGCGAAATTGGGATATTTATAATTAAGAAACAATAAATTACCTTACAGAGACAATCTCTTAATGTTCCATTTGGGAGAAAATTCCTAACAGTAATGACTCCTTCTGAATTACACGATATAAATGACGGTGGATTAATATAAGGGTGCTGAAAGAAGAAAATATTTATAATTACAGTGAATACTGAGATACAGTATCATACAACACAAAGATATAAATAACCTGTCGAGTGTATTTGCTGAATGTCTTGATCAATTTTACATAAAATGTGTACAGTTTACTTCACAGGAGCACAATTTTTATTGTCAATGAACACTTTCTAGATCAAAATGTACAGAAGTCATATATTTTTGTAGAACCTACACGGTTCACAATTTTGGACACTCAAAAAAGCAAAATTTATATAGTTTTATTCTATTATATCATCACTGATATGTACTATAATGTTACAACTTGTATTTAATCTGACATAAAATAATACTTTGTTAAAAAAAACAAAACAACACAAAAAGAAAGAAAAACAAAAACAATAAATAATAAAATTTAAATCTTTATTACAAGTGAGAACTTTCAAATTCCATGTACCAGACCTCCTAGCACAATAATTACGGGTATACTATAAACTTTTTCCCCTTTGATCAGCATGCATTATACAGTTGTTGTAATAAACCCAGAATTAAAGCAACTTAATTAACTGCAACATTTGCATAACGGCTTTTACCTGAAGAGAAGTAAGTATTTTTAATATTGCTTCCACATCTTTCTCAACCAAGTTAAAATCTGGACCATAATCTGTCTTCATACATGTATGTAAGGAACAAAAATCAATGTTAATTCTCCATAATTCATTAAATCAAGAGTCTGTGTATAAAAATCTAACAAATAAGTACAGTGTGGTTATTCCAACAAGCAACTACCGTAGAACTGACATAATTAAATTATGTCAATGATAACTAAGTTTGTTTATGAAATAAATGTATTGTTTACTGTCTTTTTGTTCATGAAAATTATGATTTTATTTCATTTCATTCTTTTTTGCTTCACCACATTATTTTTACGTTTTAGTATCATAAATAAAGTTCATTCATGAGGGAGAGACAGGACAATAATTTTCAATTGATATCACAAAAGATGAAACAGTTTTATTAGACAATATTTTACATTACCCAGGTGAGAATGTTTCTAACATCCTTTTTGGACGGATCTGTAGGTTTTATTAAAAAGAACTGTTTCCTGATCCGCCAACCTGGAATATAAGGTATACCGGTAGGTCAACATAAAAGATAAATTCAAATTATATTTTTTATGGTACATTGCACGTATTGGGTTATTCCAGAAAAAATCCACACCCCCCCGACGGATGGGGTCCTTTTTTAACCCCCCCTCTCACCTGGATTTCCTGAAGCACAAGACCCCCCCTCCCAACTGGATTTCCAAGGTGGAAGACCCCCCCTCCCGCCTGGACTTCCGGGAAAAAATAAAAGGCTTAAATTTAATTTATTTTTAATGGAAAATACACGCAAACACGTCCAAATGTTTTTGTTTTAATTTCTACAGCTTCAGCTTATATTAAACTAAGAATTCTATTGCGTGGAACTAAAAAGCGAAAGGCAAAAAAACAAAAATGTGAGCGACACCTGAACAGTGTTTACATAATTTCTTAGCTTATAAAAATCACTCTTCGCTCTTTTGCGCGGGCTCTGGGTGCAGTAGAAATGTGTCAGGCGTTTGATGCTCTTCGTGACAACAACGTTGCGACGAGTTCCTTCAGGCCCGTTCTTTAGTATCTTGTTCGCGTTTTCTGCTATAAAAGGACCTGTAAAGCAACTTAGATTATCATTTATGTCAGGTGAGAAATATATGAACAAAACATTTTGACTATTTTCAGGGTCTGAAAGCGCTTAAGTGTCATCGAACTAAACGTTTGATTTGTATCAACTATCGGTCGAAATGACCCCTGCAGAAGACTTTTTTAAGGTCAACCCCCCCTCCCGCCTGGATTTCCGGAGTCTTCGACCCCCCCTCCCGCGAGAATTTCCAGAATCCCATCCGTCGGGGGGGTGTGGATTTTTTCTGGAACAACCCATTTGCATTTGGTGTACTGTAAATGCCCAAACAGATCTGATACATGTACCCACATGTACCATACCAGTGCTATAAAATATTTATTTCATCAACTGTTTGCAATTTTTCGAGTTTTGTTGTTACAAAGATTGACAGATTGCAATTTTATAATTTTTTTCATTTTCTGACCAACACTTTTAATAATTTAGAGCTGTTTTCAAAAAATATACTAAGTAATCAATAAATTAAAACAGTACATGTAATAATAAAAACAAACAAACTGTTATCTATTAATGTCATTTAGAAATGTAAGTTGATTCTTCTTTTTTAAATATTAAAGGAAAAGTCTTTTAACTATGTGTATAATGTATTATTGTGGTTTCAAATTCTATAAATTATTTTCCTTTGTTTCAGACACATTTGATATGATCAATCTTCATTAACCCCAAAACAAAAAGAAAATGAATTCCAATCAAGAGATAAAACTAGACAGCAGTCAAATACATGTTTGTATATAAATAGCATACTGTAAAAAGACCATATCATTTTTATTAAACATTAATTTGTTATAATTCATTTCTTTCCTTTTCTTTTCATGCTTTGTGCCCCTGTGCTTACTGGGTTTGATTATCCATGTCATTTTAACTTACCAATATCTGGTAAATGTTCCACTATTTCCCAGTTTGGAACTGATCTTAAAAACATTGCCACATTTTGTGTTCCTTTCTCTGTGGCAGAAAGATAGTCAGAATCATTTTAATAATAATAATAATAATTCACTTAACTTTCAAGGGATTTAAGGCATGTGCCAACAATGATAACCTTCTTTCTTTATGTACCAGACAGACATAGACACAGTATTTTATTACATGGTACATGTAAAATTTATATGCTTTATGAGCCATTTGGTAGTGTTCTCCCTGGGATCTTGGGAAGACCAGGGGGTATTCTGATACTGTGATGGTTGGTTTTAAAGCAAGGTGGCAACAATTTTCCAGTGAATTAAAGTCAGGCGGTCTGCCTAGCTTTAAATACTTAGGGAGAACACTGTATAGCTACAGTTTACAGATATCCCACAGGTAAAATTAGGGCAAAAATTAAATTTGAATTACTAATATTACTAACATTATGAGAGGTACAAGATGAGCTAATTTAGCAAAGTTCGTCCTGACGCCTAATTTTATCACATGTCCCAAGATGTTTTGACCAGGGTTGAATACTAGATAAACCTGAAAGTGGATTTCACTTATCACATAATGATTGAGTACATGTACCTTGGAAATCACAAGAATAGTTGAGAGGATCAAGGAATCTCTTTACAGAAATATGCCGCGCTAAGACAGGATGGGCCAAAATGAAGTTAACATAATTCTGGAGACCATTTTGTCTTTCAGCAATAAAGGTGGTGTCCATATTACCAAAGACTTTTTTTGGTGGAAGAGGAAGTTCTAGTCCAGAAACCTTAAAAAGGGGAAAAAAGGAATGAAATAAATAAATAAATAAACAATCAGTCATAGTAACAATGACACTCATCACTGCAAATCGCAAAAACAAAACTAATGGTACACTGCAGAAAAAAACATGCCCAATATTCATGCTTAATCCATTCTCTTCTATTTAATAACCCATTATGCATATTCAGTACCCTGCACGGAGCAAAGTAGTGAGATTTATAAGTTACTTGCCCAGCAAGAAAATCTGCTTGTCCCATGCTATCAGATGGGGTATTATTCAGGCATTAAATTATCTGTTAACTTACCGTAAAATTTCACCTAATAAAAAAAGCTACAAAATTCAGATGAACTGCGAAATTACTACAGGTATGAAATTTGAAAATATAATCCATACCTCCAGGGTTGAATGCAAAGTGACAAATTCACTGTAGCGATGTAAAACCTTAAAAGATAAAAATAATAATAATAAAAAAATCCTCACACAAATGAAAAAGAAACAATTAATTTGAGTTTCAATGTCTTTAGCACAAAAGTAGCCTGCAAAAACATCCGTCTCTCCTCGCTCTTTGCCACTGGGGACGTTTCACGGGGAGGAACGTCTGCAACTCCGCGACAGAAATTCCATACTGATGACGTAAAATCTGTCCAGAATCTGATCACAAGCGCTAATTGGTCGATGGAGTAGTTACATTGTTTTAGCTATTGTTTACAAACAATTTATTTTTGGAACCCCATGACTACCGGATTTATTATGTAAACACTGATTTGCACCATCAGTATGGAATTTCTGTCGCTGAGTCGCAGACGTTCCTCCCCGCGAAACGTCCCCAGCGGCGAAGAGCAAGGAGAAACGGATGTTTTCACAGGCTAGCACAAAAGTACTTATTGAGGACACTGTAACTTGTGTCTCCTCATGGAGACAAGACCAACGTTTTAATGGTCATCTGAACCAGGTGAAGGTCTAGCTGTTTGCAGGGCAAATATAGTACATGTAAATTTATCAGTAATTTTAAGACCCTGAGTATTGGTCCGGTCCTGGAATCGAACCCACGACCTGCAACCCTGCAATCGAGCCCTCTACAAACTGAGCTAATCCTTCCACGGTTAACCACTAGAAAATTTAAACAAAGTTTCACAAAATGCACAGATCTATTTTTCTCGCAGAGAATATATTCCTAAAAAAGCAGTTGGCATTCACTGAGTAACATTTTTGCACATTCATGCCATCAATTTTGTCCAGAAATCTTCTTAAGTTCTTGCACTCATGCAAAACCAGCTACACTAGCCTACTCAGCTGCTGTTTTGCATGACACTTGGTATTTATTACACCATCGTTAACATCTAAGTGACTGGCATCATCAATCATGGTATAGGTATAATAAGCGACTTCCAAATTTGGCAGTCCGGTGCCAGCTGGTTTAGCAAGGGAATTATGAATGAATAATCAACAAATGTACATGTAAATAAAATTACAGATGCCTTTGCTGAATACATGAGATGATCGATATCATATAATTATATCTCTGTAATATTCAGATATTTCCACTCCCCCTTCAGAAAAAAAGGGGATTTTTTTCTCATAATCCTCAGCAATAATTATTCCAAAGATCAAAGGGGACCAACATAGCCACCTCTGAAGAAATAACTTTCAAGCTCCCCCCCTTCAGAAAATCTCATCCATAGGGGGCGGGGTTTTGGATATTAAACGTTCTATCATTCAAATAGCATTGGAATACAAGTAGTTAATAAATAACACTCTCATCGCATTTAAGAAGTTACAAAACTTGGCAAAATTCCAAGGTCCAGGAGATTAAACAAGGATGAAATCTGATAACTCAGTACATGTAGGTCGACATGTAAATTATATCAAGATCAACCAGGTGTTTAGGACAAAATATACCTGCCACGAATCGTCGGGACTGATTCCACGTTGCACTTTCATGATATAGTCCTATATATGAGAAGAAAGAGTAACAAAATGAAACCAGCTGGGTAAAAGCCTCTGATCCGTGCACCGATCGGTCATTAATTATTGTAAGTTTTACGTCATCATTGAAGAGGACTTACTACGTGCTCTTTCTTGGCAATGCCCTCGATGGTGCACATTAAAGGAGTGGTATCATTAATGATGCCCTTGCTTTTTGCTTTTGTTGCCATTTCTTTTCTAGCAATAGAAGAAACAACTCAGCTAATGATCCCAACCGGCCAAATTTTTCGGTCACTCATAGAAAAGTCTTCGACGTTGCTCAGAGAGATACTGGGTTCTAACAGGCAAAGAAGGGTATGGACTGGTCAGCAGAATGACGCATAAACACAGGCGCAAGAGTCTGTGAAATGAACACTTTGGCGGGAATCGAACGTCAGATGACTGTGTTATGGTTGAGTTAGTTTTTCTGCAATTTTCTGCGTGAAAATGCCAAAAGCGAAGGATAAAACGAAGCGAAGAAGAATAGAAGAGATAGAGGTTTGTTTAAATACCCAACTGTGGTCATTGTTTAGCGAAATATTCGAGAACGAAACGGGAATGAAATTTGATGACTTGATGTCAACACGTGGGTAATTTCATTGCAGGATGATCTTCCGAGTCAGTCCCAAGGACCTAGCTCGAGGTACGTAATGTTAACATTTTTGAATCATTTCATTATTCCATAAGATAATTTTTATTTTATTTACTTCAGAAAAAGTGAGCGATCGTTATTTCCGCCCCTGCGTTCAGTTTATACTGATAGCGCCTGTAAACTGAATAGCAGAAGGTCAATCGAACCCATTCTAACGCTTTTCCGATTTGGTTTGCTCTGAGCAACCAACGTAATAATCACAGGGCGTAAAATGTCGATAGTTTCGATCGTCGATAAAAATCGATCGGCTTATCGACTACGTTTTCCATGATCGATTTCAATCGGTTTGTTACGCCATGTAATCAAGTAGAATTAAACTTTGCTATTCAGGAAAGAAGGAAACAGACCATTAAATGTCATGCTCATTGTGTCTGCATTGCACTAGCATAGTACATTTTGACAAGAAGGTGATTGTAGAGGTGAAGACAGGGCAAGAACTCTGCTTTGTTTTGACTGTTGCTGTAAGTTATAGTCAAGGGAAGTGTTTGCAAGTCAAGGTTGTTATAATTTCACTTCTTCCGTAATCTCACAAATTTGTTACACTCAGCAGCCAACGCAATGAACATGAATCCATGGAGGAGGTAGATTGTACACAAGAGGGAAAAGCCAAAAAATCACAAAAAGAACTATCTAAAGATGAACTCAACAGAAAGGTCTATATTTTATTTTATTGTATTATTAATTAGTATTACTATGTAAAACTTAGTGTTGCTGGCCAACTGGAAAATTCCCTTGGAGTGGGTTGTGGTTACTAACCAAGGATCACGGTTGTCTGCGCATCTACAGCGTACATGCACGTGTAGCCAGTAGCATAGCATCCATACTGTATGCACACACGCCCTTGCGTACAGCTGTAATCTGGAAAAAGCATTTTCATCGTTAAATTGTGATGACTGATAAATTTTTTGCGTTATATTGGTGTCTGAAGGTTAGTCTGACAGGTGGACATCTCGCCCTTTGCTTTTAACCTACTTGATGGCGTCACTGTTTTAGCCTTTTTACTGTAACACTCATCAGGGATGAAGATAATAGCCGGGAGCCGGGGAAAATACCCCGCTGTCAATGTATTTTTTCTGGCTGATAAAAATTGCAGTCTTTAAAAGGGCAACTGTTTTCTTCTCATTTACCCGCCCATCAAATGCCATTTCCCGTCTGTTATAAACTAAGCTACATCCATGCACTGTATCTTACCAATACCACTTGATGTATTTTCTGCAAATTTTTAAACTCTATTCACCTCTTTCTCTTGGTGTATGAAACCTGCCAGTATTACTCCAAGGATGAAGTGACCTTTACAGGGCTGTCATTAAGGGGTGGGGGCCGGGGTGTTACCGCGGCTACTGTAGATGTGGCCCCAGGCTACTTTCATAGGAAAAAAAAAGAAAAATATAACCAAACTAAATCCCTGCATGCAGCTATCTAATTCCCTGTCCACGTGTCGTATTTACCCAGCAGCTTGAAATCTTAGTGACATCCCTGCCCTTACACTCCTGTCCATCACCTTCCAAGTCCTTCTCTCCAACTCCCTCTGCTCCTCTGTATATGAACATGAGCATAACATCTCTCATTTTTCTGTGTTCATCAGGTATCCGAGTTAGTAAGGTATTTATTATTTATGGACAGGAAAAAATACCCCATCAAGCGAGGAGGTGTGTACAGCGAACGAACAAAGTAGTAATAATAATTTTTGTAGTGTAAACAGCAAAGAAGCCCCAATATATACAAATTCTCCAAAATTGATTATAGTAAGTTGAGAGAATTTACAGCAGAACCTTGACATTTAATGGAAAGAAAATTGTTATTGGGACTTAAAGGGTTGCAAACAAAAATTAATGAGTTTGCTTTCACAAAATTTTGTATATCCAGGTTCTTTTCCATCAACTGGACAAGAATTAAATTAAAAAATAACAATAAAAGATAATAATAAGAGATTTATTTATTAATGACGATTTAGAGGTAGAATATCCACAAAGTGGTTCTTTGTCCGTCATTCCTGGTCAAATTGGATAGGGGAAAACCAGAGTACCTGGAGAAAAACCTTTTAAAGCAAAGGAGAGAACCAACCACAAACTACAGTGCAAGCCAGAACAAAGCGAACAATGAGATGTGAAATGCATCAGTTGGGACGAGGGTACATGTTAGTACTGACAAGCGTCTGCGTCAGTTTGGACTTGTCAGAAAGGAAAGATTTTTCTTTTGTTACTCACCGTGAGAGCTTTGCTTTGATGGGCATTGTTGTTAAAAAAAAAACAAACGAACAGATCCTTGGGTGTAAAAGAGCTTGATAGTCACTCATTCTAAGGAGCTTTTTATGAGCGATTTCAGCTGTGATTAATGGAGATAAATAATATTTGGCAACGTGCAAGGTTTCGTTTGTAAAATCACGTGGCATCTCTCGCAGCTCAGATGTATGGATGCATCCGCCCTGATGCAATGGACTCGTATTTCCTGACGCCTGTTACACTTATATTTTGGTTCTCTTAGGTCTGGCCTGCACTGTATGAACCTCAGGCCAAGAAATGGAGATTAGTCTTGAGAATTTGCATTTGTGGTTATTGGGGTGCAGAGGGTTAAGCTTTGGCGGTGTTGACCTTTTTTTGTGTGTACACCTTTATACAATGTATGTAACTTACCTTGTATGTCAGAGTAATGTTACGATGCATTTATTGCTGCAGACATAACAAAGAATGTGCTAAAGGAAAATTCTAAAGCATTCACCCAAGTGTTTGACCATGCCAAGAAGACCCTTGAAAAGGTACAAAAGCATTAATCCTTTCAATGCTGTACATGTAGCTATTAGTGGCAAATGTGGAATGTGTATATAAAGCAACAAACAAGACTACCACTACCACTTAAAAAGCTACAGCAAAATCAATTTTATTTTCTTTCTGTAAAATTCTAAGAAACAAACTAATTAATACATGTGAATGTAGCAGTAAATGTATGCAAAAGTCCTGCCAAAGATGATTTTGTTGAATGGTATCACATCCCCACAGGATTTTTGTTTTTGAAGGGTGAAAGGGCTAAAATAATACATGTGATTGTTTACATTGTTTAGATTTGTAGATGGCAACTCTTCTGCAGTTGTGATTCAAATCAATGGTTTTAGGCACAGAAACAGTTTAACTGGTAAACTTAAAAATTTTAAGTACATGGTACAGCAAGTGGCTCAATCTGAATTATTAGGTGTTGTGGATTCTGTGATTTTTGTTGTTGTTATTACTTATTATTATTATAAATTATTATTATTTTAAAATATTTATATAAATATTATTATTTGTTATTATTATTATCATTATCATTATTATTATTATTATTATTATTATTATTATTTTTATTATGTTTTCACTTAGAACGAATTTTCCACTTTTCTTTTGTTTGGTGCTTAAGGAAAAAAACTGGTTAATTAAAATGAAGACTGTTTAAAAGAATGATAATTATTTTGTATTGACTATTATTAGGTCTTTGGAATAGCTGTAGAAGAAATTGATGTGGGCAAGTCAAAGGGATATATCCTAGTAACTGCAAAGAAAGCGGCAAGGGAGGATGAACTGCTTCATTGGTAATTACGTGTAAATTAATCATCCATAATTATTATAATATTTTCTATACTTGATTATGATAATATCGCAGGCAAGCAAGTCACCACAGGACAGTGCTTTAGCAGTGCCAGATGGTCCCTAGTGCCTTGCATTTGTGCTTAGGCAACTAGGAAAGTTTAGCTTTTTCCACAAAAGTCATACTGATGGGTGCTTTAGATTTCACAGGTTCATAGCACTGGGGGCCCTTCAATTTTTGTTAGAGCACAGCCTTGCACCAGGAAGCACTGGGTAATGTTTAAGCACAGCTCTGATTTATCGAAGGATATTACATGTACAGGCTCTAAAACAAAATTTCTGATTCTTCAGCGAGTAAGCTGTTTTAGTATACATTTTACGTCATTACATGAATTAACTGCAGATATGAAGAAAAGTGTATTTCTATCTACTGTCATTATCCTATTGAAAATTTGACAGGATTTTTTGCAACTACCTCATGAAGCCTGTCTCTTGAAATTCTTGTTTGAAAAAAAGAATAACTTGAAAAGAATAAAAGCACGGGTCCTACTGTAGCTAACAAACTAGTCCAGAGCTGTCATGAAGGGCTGTAAGCCATAACACCTGTTACTTCTGAGCTCACTTGATGTTTCAGTTGGTCAAAGTGGAAAGCACTAGTGGTGGCACTACTATAAATTTTTGTGAGATGTTACAGGTGAATCTTCATTTGCTATGGCTGCTTCAAAACTGAATAACAGTCCTACAGTCCATTTTGTGTTGTTAACTGATACAGTGTAGTTGCTACACCAATGAAACCTCTTCCTTGGATGTAAACAACAACAGCTTTTTGGGCCTGTTTACATGTATTGTTGGGATTCTCAAGAAAAGGGTCCCTCAAGGGTTGGTTGAGATGTAGAACATGTAATAAAACTAATTACTGAAGCTTTGCTTGTTGAAACAGGGGTGATGATCTTCCCAAGATGGGTCTCTTGATGGTTGTACTGAGCCTAATCTTCATGTCCGACCATGTAATAACTGAATGTAAGTATAAAAACAGGCTGCATCCCTTTGTCTCTTTACAATATGTGAACGCCCACATTGACGAAGTCCCCCCACCCCCTCCTTCAAAGCCCAGTGAGTTACCAAGCCCAGGAAACAGGAACAAGAATGATGCTGTTGAAATTGCAGTGCAGCAACAGTCAAGCACAAAAAACACTGACCGGTCTTCATACCAACCTACCCTGAGGGCAGAGGTTTTTTTCTGGCATGGCTGTTAGCATTGGTAAAGTCGTTCATGCGTCTTGTGAGTCATGTAGTTGGTATGTTTGCGAAACAAACCAAATGACAAGCCATGTGCATGACTTTGTAAATTCCAAAAGACATGCCAGAAAGAAACCTCTGCTCAGAGGGAAGACCAACCCCACCTCCTGGAATTTAACTGAAGTACTTTTTCCCGGAAACAAAGCTGACACCCGCCTTGATGAAGTCCCTGACATAACTGACTCAAACAAGGGCACCTGCAGGCCAGCCTAACCTTCACCCCCCTCCCCTCACCCTTGGTGGGCCAAAAAGGTTGAGACACTTTGTCCATGTAATTCAATGTCAAACTGTGTCCCATGCGATGGCGTGTTCAGGGTGCAAAGAAAGTCATTTTTACAGCTTGCCATTTGGGCAAGCTGAAGCTAGCATATGCTAGCTCAACTAGCCCCAAAACCTTTTTGATGAGCAGAATTGATTTCACAGTTCTTCTGTCAGTTGAATTCCTCAGAAAACTTTACTTGCCCGTCGGGCAAGTTAGCAACAGAATTCACTAGCCCGATAACAAAATCCACTAGCCCCAGGCTATCGGACATGACTTTCTTTACACGCTGGTGTTTGTCGTTATTTTCTTAATAATCATGTACATGCATAATGAAACAATAATTATGATCAGAATCTGTGTTTGTGGTATCTGAAATAGTCAAGGTCTTGGTAAGTGTTATCAGGAGATAATAACTTTTAGTTTGACTATCGCTGGCTATTGTAGCCTTACAGTATGTTTATTGACTGCAAAACTCCCTGTTAATTTGTTTTCTTCTAGCTTTACTTTGGCATACCCTGAAAAACCTTGGCATTGAGCCAAAGTAAGTACGACCATGTAACCTGTGCATGTTTTATGATTAAGATCTCAATTCTCACAGTTACTAGGAATTATTGTAGTCTACTCTACCTGTAGTTGGGGTAGTGTCATGGCTGTCTAGTTCATTTTGTTAATATTACCAATATTACGCTTCCTTTCAACCACAGCAGGATTAGCTCAGTCGGTAGAGCGCTTGACTGCAGAGTGGGAGGTCATGGGTTAGATTCCCGGGCCTGGACCAACACTCAGGGTCTCACAATGACTGAGAAATGAAGGTGCTCCCTTTGCACTGCAAATGGTTAGACCTTCGCATGGCTTGGGTGACCACCTAAAATGGCGGTTCCGTCAAAATAGTGTCCCCAAGTAGTACTTTCGTGCAAAATACACTGACACACAGATAAAGTGCTTTTGTTCTTTATAGAACTTAACGTTAGCAAAGAAGTCACTTGTTACAACAAAATCACAGATTGTCCTCCAACACACGTACTTTCCAAGCATTATTCTATATCAAATGATGCAAACAACAAGTAATGAAAAACTGTTAGGCTAACTAGTTTTCAAAAATCCAAGTGTCAGCTCATATAAATCTTCTAAAAGTTTGCCCAGCCGTGTCTACTTTTATATTTGTTGCGTAATTAATACTTTCTTTTAATGTTTTGAGCCATTGTTTCTATTTTTGACTCAGTTTGGTGGCAGCGTCTATAACCACATGTATTAGAACTTTGATATAATTTGTAACACAGCTCCTTTAAGACTGAAGGTCTGTCTCCAAGGATCACCCCATGTAAGGTTTTGTGGATTCCAGAATCCAGCAAATTTTTGCCTTTGGAATCCAGAATCCTGGGAATTCAGCTCAAGAAAATCTGGAATCCAGCCTATGATTGGAATCCGGAATCCAAGTTCTATTGACAAAGAATCCCAAATCCAGTACCTGGAATCGGGAATCCATGGCGTGGAATCTAGAATCCAAGACTGTCTTGGATTCCTTTACGTGGGGTGAACAAGAAACTGAAAAAGAATTTCTTGTCATGCACTCAAAGATTCATTCAGTGTGTTACATGAATACATACGCTAGCCTGCGGGCAAGCTCTCCAGGGCACTTTAGCCTCTTCCCTCCTCCATTGGCTTGTTCTACAGTAAAATAAATTTGAAATACATGTATGTCTGTATTTTAACACTAGGGCAGAACACGAAGTCTTTGGTGATCCAGATAAGCTCATATCACAAGAATTTGTACGGCAGTGGTAAGTGATATGATCTTTTTTTTGTTCTCAGAGATCGAGGTTAAGTCCATAGTAATATGAGATAAACAACCAACAAACTGCATGTAGCTAATCCCTCAAGTCACCATGTTGACTAAAAGCAATTTCTCCCAACAGTTAAATATATAATCGGGAAAAAAGAATATGATAATTTACAAATTGATCTCCAAAAGGAAAATGCTTTGATCTTTTATCAAATTCTCTCTTATTATTTTTGAGGAAATTTATGGAGACTAGCAGTGATTTTGTTACAAATAGTTATGGTGAGTCCTGGGACTTACATGTATCTTGTGAAAAATCAAGAGTGCTAGTCCAGAACCATTGAGTTCCAGTTCAAAAACACGAGTCTCTGGGTCTCTATGTAACCACACAGTAATCTAAATACAGGCTCCAAAACTCTGTATTACAGCTTACTGAAATAAAAATATACTCCCTCTGTTGTCAATCACAACAATGGCTAAAAGAAATATGCACCGTTAAACAACAGCCGCAAGAACAGCCTTATAAATCACACGAACGGGATAGTCTACTAAAACATCTACAGATCGATCAATCGATCACCAAAAGTTATTTTTCGTCTTCGGGGATGTTCATGCGTCAGGGACGCAGGACGCAGAGGTAAGAAAATCGCTGGATTAGTGTGGAGAATATTTGCCTATGGATATTGGCTCTTAAAGGATTAATGGAGTGTCAATGTCTTTAGCACGGCTACCAAAAAACAACAACAACAACAACAACAACAAAGGGATAAAAATTAATCAACTGAGATGGTTTTCCGGAGTAGTTCTCCTCCGCCCTTATCTGTGACTGATAAACGTGTTATCAAAAAAAAGGCCCTTAACACGTATGCGTTGTTTTCGTTGTACAATGTAGTTATTTGGACAGGAAAAAAGTAGTAGGAGGTGATGAAGCTGCCTTTGAATATAGATGGGGATCAAGAGCTGAAAAAGAACTCACTAAACGCCAAGTGCTACAGTTTGTGTCTGAGGTACGTCTTGACTACTTTTTGTTCATTGTGGTAGAACTGATTCTGGAAGGGTTTTCCCGGGATCCGTGACTTGATCAAAAGACAAAGCGGGATTCGGGAAACGTTAACGGGATACGGGATTCGACTGCTACTCGGAAAGCGAGATTCACCAAAACGCGGACACGGGAAGAAAACTATATTCGGGAAAGCGATGAAACGGGATGCGAGATTTTTGTGAAAAAGTAGCAGGAATGCTGGATCAGGACCCCCTATGAGAGTCAGTAATTTTATTGTGGGAGTTTATTTCATTCAAACATTTTTAATAGCCCACGTTCGATATATTTTAGAAATTCTAACTTGGCTCCGAGTGGTTAGGGACAAAATTGCAAATTTTTCACGACTTCATTGTCTCTCAATTCCCGAAAGAGACTTGAGCGCAATCCAAATCAAATCCAAACCAAATACAGAAATAAGACCAGAAAGCCTCGGAGTAATAATTTTAGCGGAGCTCCACGCGGGCGAAGCGGAGCACCACGGGTTAGAAAATTTGGTAATCTACCCGTCCGAGAAATTTTGGTAATCACCTGACCGTACGCCCGACCGACCGACCGTCCGTCTGCACCACTGTAAAATAACTCAACCAACTAGTATGGCAGCCCAAATGCAACTCGAGGTTATTTTGGCGGGAAATCGCATAGCCACCCGCGTCTTGTGAAGCAGGGGCAACTAAAGAGTCAATAAAGACGAAAACTGAAAGCGGAGTTTGTTTCTGTATCCTGTTGTCTAAAGTATTAAGCTTAGGTTAATTGTCATGTCCACAAATTTGGAATGTAGAGAAAAAGTAAAGTAGGCGACAGGCCAGTGAAGCTCAACGAAAAAAAGAGAGCTATAGCGGAAGATAAGGAGCTATTTGTTGGAAGAACAGCATGAAATTTTTTCAGGGGCGGTGAGAAAATGAGAAATCCTAGCGGCCACCAAGGTGAAAATGAGCGAGTGAAAAAAAGTGAACAACAACAGGTACGACATTTCCTACATAAAACGTGTAACTAGAACGTTTCTGGAAATTTCACGTTGTGGTCGTCCAAAACAACGGCAAAGAAATGTACAAGAAAAGTGTGCTGCACGTGCAAAGTTTTTTTGTTTGTTTGTTTGTTTTTTTAGACCTATTGTCGTTTTTTCCCCGTTCTCGTTGCCTTCGCCGCTTAGCATAACACGATTTTATATTTTGTTTGAGCAAACTATAAAAATTTAATATTATCGAGAGCATCGCTTTTAGCCCTGGCTACTAAAACTGTATATTAATATATCAAACGTGGGCTATTAATCTTTGTTTGGAATTTAGCCGCTGTCCGCATGATTATATAGCGTGCGTGGCAGGCTTTTCGTTTCTTCTCGCGAAAACTTCCTTCTTCCAAGTTTGTGGATGAAATGTGTAATCTTTCCAGTGAATGCATCTGAGTTAAACAAGGTGGTTGAGTTTTTTTTAGAATATTTATTTGCAGTACGTACCAATGTTGTTTCTGGTATCGTCTTATATTATAGGTTCATTTTACTTTTTCGATCCCAGGGAGTGAAATGGCTCAGGCTGCTGCGTTCAATTTGCGAAACTAAAACGCAATTTCTGCTTTTCATTTTTGGGATACAGATCTACTAACAGATTGAGATCATTCGCGCGCTACGGGAATCGCGCAGCGCGCTACGGGAATCGCGCAGCGCGCAACGAGAATCGCGTTGTGCGCGACCGTCCTCGTGGGACGGTGGCCGTAAAGGAGGGAGCTAATCCAAATATCAAAGACTGCTAGCAACCCCTCAGGATTGTCGATCGAACGATCAAACGGGTAAAAATATCGTGAATCCTGGCCTGCGAAACTGAGCAGTGCCATCTCTGTTCTGTCGCACTCTCTCCAATTTCGCTTAATGTATCCCCGTGAGCTTACCCTCCAGAGTGACCGAAAGATACATGTACCGTGGGATGGGTAGGCGGGCGTCGGAGTGTGTGTGTGTGTGTGGAGGGGGGGGAGAAGGGGGGGAGGGTTATCGTGGAGTTTTAACTGCTAAAGTCAAGTGACAGCTATGGCCATCGACTTATCAATAAACGGATGTTTGCTCTGGAAAAACCGGTTTGACGAGAGAAAACAAGATCGTCTAGTCCAGAAGTTCGGGCTGCGGTGACTTCAATGGTAGGACGCAATTGAGGGAACCCCCCTTTTTCCATCTTTGATCAGGAATAAGATAAAGGGAGTTTCTGCTTGCAGAGTGCCCAAAAGTGTGATATGCGGGCGATCTGCCTGTCCACGCGTGTCCGTGCGTGTGAAAACGCTCCATAACGAGGTCTGTTGTTCCGTCGTAGTTGTATGATACTGAAATGGATTCCTGGACAACGCAAATGAAAGAAATACTCGCTGAAGAAGAAGAGGCCATGAATGGCGTAGAGTAAGGGAGCAGCTATCGGCCATTAAGACCGCACCCCGCGTGAAGCCCTACCGTGAATTTGTGGAAAGAGGACACTTGACTTCAGTGGGACATCGATATAAGGAAGTGAGCAATCAAGACGGTGACGGGCACATTTCTCTTTTTTAATCAATCGATGCTACTTTTAAGACACTTAAATGTTTTTGAACTGATAAAAAAGAGATTCTACTTAAAAAAAAAAAAAATTCGCAATCCAACATCGAATCGGAGCCTTTGACTTACCAGTGATAGCACCAACCGCTAACATGGCATCGGGTTTGAACGAAAGGCAAATAGGTGACGGCAGCGGGTTTCAGCCCTTGTAGTCCCAACAGTGACCAAAATCAGTTTTCTTCTAACAATATCAGCATTCTATAAAGAGGAAAGATTATGAGAATTAAGAAAATGATCACCAAAGAGAAAATGCTTTGAACTTTAATCAATTTTCTCAACTGATTCTCAAAAAAAAAAATGTGTGGAGTTCAGTCTTTAAAATACTAGTAGATTGACATTGGGGCTAATAGGGTTAAGGCCCGCGGCCTACGCGAGAGTAAGTTAGCATTTGTTAGGGCCTCAAAATGTTAACGTTTATCTTTGCGATTCTATGAAAGGAGAGTTCTTTCATGGCTGAAGTTGTTGAATTGTTATGATTTATTGCTTTATAGTCCTTGTCGCGTACGCTTTTTTCAAGACGTTAAATGAAAAAGCTGCATGTATAGTGCGTTTTCTTCGCGTTTATTGCGACGTCTTTGGTATTATTTAGTTCTTCTGTCGCTTCCAATTGGACAGCGTTGAAAATGCCTTTAGGGGGAGCGTGTTCTTAAAATGCTTTCTTAAAAGTTTCCCTTTTGTGATAAAAAGGAAAGGAAAGGTATTGCTGTTTTTTTACCGTTTATTTGGAGCTATAAAAAAGTAAAATCCCGCTCATTGCTCTTCTGCGGCTGTCGTTATGGCGGCCTTGTTGGTTGACAGGAGCAAAATGTATAGATATTATTATTGTTTTGTTGAACAGCATGGCCACCTTGTCACTGGGTTGCAAAGTAAGAATAGTGAAGTATGAATTTTGTCAGTGGACAGTAATCTTGGTCGTTTCTATTTCAGCAGTTTCTTTTAAGATTTAAACGCAGAAACCCGCATAACGTGAAAGCGAAGGTGCTCATCTGTAAAACTGTTATCCAGCAAATGATACTTCAAATTTGCAAATGCGTATTTTAACCCGTCAAATCCAAAGCGTTATCCTTTATAATCATTTACTGTCCAAAGATTAAGCTGAATTACGACTTAAACACGAATGGTATATAATGGAGCCCAGGTTTGTGATCGTTTGTTGACAGCTGGTGCTAGCTTATGAATGTGTTTTCAACGTCATTCCCCAACGTACATTCTATTTTATTGGGGTCGATAGCTTTCCTCTTCGTAAACATCACATGTATAGACATATATTTTGGCCAATTCTGGTATCTTAGAAAATGTGATGATGATTTTCTAATCACTTTACGTTTTCCGCCAAAAGGGATTATTAAGGAATAGATAAGTTGTAAAAATATATTCCATATTTTAGTAAGTGATATGGACAATAGCGTTGTTCATTACAAAAGTCAAGTGTACTAATCAAGGGCTATCCTTGCCACTTTATATAGCGTAAACTCGGAGAAGATTATGGGTATGTTTTTTTACTGTGTTACTGTTAGGTTGATGACTGGAAAGTAATTGTAAATACCAGTTTGCGATATTGATTAAAAATTGATGAATGGTCATTCGTTGCATTCAGTTACGACATAACCTGGACGAAATTTAATGACCAAGTAGGAATATACTTTTCCTGGCTTAATGATAAATACTGCCTTTCTTATATCCTGTAGCAATTGAAGCTAGAGTTTCTTTGTGCAGCATTGTAAACAGCACCGAAGGAAAGCACTGCTCATTAGCCTTCACTGGAATGGCTACATTTCATTCACATTTAAAAGTTACAGCCACCTTGTACAGATAAACAGTACCACAGTCAAATGAAAACCACTGAAAAGTACTTCCCTGGTCACTCTCACTTAAGAATTTTATTTAGAGACTCGAAAGTTAGAAGCAATGTTGACAGCAAAAATAAACACTACCACAGTAAAGTACTTCGCAGTAACCTTTACTTAGGTTGTATAACCGTTTTAGACAGCACCATAACCAGTACCATGGCAGAGTACCGCTCCGAAACTTCAAGTTTTCAATATGGGGATCATTTGGCCCAAAACCGTCGACACCGCCTGAAACAGCGCCTTAACATTAAGAAAATTGCCAAGTTTGAAAGTGATGCGTCCAAACAGGGTGAAGATACAGCTCTTCAAAGTCCCCAACTTTTTATGGGGGGAGGGTGTGCAGGTTAGTGATGGCTGTAAAATTTTGCGTTTTTTCAGGAGCTATACATTCGTTCTGTTTTCAACAACTCACTTTCAGACATGACAGTTATTACTTTTTTTAATGCTCTCTTTTCAGCGGTCACGACGGATTTTCACCAACTGGTGCTTGTTAAAAGTTGGAACGGCTTTTTATATCGTAATATAACGTATAAGCGAAACGTATTGCTCACAATAGCTTTCAGATGAATGGTTAATCGCACTCACATAATCACCCTGACTGTGCAGCATAATACAATGCACCACAGGAAAGTGCTGCTTAACAGCTTCCCTTATAGTGATATACTTTACTCAAATAAGAACCGTCCCTCTTCCCCATTAAACGCTGCATCTGTGCGAAAAACAATAATAACGTAGTTAATACAATTCCTTGTGGCGTTCAACTTTCAAACAAACGCCACCCTCAAATAAGCGCTACCCTCGAACAAGCGCCGTACTTGAGGCGTGTAAAATTTAGCGCTGCGGCATTTATTCGTGTAAACACGGTAATCAAGGTCGCGGCATGTGAAATCATCCTCGGCCGAGAGAACTAACTTCGACCTTGATTATTTCGGATATTGCACAAACCGAATCTAAGAATTGTTGCATCGTGCATTATTTTGACATTGTTCTTGGAAATCATGCATTGGACCAGCCTGTGCAAGGCTCTCGTTCAGTGCAGATAAGCAAAAACAGCGGACGAGCAGTGAAATAGCGAGTGAGGGAAAAATGGCTGGAAGAGAGAAGGGAATAGCTTGTAAACATCTTTTAGCGCGTGCGCAATATCGAGTTCATATCCCGCAGGTCGCAAGGACATATGCAAGGGATTTGACTGGCTAGTTTCGTACGCAGTTTGGGATTAGTCTGATTTGAAACAAAGTGTTGACAGGCCAAACACGACTCAACGCGTGATAGAGTGAAACGTGACTTCAGAGTCAGCTTGAACATCAGAGATTTTTAGAAAACCTTTTTGCTTTCTTTAGTGTAGATTATGCAGTGTATGGAGTATCCATGACTTTTACTGGGTAAATCTTATTTTTGCCGCTTTGAGTCTAACATTTAGAGGTCATTAAGTTGGTCTATTCCATGCATATTGAAGATCAGTTCTTGCGGTTTATGTTTCTGACAGGATTTGATCTCAGATGCAGTTTACTAATGGTTTTCTTTTAGCTCTGGCAAAGCCTTAAGCTTTTATTGCGGCTAAGTAACCTCAGTTTTTTTGGTGTTCTGCGAAGTGCGTTGACCTGAATAGGTACATGTGTGTAGATTTTTTTGTCCGTGAATATTATGATTTCCTGATTTGTTTTGACGCTGGCAGCCATAGGCGGTGCATCTGCAGCTATTGGAAGACACTGGAAAACAAGTCGGCAAATTTACAAACACGTTCTGGCCTTGAAGGAATTCTCTCAAAGTATTTTTCTATTCAGAAAGAAGGCTTTCAAGTTCGAACTGCTCTTTCAATGTTAACTGTAAAAGTTATTTGCCAAATTCCCTTCGTGAATTTTGACATGTCTAACCTGCGTGCAATCGTCACGCACACGTAAGAATGGGACCAATAAGGTCATCAGGGTTTTCATGGAAAACCGCAAAGCTGAGAATGTCACGTGACCACGGTCTTGCGGTCGCGTTTGCAGTTTGCAGTTCACGTTTGAACGGCAGGAAGGGCGTTCAGCGGTAAGTGACTTACGACACGTTTTTTTTTTTTTTTTTTTTTTTCCACTAAAAATTGTACAGCCTTGCGTTTAAAGGCACAAAGTAGCTTTCTTTATCCGTCTGCAATGTGCTTGTTGGATTTTTGAACTCGAATAAATGAATTTTCCCTGTTTTTTGGGCGAAAAAGTGATGCTGTTTGAGTTGGCCAAAAACGACATGGCGGCACTAAACAATGAAGACCTTGCTAAAATTTGAAATCCCGGCAACGCCGAACTGCAAACTGCAGTTTACGGTTTGTAGTTTCCCATGAAATAACTAATGCTAAAGGTCTTAAATGAGGCGCGTAAGAAACCCGCCTATCGAAAATGTTCACCTATGTCCTTGCGACTCAGCTGGATATCAGAACGAGCTTTTGTGCACTAATCGCAGACGGACTGTACTAACAGCTTAGACGATGTGTGGGCTGGCTGCAACGCAGGCTAACATCTTTTTCAAGTACTACGTCTACTATGGTATACTCGTCCCCAGAACCTTTCATTTCTTTTTTAGTTACAAATACCGCGGGACACTAGGGACAAAAATGGCTGCCGTGTGTGCATCAACAGTCTTATTAGCGCTTGTGCATAACTTCTTAGCCATTTCTAGCGTTCTATCTGCGAATCGATGGCACAGACACCAATAGAGAATGTAGCCTCTGTAACCATCTGCGACATGATCGGACGTTTTCCACCTCGGACAAACACCTTAGACATGTTCCCAAAAGTTTAGCAATTTAAGGCATACCATGTATGTTTGCCTCTATTTTGTTGTGAAAATGGCGCCAGGCCTAACGCCTTGATTATCCTCCAGACGGACTTGAGGTCCCCTATGAGTGCTTAGCTGGGTCTCCTGTGCTTGAGTACCGTCGCCACAATCTTCGAGCACATTGGTTTTATTTTTTCCTTTTTTTTTTTTTTTGGTTTAATTTTTTTTTCGCCCCTTACCCTGAACACTATCTTTAATTATCGTGAAAGCATTGGTTCAGATTAGGCCTCTATGCGTGCTTTGCTGGGTGTCCTGTGCTTGCGTACAGTCGCCACAATCTTCGAGCTCATCGGTTTTATTTTTTTATTTTTTTTTTTTTTCTTTTTTATTTTATATATATATATATATTTTTTTGCCTCTTACCCTGAACACTGTCTTTAATTATCGTGAAAGCATTGATTCAGATTAGGCCTCGTTATTTCCTCGTTAACATTCGATCTCCTCTTTAAGATGCAAACTGGATCAACCTGTCATTATATTTCATGAATTCATTGTCGTGACGAGCAACTAACGAGTTCAAAAAAGGTATTTGTTCCCTCTTAGCACAGG